GAGATTTGAAAACTGAAGTTTTAAATAGAGAAAATAAAGTAGAGTAGCAGAAAGAAGTTAAGTAGAAACATTGATATAATTAAACCTTAATCACGTTTAGATTTTGCTTTTTGTTTTTATTTAACTAAAAAAAATTATTTGACTTTGTAATACGATGTCGTAATTAGGAAACCAACAGTTAATTAAACAATTTAATTAAATACTAAACCAGATATTAAGAGATTTAATCAATTTTAACCGAAATAAACCATTTAAACTGGGTTTCCGATTTAACATACCAATTTAAAGAAAATCGTTTCAGAACTATAGGTTTAAGTACCTAGACGGACGTCTAGACGGGGACTAGACCGAGTTTTTGAACATTGGGTAAAAGTATGTAATATGGTTGTTTGTGTTAATGTCGTCATTGAATTACTAATTGAACTAAGATTAGATCACTTACTTGGATTACTCTAAAAGCGTTTGAATATGTTCGAGACACAGCTATTCATCAACGGACAAAATCGAATAAGAGTCGAAATTTTGAGAGTGTTATGTTCCAAGAAAATAAAAAAGTTTCAATATTAATTTGGACGGCTGTAATTTTATTCAGTGAAGATCCTCAGATCCGCGAAGTTCTCCTATAACTAAGGAGATGTGTCGACACTTGTAATACTGGAAGAGTCGACATTGTCTTAGTCGTATCTTTAGCAAATATCCCTTCTATTAGAGATATTAATCGGCGGTAAGCAATAACAAAATCCATTTTACAACTACGTATCAATCTATCTAAGTGAATAAACTATACTAATCATACAAAATATTTGTGACTATAATAACACGAAAATACATGTTTTTGTCACGTCCGAGGAACAACATGCCCCTTGAGAGTAATGGTGTGATCTTTGTAGTATAATTTAATCCTCCCGACTATCTCCAACAATTATTTAATAATCTCTTAAAATATTTCTAACATATTCACTGCATACAGAGGTCGTGCGAGTATCTTCCCGAGATCGGAATTCGAACCTATTTATGATCAACAGAAAAAAAAACAATTGCAAATTGATGAGATTGAACAATCAATCCGAATAGCTTAGGGACGTGAAAAAGCTGTCTTGTTAGAAAAAAAAAATATTATTGGAGCCGCAAGTTGACAAACAAACTCACCTCGATCATAAATGATAGATATTCTAATAGATAGATCAACAAAATAAATTAAATTTGTGATGCGCATAATAATCATGATATATACACATTTGCCTATTACATGAGATAGTTTGTTTAGTTCTTGTTTTAGCCATCTATATTTAACTATTTATATACTAGTGATGCTAGCTTATGTGATTCATCCTAATTTCCAAGGTAGAGTTTGTTGCCCTTAAGTGAATATCGTAGAGATTAAAATGAACACGATCTTCAATTTCGATCATGAATGTATCATCATAATGTATACAAAGCCATATATATCATAAATAATAGCATCCAATAATGGATTTAGAATGCTTTGATCAAAGAGGGAAAACATATTCAAATTTGGCGCCAAGACACTACTAACAGTCAAAAAGCAACCACCGAACGTCTCGGCAAAGGCACTTTTATTTTTTATGGTTTCCATTGTCATTTACGAAATTGCCCTACGGATTATTAGGTTAGGTTGCACTGATTTAGTTATTTTATAATCGAATTCAAACCTAATTTCCTTACTATAAAAGAAATTTTCGACACTTCGGGAACATATCAATTCCGTCTTTTATTTATACAGAAAAGAGATAATTTACATAGCAAATTTCCCATGTGTGATATATATAGATATGAGAAAATTCAGATGGTGAAAAATAAACAAAAATTACAAATCTGTAAAGAATAAAATAAGAAATAGTCTTAGCTGTATAAATAAAACGAGAATGTATGAGCTGTATTGCCACGTCGGCGTATTCCCCAATGGGGTTTTTCTGTCCATTCAACGATTCGTTCCTACGAGTTGCTCAAAGGCTGTTTTTTTTCTTCTTGTGGGTTGTGTTTTTTTTCCTTTATGCGCACATATATATATTTTTATTTGTTTTCGAAATATATTCTAAAAGAAAGTCACATAAAAGGATTATCCTAAAATAATAATTTCTCAGAGAATTAACGGCACCGACCGACCCGACCCAATTCTCGTGGACTCTCTTCTTTTGGTTGATTCTATTCCCAAATCCATCCGTAATGATCTTATTATTTACGTCCTGATGACGTGGCTCCCACCGGCTACCGATTACCGGCCGTTCCTGTTTACGGCGGAGAATCGTACACATTTTTTCCCGCTAAAAAACCGACGTGGAAAGAGAGAACAAAGACAAAAACAAATATCAAAATTTTAATAGGAGCCAAAACTATTATCGAGATATAATTATTTCTTTTGGACGCACGGAAAACCTCATACATAACAACTCTGTATGTTCTTGTAGTTGTTCTAAGTAAAGGTGGGCAAAATATCCGTTATATCCGCTTCGAACAGATATTTATTTTGATCCGATTCGAAAAATCTGGATATTCATAAAGTTTCGGAACAAAGCAAATAGCAAAATGTAATATCCGTACAAAACGAAACAAATCACAAATATGTTTTTAGATAACAGTGGATATCCGATCCGATCCGTATCTTTATAAATTTATTATATATTATCATGTATATATCAATTATATTATAAATTTTTATTAATATATTTTTAATTTTCTTCTTAAATTTTCATAATAACCAATTATAAAATTAAATAATATGTTTAAACTTAAAATATGTTAATAAATAACATTTTATTTTATATTAGTAAATAAATATCAACAAAAGTTTTTTAGTAAAGTTTGTTATTAAAGTTTCAAATAGATAATATTATTTTTAAATATAAAATATCATTTTTTCCTTATCTTAATTTTGTAAGTTTATTTTTTATAGATTGTTTTATAAAATAAAATATTTTCTTTTAGTTATTTTCACTTAATAATTTAGATGAAAAATATTTTTTTATAATAAAAATTGATGTACTTTCAGTTTTGTGTATATTAAACGGATCAAACTAAATATTCATAAATATCCGTAAATATCCGCAAATATCCACAAATACTTGTAAATTTTTTGGATATCTGGAAATCTGGATATCCATATATTTTCAGAGCAAATCAAATCATAAAATTAAATATCCGTTAAAAACGGATCAAACCATAAATGCTAAAAAATTCTCAGATATCTGATCTGCGCCCCCCCTAGTTCTAAGATTCTCCGCCAACATATTTCGACTTTTTAATACATTGTTTAATTCCTCTAAGCTAGAATAAACATTAATCGGCTGTGGAGTTATAGTACTTAAATCTGATTGTAATACTAACCAACTAGTCATTAATGATAAGTACACATTAATAGCTAATAAATGTTAGCAGAAGAATCATCTTTGTCTGTTAAGCTTAACGAATAGTCAAATGATTTTGCAGCTTTGGTTACTGCACTGCACGTCCAAGGATGTATGGAAACTGAAATAGTATTACAGACTACAGAGAACTCTGTCGTCGACGTGGCAATATCTGTTACCGTCTATGATTCAAGATCGTTAAGACATGTGTAAACTGCACGTGACATGGTTCTGGTCCTTCTGGAGAAAGTGGCCCATACGTGGGGCTTATTCGTATTTAATGCGAATGATCTCCTTAGATCCTCCTTATGTGTGATACACTTGTTTCTTTTCAAATTTATAACGAACATAATAATATTTTCTTTTTATAATTTTTTTGGAATCTTCTTCCAGTAGCTTCTTTATATATAATCTAATTATACGTAAGTTAGATATAAATCACGCTTATGGACGATCATAAATTTCCAGTAAAGTTGATTTATGTGATTCCGTTTTAAGAGTGGTTATTGACATAATCTAAATTAAAAATGGTATATAGGGTCGGTAAATGAGAAAATGGGTAGGCCGAGAAAATCACCTCATCGACGTGAGTATCACGCGCGAATTTACTTTTTCTTCCGCTACGTCTGGACCAATTAAATGACACCACGTGACCAACCCCTAAATCCTCTTAATGAAAAGACAGTTGTGCCCCTTACGACACGCTTAAAGTAGTGACACTCTCTATTGCCAGCTTTTAAAGTGGGTCCCTTAGAGATCTTTCTCCTCTTAAAAAGTGCGCCTCTCGATTCGGAGATTCCCAGGATATGAAAAGACATATATACCCTTATTCACGCCGAGAAACCGGAACCAAATCACGAGGATATTACCGGGAAATTAACCTGTGGGAAAGTACGGAATTTCGAGAAGCGCGTACCTCTCACGTGCCCACGTTATAACGAGGTGGGTGAATGAATGAAAGAAAGGCGAAGAAGAATGCTCATCTTAGCCACGAAGCGAGTATCATTTGACGTGGGACCTTTAAGATTATGACACGTGGTCTACCCTGGCCGTTAGATCGATGATTGTCGGGAGGGATCATACTAGAGTGGAAAGCACGCAAAGTATTGATAACAGGTGGCATCCTAGCTGGACAGTTGAACAACCAGAGTTAAGGATCTATTGACACGTGGAGGTTTGGCTGGTGGTTTTATTGCTTTCCTTTATGATGGGATCTCTAACTAATTTCGGTAATATTTTATTCGACCCAATTTTGGGAGGATTTAATTAGTTTAATTTCGATAATTTTGTTTGGTAAGTATACGTAAAAAATATATAACATTCGAGCGAAGAATTAAATAACAGAGATATCGAAGACTTCAGGAATTGTATGAAATGTAAAAATTAGATAGGAACTACCAATATATAAAATGGTAATCCTTAGAGAATAATTGTTTTGTAAGAACTAAGTTTTAAATACAGTGGGTTAACTTTTTTGCTGGGTTAAAAACTTCTTTGAAGGACTGAATGATAATTACAGAAACATTTTAAGGTTAAAATAAAGAAACTATTGCAAAAAAATGACAATGAAACATTATAAGTCCAACTCGAGAAGACTTTTAGCATTAGTAACATGCGTGAGTCGTGCTCCTCCATGTGACTTTTCTATAATTTGCAGGATAAATTAACAATTAATTAAAAATATTTATATATTTATATATATATATATATATAAGGAGGAGTCGAGTGTATGGAAGGATTATGTGAAAACGTGCTTGGAATCATCTAGAGAGAGAGAAAAAAGAAAAGTAACAGACTTTCAGGGTTCTTGAGGGACTAAACGGAATAGTTTGTTTAGAAAGAAACGCCTTTGAAGAGATTTGATATGTGTTTTGTTGGTCGTCTTTGGTAGAAGAAGCATAGATTGGAAACGACGGCGTATTTACATCAGAGAGATTGAGACACAGAGAGAGAGAGAGAGAGAGAGAGAGAGAGAGAGAGAGAGAGATATGGCGATGAAGGGTTATTTGGATGAGTATGAGAAGCTTGTGATTAGGATGAACACTCCAAGGTTTGCTTCTTTTTCATCGTATTTTTTTTTGTTCGCTGTTTTATAGGATTTTCTTTAATATTAGAACAGAGACCTTCTAAGACTGAAAAACCCAGAAATTGGGTAACTTTTTTTTGTCTCAGCGTTTTTTTTTTTTCTTTTTCTGGGTAGCTTATGGTTTCGTGTTTCCTTTTCCGGAAGTTTTTATTTTTCCCGGGTTTTCAATTCTGGGAAATATTTCCCAGAAAATATGAGATTAGTTCCAAAAAATTTAAATTTGATTTTTGAAATTTGAAATTTTCTTTTCGTCCAAAGCTTAATTAACTTTTTTTCCAATAAAAATTATAAAATATTTAAAAGGTTGTTCTTTCTGTCTTCTTCCTAGAAGATTTTTCCCACTTCTTTTTCGGCCTCTTTCTTTCACCAACTTGAGTTTTTTTTTTTTGTGAAGACTTATCTTCTCCAAACTTTTACTTGATAAATCCCACTATTTAAGATACTTAATGTTGTTTTGACGGTAATGAATAAAATTCGTTCATAATTTCAGGGTCGTTATCGACAACGGTGTTTGTTCTTCAGCGACAATCGTCAAGGTTAGTTCTCTATTTTATTGTTTTGGTTTTAATTTTCTTTTTCAAAACCACCACCAGATTAATAGCTCAAAATAATTTATCCAGCTTTAATCCAAAGATTTTTTTTAAAAATTAATAATATGTTTTCTTCTCAATCTCAGGTTGACAGTTCAAGAGGACATGGTATATTGTTAGAAGCTGTACAAATTCTCACCGATTTGAATCTCTCCATTAAAAAAGCTTACATTTCTTCTGATGGAAGTTGGAACATGGATGGTAATAACTAGTTTTATAATCATATCGTAATAGTATTTAACTTTCTAATTACATTCGTATTTAATTTTCATTTTTATTTTTAATTACTGCAGTTTTCCATGTGACTGACTTAAACGGAAACAAATTGAATGATCAGAGTGTCTTGAGATACATTGAACAGGTAATTTCGTAATTCGATATACATATTAGTGTACAATTACCCCTTTGTTTAAACAGTGCCTGAATTCAAGAATCTAAACAATGTCTTTGTGGTTTCACAGTCGATTGAGACGGTTTACTACGGAGAAAACATTGAAGTAAACGGTCTAACAGCCTTAGAGTTAACCGGAACAGACCGGATCGGTTTACTATCAGAGATGTTTGCAGTTCTCTCTGATCTCAACTGCGATGTAGTTGACGCTAAGCTATGGACACATAACGGTAGAGTTGCGTCTATGATCTATCTCAGAGATGGCAGCTCGGGATCTCCGATTCTTGATTCCCTGCGGATATCCAAGATCGAAGGACGGTTGAAGAACGTTTTGAATGGCGATAACGACGTTAAATCCGCTGCAAAGATCTGCGTTTCGGTGGACGTAACGACGCACATCGAACGTAGGCTTCACCAGCTCATGTTTGAAGATAGAGACTACGAGAAGAGGTCCAAGAAACATGAGAGGTCTCCGATGGTGGTTGTGACGGTTCAGAATTGGGCTGAGAGGAGTTACTCTGTCGTTAATGTTCATTGTCGAGATCGGACTAAGCTTTTGTTCGATGTGGTTTGTACGTTAACCGACATGGAATACGCCGTGTTCCACGCCACTATCAACACGTCATCAGACCAAGCTCACTTGGTATGTTTCTTGAAACGATTCTTTTAAACCGAGACGGTTTTCATGAGATTTTGTGTTTAAAGAACTCTCCTTTTTTTTTTAATTAACTTGTTTAGGAATTCTATATCCGGCATAAGGATGGATCACCGATAAGTTCAGAAGCAGAGAGACAACGAGTGATTCAATGCTTAGAAGCTGCAGTGGAAAGAAGAGCATCTGAGGTATGTGACTACCCTGAAAATCGATTTGAATTTTCGATTGTTTAACCGGAGATCTTAACCGTTCTTTGGTTTTGTGTGTGTCTAGGGTGTGAGATTAGAGCTGAAACATCCGGACAAACAAGGTTTACTAGCAGAAGTTACGCGGACGTTCAGAGAAAACGGTCTAAATGTTACAAGAACAGAGATATCAACTAGCTGCGACATGGCGACAAACATATTCTATGTAACTGATGCGAATGGAAATGAAGCCGGGTTGAAGCTGATTGAATCGGTTAGGGAGAAAATCGGTTTGGAGTGGTTAAGTGTGAAAGAAATGCCAGCAGTGAATCATAAGAAGGGAGATGGAGAAGAACAGCAACAACAGACTAAAGCAGTGTTGGTTTCACTTGGGAGCTTGGTTTGGAGAAATCTATTCAGCTTTGGTCTTATCAAATCATGTTCTTGAGTCAATTCAGATCTTGGGTTAACTGAACCACCACCGGTTCAATGAAATTTATCCTTTTAAAAAGGCACTCGGATTTTAATCACGAGAAGTCCGCGTGCCTTGAGAAAGATTGATTTTCTGATCTGTGTGGGGTTTGGTAAATTTAATTGAAGCTAGGCAATGTTTGGTCATGTAAATAGGGAAAGAGAGAAGAGTGGGGGATGATCAGAAATTGAGAAATTGCATATTACATTTTTATTGTGGAGTTTTAGGTGTGAAAAAAGGTTGTACAAAGTTTCTGAAATTAATTATTATTTTATTGCTTTGATATGTTTTGTGTGTTAGAAGATTATTAGTGGTTGACTTGTATTTTCTTAGTGGAGTATTATAATGCTTAAACTTTAAAGGGTTGGTCCAATTACTTGCATTTTGGAAAATTCTAGATGTGGCTATGATCATGATGAACCTATATATGTCACGTAACAAACTGCATCCATAATTTAAAGAAAAACAAAAGTTGAATGTTCTATAGTATTGAAAAATGGAACTTTCCATCATAATTTTCCAACAAGAAAAAGGACAATAAAGGTAGGTAGCCAAATAAAGCTTTTTGGTGGAGTAATTAGAAAACGATGCATTGGTGTCTCTCTATTTTCCATCCCACGTTGAACCTTTGTTTCTTATTTATTGTTGGAAATTTATTTTAGAAGAATAGTTGGTGGTAGAAAGCGTAAATATAGATTTATCTCATTATTCAAATTCAAAAATCTCGGAAAATCAGATGTCCATCTCTACAGAAATGTATAATCCAATGATCAATCTATGTTAATACTATATTTGAGGTCGTTCTCATGTATTAGGTCTAAGTTGTTAATTGGTTTATGTGTCGATATTACCGACAGCTTTCTATACTATATTATAACCTCAACTATTTCTTAGCATTAACATAAAATCTTGACTTAGATTTGTTATAAAGGGATGACAATTTGTATTTGTTGTGTCTTATTAGTTACTTATTAATCTACACCTGTTCACTTAGGCACCATTTTTTCATGAATATCCCATAAGTATCTTCTTTATTTTTCATGTACATCGCCGGTCATGCTCATCCTAGTTAACCAAACAAACATTAAACCGGTCAATTTTCTTCGGTTTGTACATTTCGCTCTGGTATACAACAGACAGAACCAACAAGACAAGAAAGCCGCAAGAGTTGATCTCAGCTTCAGCTTCTGCAATGGCGGGCTTATTTGTTTTAAAAAGTGAAATCAGGAACAGTCATCTCCATTATATCTTACACAGGACTTTTCAAATATTTGTAGAAACCCAGAAAATGGGTGGAACGAAATAACAAGAAAAAGTGACTTTATTCGGTAACAATCACACAAGAAGAAGAAGAATCTCAAGACTGTAAAAACTTTGTCATTACAAATGCTGATGTTGAAAAACAAACTAACCGAGACCTGCGGACTCGTCTTGGCGAGGAGCGTCTTCTTTGATGCGCGGTGGTCTAACAATCTTATCAATAAGTCCGTACTCCATAGCTTCTTCTGCGTTGAACCTTTTCACCCGGCTCAAGTCTTTGAAGATCTGTATCATCATCATCATCATCATCAACAAAACCATATGCACTCAGAATTTGAAATGTTGATCGAAAATAGTAGATAGAAACTGTTGGATTTGGTTATCTATATGAAAACAAAACTAACCTTTTCCGGAGGCTGCCCCGTATTCTTGGCTAGTTCGTTGAAGAGGTAATCTCTTATCCTCGAAAGCTCTTTAGCTTCGTTTTGGATATCATCAGCCTGAGTGAAGTTTGTAGTTCTTCAACATGTAAATTACGAATTGCTTAAAGACTTTAACAGTCCATAACTCGAGAGGCCGCTTATTTACCTGACCACGAGCTGCACCTGCTGGTGATTGGAGAGCAATTCTTGACAATGGCATCGCAAAACGTTGACCCTTTCACAGAAACAAAGTAATTCAACTTCAGGTTTCCTCAGAGTCTAAGCATATAAACTCAATTTGGTTTCCAAAATGCATATAGATGATTTTTAAAAAATGAGAAAAGAGATTTACCTTTTCTCCGGCAGCAAGAAGAAACCCTGCAAGGTTATAGGCAAGTCCAACGCAATGTGTCCCAACCGGACTTTTCAAGCTCTTCATTGTATCATAGATAGCTAGACTTGGAGTAAGCTACATATGTACAAATTTCAAACATGTAACTTCAAAATGTAGAGAAGTGTAAGCAAATAACAAAAAAAAAATGTAAAGACTGAAAGAGGAACTCACATCTCCGCCTGGTCCATTTAGGTACATATAGATCCTCCTCGAGTCATCAAGAGTATCGAGATACAGCATAGTCGCTAATATCTGGTTGCTAAACTCTTCATCGATGTTCTGTCCAATGAAGATTACACGCTCTCGGTACTGCAACAACGAATCAAAGTTTCATTTTTTTGTTTTCATTTCTCACTGGCCATAAAGAAAAGTATACAGACAAGATTGTGAATATACGTACAAGGGCATTCCATATATCAACCCATTGCCAAGTGCCTTCTTCTCGGTTTCTGTAAGGCACTCTAGGTGTACCTATTGGCATCATCTTAACCCGTGACCTACTCGCTTTCCCAGTCCTGCAGAACACAGAAACGCCACCACGAGTTTAAGACTCGGAGACACTAAGCTAATGAACCAAACCCACATAATGCAATTCATAATACATCTCATTTTGCGCTACTGAGTATTTAGCTCAATTTTCACCGTTCATTAATCATTCATCACAGGAGCTTCCATTACTATAATCAAGCATTAAAAACCCTAAGTATATATGCAATATGAACAAGAGTCTAAGCAAAACCCAAGTCTCGAATCAATACTGCAAAAGAGGAATTTCACATTACCCGGATTGCAAGCTCTTGTGAATTCTGCCATAGAACTCCTTATTCAAATTCTGATACCCATTTGTCAAAAAGCCTGCACAATTGCGAGAACAGTGACACACAAAATAATCAGTTCCGCGTCGCAAGGACCAATTTGATTAAAAACGAAAACTTTCGAGAAGATTAAGAAGAAAAGGAACGAACTTGGAGACTGAGGCTTCAATCCAGAATAAAGCTTGATGCTACAGCTGAAAAAAACACCATTACAAAAATCAATCAGATGCAATTTTATGTAATATAGAAATGTAATCAGAGACATAAGTATGTAAGTTTCAGAGAATCAAAGATTACCTCGGACTCAGCGAAGGCTGGTGAAGGGTTGTATTAAACGAGACCGCCATGGTCGTCGAGCGTGTTAGAGCCGAACACTGAATTTGTGTCCCTTTTTATTTTCTATTGGGGGAAAATTTACAGATTGGGTTTTTTGTTGAAGAAGATGGGATGGGTTTATCAAATACCAACTATGTTGGTTTACCTCAACCGATTGGTTCACATATGCAATTGTATTTTTGGTTACTTCGATTTTACTTTGCAGTAAATTTGAGCTTCCGAGTTCTGTGGCTCTCTCTAATCACAAGTTTTATTACTTCATAGCCGTTGGATCATTTTAATTCAGATGTTTCATCCGGTTTAAAATCTAACCGGTTCACTTTCCATCCTTCAAAAACCGATTGATTCAAAAACCAATACAGAGGAACACAGTTTCATCATATCTTTCGCTTGTAAGAATGAGCTTTTCCACAACACCAATATCACAATAATTTGAGTCTCAAAGTAATCAACATAAATGGAGCGATTCTTGCAGAGAGAATAATTTAACAGAGTTCATTATAAGCATGAGTAATATAATTTCTGCCTCATCTTATTAAAGATGTTTTTTTCTTCCAATCAAAACAATTATTCATCTGAAAAGAAGCATGTGATGATGATCAGACGTGATCTAAGTAGGCTTCTCGTAAGAGTTCTGATCTCTAAACTCAGCAATGGCGCTGCGAATCATCTGCTCAACATGTGGCTGCACAAACAAATGAGTACTATCAAGTACATGAATTATGAATTTCTGAGACGGAGGCATCGAATTGTTCATGTTCACTATGAACTGCGCCATCGGAATATCGCTGCAAGCAAAAGACAGACAAAAACATACTGAACTTGTGACTTCAAATTGCGATTTATAACCAAAATGTTCATCAAGATTTGCTTGAGAAACGAAAGAACAGTACCAGGAGATGAACACTCCTTTGATGGCATTAACCATTTGAGTTTTATCAGTTATTCTCTTAAAGTAGGAAAAACCTGTAAAAGACAGAATAATCTGGGTTCAATTTTCCTCAAAAGAGTCTCTTATCACATTTCTAAAATAACTCAGAACATCAGTATTGAACAAAATTGATCATAAGAGCAAAAGAAAAAGCTCAACACTAATTTCAATTCAGGGACACAAAACGATTAGGGGTTTTTACTAGATGCGGCGATACCATAACTGGGCTTTCGCCACCTAAACATCACAATAGAACTCGATTCCCAAATCTAAGACTTTAGGACTGTATCCGAAATTCATCCAGGTCAACAAGTTTCTACAATGGAACAAGTGCAATTGGATCTATCAATCTCTTTACTTTGAGATCGACCACAAACCTTCGAAACCAGACAACGAGGAAGATCGACGAAACAGTGCTAATTTCAGAAGATGGACTTGTTTGTGAAAGAAAAAGAGAGACAGAAAACCACCTTGATAACGAGATTCTTCTGGCTTGACGACGATGGTCGCAGACGCACAGATATAGGATTTGGAGTGGTTTTGTTTTTATTACATTAACCTTTATTACAAAACTGAAACCGAAGGTTCTATCTTCTGAAGCTTCCCAAGTTTATTACATCACTCTAAAAGAGCCTTACAATTTTGTAAAGGTCAACATTTTACTTTTCAGTTTTCTTGTTCTGTGATGATCAGTAGTAGTTTACGAGCTTTGATTTTGCTTTTACAAACAATGGTCAGACATAAAAGACAAAAACAATCAGGATCTGAAATGTTTCTAAGAAAGAAAAAGATACACATTAGCTTACAAACATCAAAATACGGTAACAAAAGCAAACACTTTAATCCTTTCATTTTGTTTTCATTTTCATGTCCACGAGCACGGCGCTGCATCTTTAAGCGCGGCGTTAATCGGATGAAGATGGACCGCTTCTTGTCAATTACTCCTCGTAATCATCCAGCGCCGAGTAAATCATCCTAAGCAAAAAGTTTCAGACAGAAAGTGTTTTAGCTGTCTCGGATCTATCACGAAGAATGTTAAAGCAAAGAGGGATTCCAAGGATCTTTTCTTTTCTTTTTTTTTACCAGAAGATAGTGAGAAAGAGGTTAAGGATTATGTACGCAAGCTTGAACAGCCGTTTCTTCTTTTCCCAGTTAAGCAAGTTGAAGATCTCAGTGACATCTACCAAGTGTTGTCGTTTCGAGTAACTGAACAATGGAGAACCCGAATAATGGAAATAAATCAAAAACATCACCAAATTTGATTTGATTGGAGCAAAAGATATGAAACTAGTTGTTAAAAGAGACTTACAGTTGGAAGTTGTAGTAGAGATAAGGAAGACATAGGAGTGCCATGAACCAGTGTCCTGTAAAGAGGAAGAATACACATAGAACTCCTTGAACTATGAATTCCGGTAAGACCACGGAATTGATCCTCGATGCAGAGTCGTAAGGGTTGATGTAATCAAACTCGAGATCCGCTAAGCAAACAAGCTGCAGATGAAAGATTTTTATAATCTTAGTCTAAACTCATAAACACTAAAAGACTGAATCCATTACGCTCATTCATAACAGAGAATGGTCTGGTGCTTCGGGTCTAAATTATAAACAATTGACACAAAACCTTATTAAGAAACTAAAAAGTGATTCGAGGAGTCCATACGCTAATAACATGAACATAACCATAAACTGAACTGCTTTGGTTATAACATTCCCCAAAAAAAATTGAACCTTTTCAGTTACAATCATGTGGCAAGAACATAAAACCCTGATTTAAGTTGAATAAGAGACAACCCAGATTCACAAAGCCTCCAACTTTTTATTTTTATTTTTTCTTCCGTAATCGAAATGGGTCAAATTCAATTCAATTATGACCGTATGCGCAAAACTGGCAAATTCAATAGAAAACTACACAGCCTTAGGTTAAAATTGAGAACCGGATCGAATTAGAACCTGATAGACGATGATTCCGACAAGAGCGATGAGGAAGAAGAAGGAAATGAGCCATGTCCAAATATCTCCCATTGGCTCCGACAATTTCCTCGGATCTATTCTCCGCTGTTTCTTGTTCTGCTCTCGCCTCTCAGTAAAGCTCGTTGACCAACAGAGAAAAAAGTTAGGACAGCAAGTTTGCGGTCGGCGAGTTCGGCCCGAAATTCTGATCGGAACAAAGGAACTGGTGCGAAAGTAAAATGCAAAAGTAGAAGCCTAACACGAGAGTTCCGGTCCTGCTGTCTAACCGATGTTCCGGTTCCGGTTCCGGTTCCGGTTATAACTGATTTCAGTTTGTGCGCCATTCTATGCCGGTTTAATATGCTCATAGGATTTGCAAGCCAATGTTTTCTTTTTTTTTGTTTCCTTTTGTTTATTAACTCTTTCAAATAACCTATATAGTATTATTTTTTCCTCTCATTCGTATTAACATAGATTTTGCAACTAATTACAAGATAAAAAGAGTATAAACTATAAAGTCTCAGAAATGGCATGGGAATTTATATGCCGAAAGTGTCAAAATTATTTTCATATTTTTGATCCTCAACCATATTTATGTTAAAGAGGATAGTTGATCAAACACATTATGTTTTCTCATGCAAAGTCTCAATGAATTTGGCTGACAAAAAACGAGTAAGATAAAACTCTTCCAAAAGATGAATAAACTTCACAGTTCATTGATGTTCGTCATTAACTTAATAGTCACCCGATTCCTTTTGATTAATCGATCAAACGAAACTAAAGTGTGAAAGAGTTAAAATGTAGCAAAACAGCGGAGACGCTAACTCTCGTATAAAAAGTTCAATCAAACAATTAAATGCTTTTGTTATTTATAAAGATTATTAATATATACAAGTTAATTTCCATTTGCTCTTTAAAAAATTATTACTTTCACCTGAAATAGTTTCAAAATTATGTCTAATAAAATAGATTATAGAACTTTTGCCATGTGCATTTGTGGTACAAAGTGACAACTACTACCGACTTCAGAACTAGGTAGTATATCCATAATGTATTTTTGTGACATAATATAATATATCTCTAAATCTATAAATTCATATCAAATCAAATATAGTATTTGATATCTACAAATTCATATCAAATCAAATATTACAATCATAAGCGGGGACAATGATTACAAAGATAATTTGTTGTGATTACAAAGAAAAATCAATATACCACAACTATCATTTATAACCCAGTCTCAACAAATGAGGTTTATATATTGGCAGTTACCAAGCACTATCTAATGTGGCAATCTGTTCTGTAATTAGGTAGTCCTTTGGTGTTAAGTCGAGAGCTTCAGCACTATAAAGATGTTAATCCTTATAATCCTATAAGTTGGAAGGCTGTTTTAGAGAAGTATATACTTGTATAGGCTGAAATGATGATGTCGAAAACTGCAATAGAGACAGGTAATTTGGAAAATGGATTCAACGCTTGGCGCCTACTCATCTACATTACAGAGGAGAGGAGCGCCTACTCATCTACATTACAGAGGAGAGAAGAGCTAATATACATCACATAAGGATAAGGAAGGTCTATGATAGTTTTCTATATAGATTTCCTTTTTGTGTTGAATATTGGGCCAAGTATGTTGAGCATGAGGCCGTTTGGTTTTGTGTTATGAAAAAACTACTTGGAGTTTTTAAGAGAGCTCAGGTGATAGCAGAGTTCTCGGTGATACTTTTCGGTTCAAATTTTTAATGTTCAGATAAAATTAATATTTTTAACAATGTAAAATTTATTCAGAAAATGATATAACAATAAATTTGGAAGATAAATCAAACAACATTATAAACTTGAAAAAATAATATAATTATATTTTACTATATTATATTATTTATGTATGTTTTAATGTATAATTATTAATTTATGTTATTATTAGGACCATATTTTTATATAATAATTCCAAAAAGTATTATCTTATCAAAATTTGCTAATTTTTACAATGATTTAACTTAGGACCGATAAAATTTATTAATTTATAGTGATTATTAACTTATCGAATATTAATTTATAGAAATTGTTATTTTGTTTAGTTAAGTGTTGAGGAACACGAAATGGAGCTCTTTTGATGAGCCAAGTACTTGACTAAACTGTGTATTCTCTGTTTTTGTTGTTGTGTTACATGAGATTAGGGGTCACTCTGGGTAAGGCTTCTTGATTAGGTTTTTTCACTAATGGCTGCCGTTAATTCTTTTGTTAAAGGCTGTCGTTATTTTCCCAATTTCTTAACAGAGAAATCAGAAAAAGAAAATGTCAATAAACAAAGCTATTCTGTGAATAGATTCATTATATTTTCCTATTCATTCAGTTTCTAACATGGTTGCATTATGTATGGAAATAGACACATTGTTGGCCTGATTTAATATGCGATCTTGGGCATCAGCAAATATATGAGTGTAGCAGATATTATTTCTGTTGTGCAAATTATAACAACAAGGGGATGTAGCTCAAATGGTAGAGCGCTCGCTTTGCATGCGAGAGGCACGGGGTTCGATCCCCCGCATCTCCATAGTCACGTGTGATATATTATCCTGTTCTCCAAACATTCCTTGTTGCTTTTTTCAAGGTAAACTTCCACCGTAAAAGATAGGATTTTTAGAGGTTTGTAGTCACTTTCTTTTACTTATGTGGCTCTCTCTGTTTTCTCAAGGCAGAAAGAATTGATTTGTGCCCTTCTTGTATGAACCCTAGTTTTGGAAGTCTCATATCAAAAGGCCTGTGGTCTTGGTTGGGCCGAGCCTCGGTGCTGCTGTTGCGATAGACATTGCGGTCAATCCTCCAGAAGCGGTACTTATAACACCAAGGAGCTTTTATGAGTAAACATGTTGAGAAGAAAATGACTGTGACAAGATATATGAATGTTTAGGCTGAGTCCTTGGTTTTGATGGACGCAAGCGTTTACTCAGAAGGTACATGAAACTTGGCAACTTTACCCAAAGCAGCAGCTTATGCTGGTGTAAGTTCTCATCTGCTTCTCACCCAAAACAGCAGCTTATAATCCTTTTAACTTTATCCGTGTTTTGGTATATGAATTTAGAGTTTTAGGTATATCTACTGAAGAGTGTTCCATTGCGGATTCCGGTTATAACCGATTTCAGTTTTTGCCTGAGGTGCCATTCTATGCCGGTTTAATATGATCATAGGATTTGTAAGCCAATGTTTACTTCTTTTTTTTCCTTTTGTTTATTAACTCTTTCAAGTAATACAGTATTATTTTTTCTCAGAGTATCTACCAAATTTTTTTTTTTTTGGTCAACAGTATCTACCAAATTATATCTTCATTTTTCGTACCATACTGACTATGCATATGATTTTGGACTGTTATGGATAGTAGGATTTTCTGACATTTGCATTCTTTAAAGGTGAGCACTTTATGCTGCTACTACCCAGGAGTGTCTATCGAGAAATTTTCTGTCATTTCAGAGCCAAGAATGTTACATAAGAACAGGTGAGATTTCACGGTTGGAGAAAAATCTCTTGAGATGATGCATTAGCCACGATTTTTATTGCCTAGCCTTGATATATTATACTCAGTTCTCTGAAACTTTGCTTTTCCCACACGCTTGTTACCACAGCCTGTGTAATCGCTGAAGAATTTTGTCATAAGGAGGAATACGGGTCCTTGTTTACCACAATACTCAAGCATCATCACTGATGGGAATAAAGTCGTCTTACATATGCGACCAAGGACCCGAATTAGTGGAAGCATATGTGAATTTCGCATCAGCAGCAATCCGCGGTTGTCACAAGGTCTTGCTACCACTCCTTTGCTCGTTAAAGTGTAACTTTATATTCATCTTGTGGTGAAGATTTGGTTCTATTGCTTTTGATGAAACAGGAACTGTTGGGTACGTCTGGAACACTTATTGAAATTTCTTTCCACAAAGCGGCTATTTGCTGTACAGCTATGCACCGAGGTGCTGCTTTAGCTGCAATGTCATACTTGTCAGGTACGTGCACAGAGGGTTACGATCGAAAACATGGCATTAATGCATACGAGACTACGTTTATGACATGTACAGGTTGCGCTTTCTTCCATGATCGAAACCGTGGAATGCATATCATAAGGATCATTCAGTGTGGAGAGGGACTTTTGTCTAATCTAATCTATGCTCTACTTGGAGTTGCAGCTATGTCAAGGGTAAAAGAATTCTAGTAAAATCTCTCAGAAAGTAGTTGTGGATTGGGATCTCTGATTCACCTATTCGGTTCTGTTTTTTTGATTTAGGTCCATAAGTGTTCCACAATACTTGAGCAGTTGGCTGTGATCTGCAGTTTATGTGAGAGGACTTCATGGAAAGGAATATTGTGTTGGAAATTTCTCCAAGGATGGCTAAATTCTCTCTTCGTGATCACATTATAGCCGAGCTCCTCCTCTGTTTCTGGCTCGTTCCAATGGCTTTTTTCTTGTTTTGGGTTTTTAGGTGTGGGCACTTCAGAGCGAGAGTATCTGAAACAAGGAGAAGCAGAGAACATAGTGAGGGAATGGTCAAATCATAAATTGAATAGAATTGTAAATTCTAAAAGTATTCCATAATGTATTACGGTTTTTTATATTTAAATGTAAGTTTCTTACAAAATTATTAAAAATTGACAAAAGTATTTAAACTATTTTTAGTAGGATGACATTTTTTTTAATTATTAAAGGGAAACTTACTATATAGAAAAAGGGAAAACAAATGATCAAAATCTATATATATATATAAACTGAATCTTTTGTTCTCAAAAAAAAAATCCATAACATAAGTGAATAAAGCTTTATTTCTCAATCAATTTCGTTATCTTCTTTCAGAGCTTAAAAAAAAAATTCATATAGTTAAAATATGGATATACAATTGGATTTACCTCCATATGATCCATGGGTTGTGAGAAAAATTTTAACAGATTATGATACTTGTTATGGTGATCATCTTATTCTACCGCAAAGCCAATTTGCAGATTTTATCATTCCAGAGATGAAATATTCTAACCCTGCTATGGTGCAGCAAATTGTATCAGGAAACAATGTTGACGTGAAGATCCATATTATAGAGGAGGGTCCCCAAGCTGCTGATTACAGAGTAACGCTGGAAATACACAATCACTCTTACATGATTTCGAGAGGATGGAGCGATATCGTTAAAGCAAGAGATTATAAGACAGGCAATGAAATTGGACTCATGTGGGAGAACATGTTGAAAAGATTCATACTCCACCAAATAAGCTAGTTTTTTTTTTTTTTTTTTTTAAATATATCAATGAGCTTTCCAAACATTTATTTAAAAGTTTTAATCTAGTAGAATAATTTTCTTGTTATGTGGGGGTTTTACTAATTTTATGTGGGTTTTTATGAATCAATAAATAATTAAAATTTAAGTTTTAGTGTACCATTCTCTTTTCTTTTTTGCATATACCTAATTTAATTTATGATAATTAATATTTATAACGAAGAACGTTCAAGTATCATCACACTCATTCAAATTACTTTTAATTATATAAACAATTTTTTTAATTATTAAAAGGAAACTTACTGTATATACTAGAAAAAAAGGAAAACAGATGATCAAAATCTATATATAAATAGATGTCGAATGGTTATTTGCCCTAAAGGATTACGGCATTGTTCCTCTCTCCCTCTCCGTCTGCTGATTTTTTTTTTGTTTGGTTTACAGTGTTGAATGATGGAGGACCTTAACACGGCGACCGCGAACCAGGCTTGGGCTGAAACAACGGTGTGGTGGGACATCAGCAGGTGTCCTGTTCCCGGCGACGTTGATGCTGGTCGGGTGGTTCCGTTCATAAAACGGCTGTTGAAGAAATTAGGGTACACAGGTCCTCTCACCATTATTGTCATCGGTATACTATCAGAAGTCCCTATTTACGTCCTGCGAGCCATCTCTTCCTCTGGGATCAACCTTCTTGAGCACATCCCCACAGGTTAATCTATTTCTGTCTATATTCCTTTTCCTTAAACTATAGGGTCTCAAATGTTTTTTGTTTCTGTTACAGGTACCACTTACATATCTGATAGATTGTGGGGGTGTGCATGGTTAGATCAACCCGAGTCTAATGTAATGCTCATATCCAGTCAGTTTGTCTTCGGTCAACGTCTAGAGACCATAGCGCGAGACGTGAACGTTATTGGGCCGCTGTGTCCATCTGATCACCCTTCCCTTGGCAGCCCTTTTAGAGGGTGCTTGCCGTGGGATACCGTACTCGAAAGCATACGGGCAGATTCAGATGGAGGGGATCTTGAGTGCAGTGGAACGGCTACCTTCAACTGCGTAGCATGCACCAGAGCCGATTTCTCAGACTTTGCTGTTTTCGCCAAGCATCTCCACAGCGATGATCATGCACTTGAAGTAAGCCATCCTACCCCAAATGAAAAAAAAACACAGATTTGTCATTGTCTCACCTCTTTCCGCAAGTTTTACCTTTCTCACTTTTTTTCTAGTCATGTTTTGCCTAAATTCGTCCCCATCTTCTCTTTCGCAGGACTTGTCAAGTTACCGTTCGATGTTTAAGATTCCCCATTCTTACTTTAAGAAGGATATTTCTAGGATCCGAAGAAAGTTAAAGCGTTCAAGAAACTGTGTGGCTGACGATGAACGTGAAAGAGAAGCTGAGTTTAACGAAGAACGTGAAAGAAAAGCTATGTACTGTTTTAAGTAGACAACGAGGAAGCGAAGAAGAAAAAGAGTAGCACTTGGCATATGCTGTTGTTCTTCTCCAAGGCATTTTCATATGGTTGAATGGTTTGTTCTACTTGTTGCGGCAAAATTATTATTAACTTATCATATATAATGCTTGTGTGCTTATTTATTAGTTTTGGCTTTTTAAAAAATTTCCAAGTTAACTAGAACTCGAATAGAGAATCATGTTATTATTAAGCACAAAGTGTTCATCGGGGAATTTCTTAATCAAAGGCTCAAAGCCTTGCGGGAAGCTCATCGTTAGTGTAACCAAAGAGCTTGATAGTCTAATATTCTCTGACTCTTCTTTCTCCTGAATGATTTTTTTGGTCATTGACTCATTGTCGTATATATATATATATATTGTTATTTAAGACGATTTAAAATGTATATAATGATCAACTAGTATTGAAATTGCAATAGAATTTTGTATCATGATTTCTCAATCCACATGATAATGTTTCTAACCACTGTGTCACTGTAAATTGGTACACGGTGGCCAACTATTCATTTATACTTTTCACGACGCTATTGTTTTTACTTTATCTATCAAATAATATTGTAACAAATATGAGTTTTAAAAGTTAAAGGATGTAGGAATGGATGGATACTTTTCATTTCAACTATTCCTACTAAACCTTTTCATTTCAAGTATCATTCACAAAATCAACATTATTTTGTTTAAACTAAAATATAAACACAATAGACATGTCTACGTGTTTGGTGTGCTTTGATTAGGCTAAAGTGTGTTTTAGTCAAGTGGTTATATTTTGGCTAAGATGTTTTTCTGGTTAAGTGGTTAATTATTTTATGCGATCAACGTTGATTGCTTATATACATAGAGCTTTAATTTTTACGTAACGATAGCTATACTACACAGTAAACTCTAATACACAGTTTTACACAATATGCGTAACGCAGGGGTTAATAATTTAGCTACTTGTAGGTGAAGACTTTAAGTAGGAAACAATCAATATATCGGTAAACCAACAAGAACTTCTTGTTGGTCGGAAGTTGTGTTCATCATAAGGATAATGTTGTAATAAAAAGTTACATACATGATGCCATCTTTTGTTGGTGAGAATTTCTGAAAATGCAAATATAAAGGTCGACAAATAGCAATCCCATCTTTTGTTGGTGGGATTGGGAGAATGCAAATGTAAATGACAAATCAGATACATAATCTCGCCGTATGTGTTTACCAAGGAACCGCCGAAATTGCCCTTCATTCCACATTAGAAAGTCAACTTGCAATTCAACTTGTAAAAACGGTTATACAGAGCAACTATTTACATTTTTAAGGTTGTTAAAGTGGAAATAGTTGCCCTGAAAGAGAATATCAACCGATGTGGTATTCCATTTATTCTTACGGATAAAGTTGTCTCTAATTAAATACAAATATTTTTGTTATTTATAAAAATTATTAATATATACAAGTTAATTTTCATCTGCCTTTTAGAAATATTATTTTCACCTGAAATAGTTTCAAAATTATGTCTAATAAAATAGATTATAGAACTTTTACCATGTGCATATATGGTACAAAATGACAACTACTACCTACTTCAGAACTGGTTGGGAAGAGAATACTATCAAGCCAGATATGAGAAGATTAAGGAAATGATTTGTCTTTGCTAAATAGATTTTCTTTTTGTGTTGAATATTGGGTCAAGTATGTTGAGCATGAGCCCGCTCAATTTTGTGTTACGAAAAAACTATTTGAAGTTTTTAAGAGAGCACATGTGGCAGCCGAGTTCTCAGTGTACTCTTCCATTTCTCCCGGACATCTGGAAGCAGTATCTAAACATGCCAATATGAAAAATCGACAAGTAAGATTTCATGAGCAAGATCCAAATGGACTTAAAGCAGGGACAAAATTTTAGAAAAAACTGTTAAAGAGGCTCGAAACCCTAGAGATTGAGAAAAAGTAAAAATTTAAGAAAACGAAAATGTCTGATTAAGTTTTAAAAACTAGTCTGTCCCAATTCACTAATTTAATAATTACTATCGCTATTAGTATAAAAGGTGCCCTTAATTTTTATTTAAATTATGAGTTTTTAAAAGGGTATATTTATTTCAGTTATAAAACGATACAGTGGATGCTCGTACAAACTTGTGAATCAAGCAAATTACGCTGTCACAGTAATAGTTAATAGTACTTAATAGTAATATCAGCATTTGTTTAAAAAGACTGGGTCTTCATTTCAATAATTTGTTACTTATTGGAAAATGAAGAAACAAATAAACATTGAGTTATTTAGCTTTTTTTTGTTTGGGTCGAAATATGATTGATTGACATTAAAGATATACCTTGTAAGAAGATATACCATGTGAGAAAGTATAACGTACCTCAATTCAACTATTCCTACTAAACCTTTTCATTTCAAGTATCATTCACAAAATCAACATTAGTTAATTTAAACTAACATATGAGCACACTAGACATGTCTACGTGTTTTGTGTGATTAGGCTAAAGTGTGTTTTAGTCAAGTGGTTATATTTAGGCTAAAATGTTTTTTTAGTTAAGTGGTTAATTATTTTCTGCGATCAACGTTGATTGCTGATATACATAGAGTTTTAATTTTTACATAACGATAGCCATACTACACAGTAAACTCTAATACACAGTTTTACACAATATGCGTAACACAGGGGTTAATAATTCAGCTACTTGTAGGTGAAGACGTACTGTATCTCCGGTAGCAAGTGCCTCCGTCTAATTCTTTACTAATTACTGTTAAATTCATTTAAATGTGTTTAATCCAAAAATTAGTTATAGTAAAAAAAATGTAAAAAATATGTATATGCCCCCCAACTAAATTGGCTCCTAGATCCGCCTAATCGTAAGTCTTTTTTTAATAATAAATCAATAACAAAATCTTTGATACAAACATGTGGATTCAATAATATTTATGTAGATTTGTGTGTAAATAAGTATTATTATGGATAAATAGTTTTTAATTGAAGAATGACACTCATAATAATATTGACGTGCGAAGTAATCTCATGTTTTATAAAAAAAAAGTTAGCTTACGAATTTTTATATACAATTCGTTCGCCACAATTTAACCACGTCTTTTTTATACAATTCATAGACCACATTTTAACCGGCAAAGTTAGTGATTACAAAGTTCGTTTAACAGTATGATAAGTTTATTTTTAAAATTATATGATATAATGCATGGATTTTGGGTGGTTGGAATGTAACAGACAAGATCATTCTTACAGATAGTACTATCTATCTTTTAAGATTGGACTGATCTAAATTCTCTGGTAAGAAAATTGATTCTTGCCGATTATTAATCTAATTTTGTATGAATAGATATATGGGAGGAATATATATGTATTTAGAACTTAGAATCCAGGATCATTCATATATATAAGCATGCATACATGAGAAGGTGGGAGACAGTTGTGACATGTGGTTTTATTGACATTATATATTGACCAATTAAAACTTGACTCCTACTAACCTCCACTTGTTACTTTAATTATTGTTTTAACAAAGTTTTTTTTCGATACACATAAGGTTAAGCTATGCATTATTCATATCAAACTTTAGAAATATTATTAATTTCTTTATTTTGGGGGAAATATGAACATTGGGGTAACCTACTTCACTGCTCTAAAATGAACTTTCCCCCCCCCCCCCCCCCCCCCCCCCCCCCCCCCCCCCCCCCCCCCCCCCCCATTTTTTAAATTCTAATTAATGTGATGAGAGGTGGTTAAATCCAAATTTTTCTATCTGGTTATTTTAAGTACATCGAATATTTTGTTGAAGGGTAAATAAAAGGTTGTTATAAAGTTTTTTACTACGATGTATTGAAATTATACTTGAATCCTTGATGGAGTGTTAGAAATTGGTTAGTATCCAATTGTAATATATTTGACTATCGAATAATTTAAGTTAAGCAAATTAATTTCGTATAAGCAAGTTTTTCATATATGATGAATGTTTTGAAGATTAAGCATGTAACTAAACTTCTGATAATTTTGTGTGTTCAAGTTTTTGGTTTAAAAAACAAGAAGAGCCAAAAGTTGCAAAGAGTACAAAGGGTGTTGTTATTCGTGACTTCAAACTACTAACTATAGTCATGACACTCATTATTCATGAACATTCTCTCATACAAAGCAAATGAAAAAAGAGAAGTAACTAACTAAAAATATTAGAGTTTAACAAAAATATGAATGTTTTGGAAAATGGTGTGAAGTAGGAACCAAAATTGTCGGTAAAAAAATGGAAGATCCAAAAGGATTCAGTCAAGTTACTGAACTATAGTACAACTTTCATTCTTCCTTTCAAGTTTCAACACAAAATTATTCACGAAGAAATGCCATTTTTTTAGTCAACACAGTATGGTCAACACAACACACTCTCTGCTTTTAATGTCTTTCACTGTCTATCTAGAAACAAAATTAAATTCCCACTTTACCCCTTTGATGTCCGAATTCTGAACACATCCCACGTAGACAAGAAGACACAAATGGAAATCCCACTCACCAGTTTTTTATTTGTAACGAAATACAAAAATGTTTAAAGCGTTATGTAATTTATAACTAAATACGAAATGAGGATTCTTTAAACCGCATTAACATTAAAATCCATCTAATTTCAATACCTTTGTCAACAAACCCTTATCGGTAAACCTTTGGTCCCAATAAAAAAACCTTTTTAGTTTCATATACAAAATTAAAATTTTTACATATATATTGTAGAAATAGTTAAAAAAAACTTTTAGATTTTACCATAGTGGTTAATGATGATGGTGCAGAACAAGAAAGACATGTAGTAGTATATAGATTACGAAAATCTAAAATGCATTAAATTAAGGTCCCAAATAGTTACAATAGAAAAGAAAGAAAAAAAAAGGGGTAGGAGACAAGAAAAGGGATTTTCGAAAGAAAAAAAAAAGGTGAAAAAAAACAATGTCCCCAAAACCACATAGAAGCGCGTGAGGGAAACGCTCCAATGATGGGGAAGTGAGAGAGTGTATTAGCCAATGTAACGTTTGGGTTCTCGTACGACGTGGGACTCTGCTTTCACCTTGTTCCTTTCAAAACGTCCGTTTACACTCTTTTTCTCCACGCGCGTGACCTTCACCTCTCTCTATCTCTCTCTCTCCTTTTCTCCTCGCTGTCTCTTTCTTCGAAAATCTATCACAGGAAATTAAGAAAAAGGAACCATCAGTGAAGGAAGAGAGACATTTCTACTTCTACAAGTGATTTTTCTCTTTGATTCTCCGGATTATGGTCTGGAGTAATCGCCGGGAAGCTGAAGATCGCCGTCTTCCGGCGGATTTTCCCGGCTGAAAAAAAAAATGTCACACGTTTTTTACGAGGCAGCCTTGCAACAAAAAACCAACTCCCGCTTAAACCCTTTTTAGAAAGAAAGAAGACAAACAAAAAAACCAGAAACTTTTTCTCTCAAACCCACCTCGAAATTTCCGATCTTTCTCTTCTTCCATTCATCGAGTTTCAGGAAAAAAATTTCACTTTTGCAATGGCGAATACGAACGCTCCCACGGCGGCTCAGCAGCAGCAAACGCCGCCTCCTCCTCCTCCTACGGCGACGGCGATCGATGGATTAACGACGGACGAGCTAACATCGAAAGCTCTGAACAAGAGATACGAAGGGTTAATGACGGTGAGGACAAAAGCAGTGAAAGGTAAAGGCGCGTGGTATTGGACTCATCTCGAACCAATCCTCGTACGCAACACCGACACTGGTCTCCCCAAAGCCGTGAAACTCCGCTGCTCCTTGTGCGACGCCGTTTTCTCCGCCTCCAACCCTTCGCGCACCGCCTCCGAGCATCTCAAACGCGGCACCTGTCCCAATTTCAACTCCGTCACTCCCATTTCCACCGTCAACCCTTCTCCTTCCCCTTCCTCCTCCTCTCCTCTCGCCCACCCTCCTCATCATCACCGGAAACGAAACTCCTCCGGCACCGTCACCACCGCTGTTCCTTCTCGGCTCAATCCTCCTCCCCAGCCCATCGGAGGCTCCTACCACGTGACGCCTATAACCGTCGTCGATCCTTCGAGATTCTGCGGCGGAGAATTGCAGTACGCCTCGCCGCCGGGAGTTGCCGGGCCGCATTTGATGCTCTCCGGCGGAAAAGACGACCTGGGTCCGTTAGCTATGCTCGAAGACAGTGTGAAGAAGCTCAAAAGCCCCAAAACGTCGCACACGCAATCTCTCACCAGATCGCAGATAGAATCGGCTCTTGACTCTCTCTCCGATTGGGTCTTCGAATCTTGCGGGTCGGTTTCTCTATCGGGTCTGGAGCATCCGAAGTTTCGAGCTTTTCTGACCCAAGTCGGTATGCCAATCATCTCCAAGAGAGATTTCGCCACCACGAGGCTGGACGTCAAGTACGAGGAGGCGAGAGCAGAGTCTGAATCCAGAATCCGAGACGCGATGTTCCTCCAAGTCGCATCGGACGGCTGGAAATCAGGCGAATCCGGCGAGAACCTCGTGAATTTGATTGTGAATCTACCCAACGGGACGAGCCTGTACAGAAGAGCGGTCCTGGTGAACGGAGCTGTGCCGTCCAACTACGCGGAGGAGCTCTTGCTGGAGACGGTTAAGGGCATTTGCGGAAATTCACCTCAGAGGTGCGTTGGGATCGTCTCTGATAAGTTCAAGACCAAAGCACTGAGGAATCTCGAGAGCCAGCACCAGTGGATGGTGAACCTGTCTTGTCAGTTTCAAGGGCTCAACAGTTTGATAAAAGACTTCGTGAAAGAGCTGCCTTTGTTCAAAGCCGTGTCGCAAAACTGCCTGAGACTCGCCAAGTTCATCAACAACACGGCGCAGATACGAAACGCGCACTGTAAGTATCAGCTGCAAGAGCACGGCGAGTCGATCATGCTTCGGTTGCCTTTACATTGTTATTACTACGACGAACGTAGAAGCTGTAGTAGTAGTTATAGTAGCAAGGTTTGTTTCTTCGAGCCGTTGTTTAATCTTCTTGAGGACGTGTTGAGTTCCGCTAGAGCAATTCAGTTGGTCATGCATGATGATGCTTGTAAAGCTGTTTTAATGGAGGATCATACGGCTAGGGAGGTGAGAGAGATGGTCGGAGACGAAGGGTTTTGGAACGAGGTGGAGGCGGTTCACAATTTGATCAAGCTTGTCAAGGAGATGGCTAAGAGAATAGAGGAGGAGAAGCTGCTTGTAGGGCAATGCCTGCCGTTATGGGATGAGCTAAGAGCTAAGGTTAAAGATTGGGATTCTAAGTTCAATGTAGGAGAAGGACATGTTGAGAAACTCGTTGAGAGAAGATTCAAGAAGAGCTATCACCCGGCTTGGGCCGCGGCGTTCATACTAGACCCTCTTTACTTGATAAGAGATAGCACCGGGAAGTATCTTCCTCCGTTCAAATGTTTGTCGCCGGAGCAAGAGAAAGATGTAGATAAGTTGATAACAAGGCTTGTGTCTAGAGACGAGGCACACATCGCTTTGATGGAGCTTATGAAATGGAGAACCGAAGGGCTTGATCCCACGTATGCACGGGCGGTGCAAATGAAAGAGCGTGACCCGGTTTCCGGTAAGATGAGGATAGCGAATCCTCAGAGCAGTAGGCTTGTTTGGGAGACGTATCTTAGTGAGTTCAGGTCACTAGGGAAAGTAGCAGTGAGGCTCATTTTCCTCCATGCGACTACTTGTGGTTTCAAGTGCAACTCCTCTCTTTTGAAATGGGTGAACTCGAACGGGCGGTCACATGCAGCCATAGATCGAGCACAAAAGCTTATCTTTATATCAGCCAATTCGAAATTCGAGAGGAGAGATTTCTCTAATGAAGAAGATAGGGATGCAGAGCTTCTCGCCATGGCTAATGGTGATGACAATTTGCTAAACGATGTTCTTGTCGATACATCCTCGGTGTGACAAAGTTTAAATTCGAATCTTCTTCTTCTTCTTTTTTTAATCAATTTTTATTCTCAGCTTAGTTTTTTTTTTTTTTTTTTTTCATTAGAATTTGGCATTTTGTAGGATTGTTTGAATTCTTTTTCTTTTACTATCATATTAATATTCAACTTGTACTTGGGTTCATTTAGAACGTGAGAAAGAGATGACTTATCATCGATATGTGATTTGATAAATTTGTATTTCTTTAGCCTATACATATATATACCAGAATTTTCGGTGATTGGTACTATTAATCTTTTATGCTCGATGAAAGATTCGTGTAACATATTGGTATCTTACAGTTTCTTGTCATAACCATTCATGTATCGGTTAGAAGTTAGAAACTCTAATTAATGACAGCTTTGGCTTCATGTTCTGTTGGTACAAAATGTAATGATCCCTCTCGCTTTTTCATCGAAATTCATATTCTTAATCATGACTTGAAACCATATATGTCTTTACTTTTCTAGAAAAATAACTCAACTTTTGAAAGGTTAATGTTCTATCTTCATGATAACGTTTGTTGATGGCAATGACAGACTAAATATGCATAATTTGTCATCTAGGTTAGAGAATTAACAAACACCTGATTAACTTGTTTTCAATCTCATTTCAACCATGATTATCATTATAAATCTACAAGTAACTATCAATCTATTTTCTAACTTTCAGAATAACAAAAATGTGGATCCCCACCATGAAAGCAAGTTTAGTGGGAGGTTATTGCATCGAAATCATAAATTTTGTTGTTGTATACAAGTTCATTTTGAAGATGTGAAAAGTGAAATTGTCAAAAACAAATCTTGAAGAACAGTTCTGAATCCCTTACACCCTTAAATACCAAATCTTTGTTGAGATTCCAAACCCTATTTGATGTTTGTGGATGAAGTTACTTATTACAAGTCTTGTTAGTGTTTTTGTAGCAATTGTGTGATTTAGTTACCCATGATTTTTACAGCTATGAATAATTAAGAAAAAAGGTTGAAATCTTTCCTCTTTATTTCTAAGAGGCTGGTTTTGTACTTTGTGGGGTATTCTAAGAAGAAGAAAAAAGAAATTCTGTAACCCATGATTTATATTCTTGTAAATCATAACTTTATCAATAGTACCATAATTTGAAATCTAGTGGCTATATTTCATAAATGGACTGACCATACAGCTAAAGTGAAATTACACAAATTAAGTAAAAACAGGGATATCGATTAAAAACAAACAATTATTTACAAATAGTAAAGAAAAATACAATTATTTTGATGCTATTTTTTCCATTTAAGCTATAGACAAATAGATAAGTCAAGTACCTCTTTTTTTACACACACACATGCATGTATATATGTTCTACATTATAAAGTACTGCTAAATTTAATAAGTAATTTTCATACTAATGCTTTTTAACCAATCAATTTAAAAATTGAATCTATAGGCTAGCTATTGATTGAAGGGAAAATGGGGTTTAACTTAAATTATTAACAAGGAATCATTTTTATTGGGGTGGTAATTTTAACTATGCCGAAACAAGGGGGAAACCAAAAAGTAGAAATCAATAATTATATTTATACCCCACAAATAGCAAAGTTTACTACTTTTTTGTTTTAAATACACTTTATTGTGTTTTCTCATTGTATAACTTTGAAACTTTCTAGCAGGCATTAGATTCACTTCAACTACCTCCTCGAACAATTAGTCTAAAGAAGAAGATCAAAACTTAAATGTAGACCATTAATAAAAACAAAAATTAGAATACAAAAATATTGGCTCACTTTTTTCTGCATGTACAGGAGCATTTAAAAGAAAATTAAAATAGGAAGACACTAGCTCGCGCAGTTAGCTATGGTTATGTAGAAAATTTAGTTTATTTGCAATGAAATTAAATTCTTTAAGTTTGTTTATATAAAATGTAAGCCTTTCTCTATAGTTTTAAATAATAAAAGTTATAGTGATTATGTCGTGAAAGAAAAAGAGTTATTGTAATTATGTACTCATGTAATTACAACCTAAACAAAAGTGATCGTAATTATTGGATTGGTATTTTCACCAGTTTGGTGGTGAGACAGAATTTCCTGTCGGCAATACTGACTTCTCACCAAATATCTCTCAAAATATATGATTGTGTGTATATATTTGTTTTTGTTTTTCTCTTTGCCTTAAAAAGTTAAAATAAAGTTACAAAGAGTAAGAAAACGAAAAATACATTTAACTTCAATGTTGTAATACAATTACAAAATATCGATATACAAATTAACTTCAATGTTGTTGTGGGAAACCTAAAGTTTTTGTTTTGTTTCTCATTTAACAAAATAAATTTTAAATCTATACAATACGATTGTTTTACATACATTCTTTTTTATACAACTTTACTTACATTACATATATCTAAGTGCATATATATATATATCTCTTCAAGAAACATACTATATAATGTTTTCTTCTTCTTAGAATATGCATATAATACTATAAGTAATGTATGCTTTGTGTAAAAGATAAAAGAAAACCGCTTAAAAAAAAGATAAAAGAAAACCTAAACGACCGAATATCTAACTGATATAGGTTTCATTCTTGTATATATATATATATATATTTTTTTTTTTATAAAAATTCTTGTATATATATTTAGTTTCACGTTTTGACTAATATATAACTTTTATTTCTCTTCAAATGATCCAGCTCAGTTTTTACGACGACATAAGATGTTCAATTCCTTTGCTATATGGTATGTAAGTCGAAATAATTTGTACACAACTTTGCGTGTTGGAATCATGTGTGACTCATGAGTTCATAGGATATGTGATTTATAAAAATGAATTTAATTATTAGGGACTCAGATATATTATTTGGAAAGAGCGGTTATATAATAATTCTTCATGATAGGAAATGAAGGATATGTATATAAGGCATAATGATAAAAGAGAAGGTATGTTCCAATCATGCATTGGAGAGATTTATATGTATGAGTAAACTCTATATAACTGCACGATCAAGCATGTGAAGGAATAATTTACTCTAGGTTTCTTTTATTTGAAGGAAATGATGAACCAAAATGTCCAAGACTATATAGGTCAATTAGTACATAATTCTTTTTTTGTTTTTCATCATTATAATCAGCACCATCATATAGATTTGATTCGTTAAAATACTAACACGTTCACCTAGCAAAAAAAAATATATATATATAATTACTACATATCAAATTATATATATGCGATGACAATTTGGACCACAATAACATACGAGAATGATGGATTCAGATATCGAAGAACGTAAAGAACATGTATACACTTTTACAGAAAAAAATATGTGATAGAATTAAGACGATTATGTGATTCAAGTACTCCATTAAAAGAAAACTAGTATATGTATATATAAAACGTGGCTATCCAAGCGATTTAATTATAACTACTATTCACAATTGAATACTACTACAATTGCATATAAAGTGTTCTCTAATTTTTATTTGTTCTATAATCTTCATATAGATCACCACTTCACCCGTATTTTGATATTTTCTTAATAAATTTATGTAAATTAAACTGACGATTCCAAATTTGTTGATAAAATTAACAAAATGTTTGTAAATAGTATATATAGAGTTATCAAAATACTATTGAAGTTATTTTTATACTTATAAAGTATAAACCATATACCCCCATACGATGAGAAAAATCTCGTTCGTTGTGAACAGACCAGGCAAATAGGGCAATCACAAATTGGCACGTGTTAATAGTATAAATCATCCACGTAGGTCAAATTCAAACCACAAACTCAAACAGTGTATTGCCTTCCCTCCATTTTTCGAAGACTTCGCGCTTGTCGCTTGAGCATCCCCTGCGCAAGTTATCCTCCTCACCTTCGCATAAACGGCGCATATTAGTGAAATCCGAAAATTCCTCAATCCCCGTCTCCTCCTTCGTATGGCGTCGACAATCTCGGTTCAACCGGGTCGGATCCGGGTCCTCAAGGAAGGAACCTGGCGACCGTCCGATCAAACGGTGGGTCCCGTTGTGTACTGGATGTTCAGAGATCAACGGTTGAGAGATAACTGGGCTTTGATCCACGCCGTTGATCTGGCGAACAGAACCAACGCGCCGGTGGCCGTCGTGTTCAATTTGTTCGATCAGTTTCTGGGCGCAAAGGCGAGGCAATTAGGGTTTATGTTAAAGGGTCTACGCCAGCTTCACCGTCAAATCGATTCTCTGCAAATTCCGTTTTTTCTGTTACAGGTGAGTACAGAGATCGATCTAACACGAAACCCAATTTTTTAAAAGAACTCGCTTTGTGGTAATAAATTTCAGATGAATCAAGGAGGGATTTTTACGGTTTCGTTATATATGGAAATGAAATGGTAGATGATGCGAGTTAGGGGTTTCGTGGGTAGGGACGAATTTTACGAAATGGTGAATCAAAGTGCTGAACTTTATGATGCAGGGAGATGCAAAGGACACGATCCCAAATTTCATCACAGAATGTGGAGCTTCACATCTGGTCACTGATTTCTCGCCTTTACGGGAAATCAGAAGCTGTAAAGATGAGGTTTTTAAAAGAGCGAGTGATTCATTAGCAATACATGAAGTCGATGCACACAATATAGTTCCAATGTGGGCTGCGTCGAGTAAACTGGAGTACAGCGCCAGAACAATACGGGGTAAGATTAACAAACTACTACCTGAGTACCTCACTGAGTTCCCTAAGCTCGAACCGCCGAAGAAGAAGTGGACCGGTATGATGGATAAACTGGTTGATTGGGATAGCCTCATAGATAAAGTTGTAAGGTTAGTTGCATTTAAATCTGAATTTTTTTTATATAGAAACAGTGTATTAAGCCCTATTCCTGATTCTTCTTTGTGATTTGAGTTTCAACTCTGTTTCCAAATTGGGTAGGGAGGGTGCTGAAGTTCCTGAAATTGAATGGTGTGTGCCTGGAGAAGATGCGGGCATGGAAGTGTTAATGGGGAGTAAAGATGGGTTTTTGACGAAAAGGTTGAAGAATTATTCAACGGACCGGAATAATCCTGTAAAGCCGAAAGCTCTCTCTGGTCTCTCTCCTTATCTGCATTTCGGACAGATATCAGCTCAGCGATGTGCCGTAGAGGCGCGTAAAGTCCGGAGTGCTTACCCTCAGGTTCATATTAAGTCAATCATACTTTTTGAATGTATAGTGAAGTAGTTTTCTCTGTCTCTTCTTACCTCTTGTTCACACTCTTAGTTTGGTGTTTGTATTGTTTGTTCATCAAAAGGCAGTTGACACGTTCTTGGAAGAAATGATTGTGCGAAGAGAGCTCTCGGACAATTTTTGCTACTATCAACCTCACTATGACTCTTTGATGGGAGCTTGGGAATGGGCACGCAAGTCATTGATGGATCATGCTTCAGATAAGAGAGAACACATTTACTCGTAATGTTTCGGCCCGTTTAGTCCCTAATTCTTTTGGAAAACAAAAAAAAGTCTCCCAATGGTTTATATATCTGCGCTTTAAAGAGGTATTATTGAAATTTGTAGGTTGGAGCAGTTAGAGAAGGGACAGACAGCGGATCATGTAAGCCACTAAATCTCTCGTCACATATCATCACTTGTGTGTAGCTTTTTGACTTTCATTTGAATTTGAAGATTTAATTTTGGGGTTGTTGAATTGGCAGCTATGGAATGCTTCACAGTTAGAGATGGTTCATCAGGGGAAAATGCACGGTTTCATGAGGCAAGTAAAATTCATCTATCTCGATTTTGGCTGTACTTTAAAAAACCAGCTATAATGTCATTTATCAACATTACTTGCAGGATGTATTGGGCAAAGAAGATTCTAGAATGGACGAAAGGACCTGAAGAGGCTCTCTCAATATCCATCTATCTAAATAACAAGGTTTTACTTACTACCCTTTCCTATGTTATCTTCCATGGGTTTTCCTTTTGTTGCTTAGCTTTTGATATGTTTGATGTAGTATGAGATCGATGGTCGTGACCCGAGTGGATATGTTGGTTGTATGTGGTCTATATGCGGCGTTCATGATCAGGTTCTTTCGTGTTTTTTTCCTCTTCTCTCAGTTGAATAGAAGTGATAATAGATTAGATTGAATTCGATTTATCGGTTTGTGGTTTTGATGGGTTTCAGGGATGGAAAGAGAGGCCGGTTTTTGGGAAGATACGGTACATGAACTACGCGGGTTGCAAAAGGAAATTCAATGTGGACAGTTATATCTCTTATGTCAAGAGCTTGGTGTCAGTAACAAAGAAGAAGAGGAAAGCTGAAGAACAGCTCACCAGAGATTCTGTTAGTCCTAAGCTAAACAGTGTTTAGTTAAACTTTAAAAACATTTTGTTGTTGTTGTAACGACTATCTTTGCTCTGTGTTGGGCATTTTTAAAATTTACCGACTGTTATGATTGAGAACCAAAAAAGAATGACTTAAAAAGAGATGACTCTGAGATAACAAAAGAACGATTAAGGTGATTTACACGATCGAGTTTGACAAGACAACAAGCCAAAGATCTGGAAGCCAACTTTATGAGTTGCTTTACATCTTTAGACGACAAACAATAAGGGTAAAGTTACGGTAATGATCTCATACTCTGATGATTTTTGATCTTTTTCCCTCATGTCTTTAACCTGGGTTACAAATTAGATAAGGAGATCAGAGAACAAAGACGAGGATTTGATTTGATTTGAGATCCGGGTTCTCATATCTGGAGATCGTCTATAGATAACTCATTTGCAGTCAGAAGCTTCAGTTTCTGTGGGTCACAAGAAGAAAAAAAGAAAGATGATGAATTATAGTTTGCCAAATCGGGGAATGTGAAGTATGTGTGTGGCTTACCGTTATGAACTGTGGAGGATCGTCGAGGCTTGTGGACCCGAGGATTACTTCTCTTTTGAGTTTCGTGGTTAGTTTGTGGCATACTTTTAACTGAAATTCAAATAGTACAGTAAGAAGATATCATCATCATATATCCTGATTCTATGGTTTTATTTTTCCCCTTGGCATCTTACCTCTGATCTTGTCGCTCCTCCAACGATAAACACAAATATTCGCTGTCCCATCTTCTTGAAATCGCTTGACGCATGTCTCAGCACCGAATCACTGTAAGAAATGAAAAATAAATTAAGACGAGATTTTTATTTTTCGCTGTTTCGAAATGATGTAGGAAAGAAGTGGACTCTGCAAATGAACGCATGGTTTTAGCTTTGCTTTCAGGTTTCACTTTGCTAACACAAAGAAGTTTTAGGCTATCGATGAACAACCCAAGTTACGTTTAGGCTTATTTTCATATTGGAATGATCCTCGGGCTGTTTAAAAGACAGTTTACCTTGAATATCCATCATCTGAACCTCGAGGTTTAGCCCATGTTGGTGTGCGTCTTGATCTCATGGACTGAGCAGCTTGACCTTGACTACTACTTGCTGCTGATGAAAGTGACGTTGATCCATGGAAACTCGGGCTTGGGTCGTTCATACATGGGAAATCCTCTTTTGGCAATTCTCCTTTGCTAAGTTTCTCGACGAGTTCCTGCCAAATTCCAGATACGGCAAAACAGTCAACACATGAAGCTTGTATTATGCTAAAAATCTAAAGTAGCGCGTCGTATACAAAACTTTTGAGGGCATTTAACAAAGTGAACCTCAATCATCGGGTAAAAACGAGATAACTGCCATGCTGCTTCCTCTTGGCGCTCTTTCCTGACAGCTCGTTTTTTCTGCCGCCGTTAACAAAAGAATGTTACGAAGATTCGCATTATACCAATGTACAGATGATGGAACATACGGAGAGAAGATGTTACCTTGTGAAGATCAAACTTCAAAGTGAAACCTCCTGGGGCATTCTTTTTAGCATCGACGGCTGAGCCAAGTAATCTCATATTATTTACAGCGCTCATGTCATCAGATGAGAGTTTTGCCAGCTAGAAACAAAAAGCAATTAAGCCTTAGATGGGAGTATATGAGAACCAAACAAAGATACAGAAGCATTTTTTAATCCCCAAGTACCTTCATTAGATTTTGACCTTTTTCGCCTTCGAACTTTTCAGGGTAAATTGTCGCGAGGATCATCAACAGGCGTAACTTACCTTCACGACTTGCCTCCTGTACAAGAGTTCGAAATTACATCAAGCTCAACAGCTCAATGCCTCATGAAATATATTACAGTAAATTAACCACTATTAATTAGCTGCAAACCTCTTGAGTACTCAAATATTTAATCACATCCTTCATCCCAGCATCACCAAACACAAGGTCTTGTTCAAGTTGTCCAAGCTCCCGAAGTCCCTGTTCTCTGATAAGGTCGTTGATTTTTCTAGCAATCTGCAACGATAAGAAAGAGTTATATGAATTCCACGCTCAGAGAAAAAAGTCAAAGAAGAAATTAAAATTGGACTCTGCAGAGCCTTCAGACACTAAATCCTGTGATATGTTAATCAGATGATGCATATTAATAGAGTTGAGTGTGGCACCACCTAAAGCTGAACATTCTAAAATTTAAGGATACAAACTAGAGGCATATCACAGTTGAAGTGGAGGTGGACGCAACAAAAAAAGACAAGGGATCGTTGTACATTACTACGGAACTACCTCTACATGGAGAGAGAGCTTGTCAATTTGTTCACTGTATTGTGGCAATGCTTGAACCATCTTCTGCAAATCCCTTGTAGAAAGCTCACCTCCATCTCTGAAAAAAAGGGAAGGAAAATTTATAAAAGAAAAAAAAAAGGAGAGAACAAATGAAATTACTTCTCCAGTCAAATAAAGGATGCTACGCAGAACAACGCAAAGTTGTGTCAGACTATAATCAAATTGAATGACAAGAGAACAGAATACAACAGTAAACCCTGGTTCCACCAGTTCAGGGGAAGTAAAATATATGATCACTAGTTACATCTACAAAAGTAAAGATAATACCCACCTCTTACCATGCTGAAGCTGAGCTGCTTTGTTTTTTGATAAGAAATTGGTCATCTTATCATGCAATCTTTCACTAGCCTGATGAAATACACCGTTCAAGAGGATTCACTTTTTTTTGTCCCATTACTAAAGAGAAATAAAGACCTAGGCATCAGACTCACATCTGCTATATGTGCATGCCGAAGCTCTAGCCAAATAGGATCATGTTCCTCCAAGAGCACATCTTTCTTCTCTGGTTGTCCGCCTGACTTGCTTGGAATCTAAAAACTAAAAGAACATCACATGGAGTATCCAAGAAGAGAGCCATAAAAAATCACAATAACATATACGGCAAAGAGTTGAACTTACCACATGTACATATTTGTTCCCTTCCATGTTCAGTAAATCATGGCACATAGCATCATAAGTCCACTCATGTATAATAGGGGCAATCTAGACATTCAAAACAAGCAAATGCTGCTAATCATATAACAGATGTAGAGGAGGACGCATGAGCTCCATAAGTAGATGGATGCAGTTTTTGATTTATAAAATAGCAAATGAAAGACCCATCAAATGCAAAGAACAGTTCTATACCTGGTCTATAGATCTGTCGAGGATGAGTAGCTCGCACGTTTCAGTCTGAGGGAAATTTTCAATCGACTGTTTATGTTTGGCCAGACAATTCCAGATTCCAGCTGCAAGCTTTGTGGGAATTAAATCGCGCAAAGTTGTCATTGTTGAAGCATCAAGTGACTTTGCAGCTCGGTATCGTACTGATGGAAATTCCTGTAAAGTCAAAATGATTCAGAAGAGCCATCTACAGATAATAGGCATTACTGGTGAGAGTAATGATCAGTACCCGTAGTGAAGCAAAGACGGTGGCAATACGAGAAGCCATCACATTCAAGACCGCATCGCCTCTTCGAGAAGTTTCTTCGTCACCAAAAAGATCCTCTAAAGCTCTCTCATGATCCGTGATGAAACCCTGTATAAGTTATAGTTAATAAATGACTCTTGCGAGCCCCTTTCAGATCATGAAACATACATTAGCAACATGATACCGCAGGTCATACTGCATCTTAGACCATATGATGGAGAACAATATAAACACGGTTTACGTGCACAAACACAAGAGATACGGAACAAACATACCTGGCTATCAATGGCAAAAAACTCCAAATTCATCTGCAAAATGAAATCAAGTAATAAGTTATAGATGTGGATGCTATCACAGCTCTATAACACAGATATTATAATGATTAAATCGAACAGCAACAATCAGTATACGCGACAAATTATAATTTTTGCAATATACACCTCTCTCAATGCTCCAATCCGAGGTAATACACTCGAATCTTTTTTGATGTGACCAACCAGCTCCTTGGAAACTGGAGAACTGAAGAAGACAAATGCCCTTCACAGATGCAGAGGAATAGAGAAGAAAATCAGTGTTTTAAAGAGGTTAATCTTTAGGATAAATATGATAACTAAAAGAGAATCATTTCCTTACTTCTTGTACAAGGGTGATTTCCCAGACATGTCTGACAAGAACATGATGACACTGATGAAAAAGAACGAAACATTAATATAAGAGGAAATAACAAATGCCACACATCTTCAACGCAGCAAAAGAGGATCGCATCAAAGATGAATTACTTCTCTTTTGTAGGCTGGATGAAGTATATGGCATCCATTGAAGGTAGAGGTTGTCTTCTTCTAAATATGTCTTCAACCACTACAGAGAAATGATAGCCTAAGCCAATTAAGCTACGCCAAAACAAAGCATCATTTCCAACTATAATTTTTTTTTAATAAAAAGTACTTCATTCTCACGTGAAACTCCTTCTTGTGTGATGTCAGCCATTTTGCAGGCATACGACATTATCTTGACAGTAAGTTTGTCCATGATCAGTACCTATAATACGAAGAAGGAAACAAAACTTAGCAAGACAAATACGTGTCAGCTTATAAGCAGGAAAAAAAACTGCTACTTGGCCAGCTCATCGGTAAAGTACACACAAACATACCTTCCAGGTGGATTTTGAGCTCCCTGTCTTCGCAGATCTAAGCATCTCATACAAGAGTCCTGGGAAATTATAAAATGTAAGAAATCAGGTACACTACCAATGGATAAGCCTCGCCAAAACATGACAGCAGCGTAAGCCTCACGGAATTTAGACTTAGGGATGCATGACACGAACTAAACTGCCTATAACTCTACATTCTCACTGCAGTCAAAATCCAAAACTCTCTTCTCAATGATTTTTCTAAACACCAAACAAAAGACCATGCCCTCCTTCATATACATAATACAACCTTTCATCGTCACCATCACAAACATGTAACAGATTCCTTTCCTAAGTGTCTGATAGGCATCATTTGCCAAAAACGCATTTGCGAAACGACAAGTAAATTCTAAGTTTAACATTTTTAGCTCTAGTGACTTGCCTCGTCAAACAACCATGCAGGCCAATCAGAAACAGGAAGCCCTACGATATAAGTCACTCGAAGATCAACCACTAAGCATAATACCGATTCATAAACCTCGTCCTAAATCTTAATTCTAACATCTGAGCACGAAACTCAGCAGGATTCCCAATATTTTATCAGAAAACTGTCCTAATGCAATTCAGCTCAAAGTCTTAGCCATTGAACTCACATAATCTCCCTCGGGCAAACCAATTAAAACCGTATAAACCAACATTTTATCGTTCTCATGACCGTAGAACCCAGAATCAAAATGAAACAACACGACTAAAATTGCTACTCCGCGGAACCAGGAACCAGAAATAGATCACGTGAATCCAGATAAATCGACAAGTCAATCCGAATCAACGAGAGTCAAAGCAGATGAATCAAATAAAAAAGCGAGATAGACAAAGAGAGAGAGAACTCACGTTCACGTGTAATCTGCCGAAAATTCTTGTAGTCGCCAGCTTGAGACGACGAATCGGAATCGGAGTACGACATAGCTGCGATCTGCCAACTTTCTAACTGATTTAATCTCCGGTCAGAATCTCCGATCGAAGAATCGAACAAAGGATCGACCAGAGATAAAGAGAGAGAGAGAGATTTAAGATCGCGAACTAATCAAAATATAGAGAGAACGACAAATGACGAGACGAAGACCGATGAAGAGAAGAAGCCCTTTTTTGTTTTTTATTTTCTCCCCCACCGTAATTAAATTAAAATTATTTGACTATCTTCTCTCGAAAACCGCGGTGGCTGGTGAGGAGGAATTAGGATAAAGCTTAGACCGTGTTGACCCGAACCGGCGGTTTGAATCGGTAAATCGAACTCTCGATGTAGACCGGGTCTTTTGAAGTTGATGTTCGATCGCTAGTCAATTACCAATATTAACCCCACAACTGATGTTGCTTGCTTTGACGGGACCGTTAACCTATAATATACTACATTTTAAATGTATGTGGGTCCTCTTATTTACTTCTTTAAAAGTTACTTATAGAAATACTAATTTAATTATTACGTGCTACATTGTATGAAAATAGAAAATGTGTAATTATTCCTTGCCCTATAAAAAATGATAATTTATAGATATGGTTTGTTCGAATAATAAATATATCCAGGAACTATTATGTTCGGTAACTCTAATTGCTATAATTTTGAAATTAATTGAGATTATTGTACTTTTTCTATACAGTATTATTTACCATTCAACATCTTTAAGATAACTGTTGGTCAAAGCTATCACACTAATCTTAGAAAAACATTATGATTTTTATATGGCATATGTGCATAGTATGTATCATCTATGTAACGACAACCATTAGATTCACATCGAACAAAACGCAATCAAATCCAAGAATATGAAACTAACGAGTAAACGCCAATATTTTACTTTATTAGACCTTTTCTTGAATCACTTTTGACAATAGACCAACAAAAAAATCTTCACAAACCAATTCTTGTATACTTTCGTGTAAAAGTCACCAAAATCCAGTTTTAAAATATTCACTTGCAAAAGACATTCATTTTTTTAATTACAAGCTCACAAACCAAAACAACACCCACCAATTTTATAATTCCTTAATCAACGTAATTAACTTCCTAATGGGCTATAAATGCTTATTAAACTCTTGTCGTTTTTATTACATTCCTTGACCGTTCGGTCTTCTACTACTTCCTCGTCGTTGCCACAATGCTTGCAAACCACCTTGCACTTAACGACACTCCCATACACATAAAACCCTGGCTGTACCATAGCTCGAACCAGACTCTTAAACCGGTCTCCACCAGCTTCCTCCATATAAACCGGATCGAACCGGTCGTCTTTCTCGACTCGAAAGATCTGCAATCCCGGGTTCACTGAGTTAGCCAAGAGATGAACCAACCAAACACTCTTCGACGCACCAAAGAAAGCCTGCAAACGAAAACGGAAACCGATTCAGTTGGCTTTCAATAAACCAGATAAATCTAATGCCGTTCGGTTTAGCTCTTACCTGTAAGAGTGGTTCAGGCCAGGCTCGGTTCCAGCAAAGCATCGAAACGACGTCGCTCATTTTCCGGTCACAGAATCGGCTAAACTCCTCGGAGAAATGCTTTGTTCCTCTGCTCAAGACCTCGTCCCACGTGAGTTCCATCAAGACGTTGAACGACGCGTAATTGGATTCGCAACGATCAATCGGGTTCAAAATCCGGGTCGACCCGTTTTTCTGAAACCCGGAAGCTTCGAAATCCTCGAAGAAGGCTTTGCTCAGGATCGCTTCAAGGTAAAAGATCAGGCTTTTAGGGTTTTTCGCGAAAGAGTTGATCTTGACATCGAAAGGTTGGAGGAGGAGAGAGAGTCGCTCGTAGACTTTCCCACCGACGGTTCGTAGCTGCGACGCGAGAGATCTGCTCAATGCCCTGATCGAAGATCGAGATTCCGACACTGAGACGAGGAATTGCTGAATGATCCTGTCGTTGAAACCGTCTTTACGGATCGGAACACTCTGTTTCTTGTTGCTGCACTCATCGAGGCCCGATTTGAGATTGTGGCAGTAAATTTCGAGCTTGTTGAGCTTCTTCTCGAGCTCTGCCATTGACGATTTCAACCTAGAAGCTTCTGTGACCGCGTCTTCTTTCTTCTTCGTGGCTTGAATCAGTTTATGGGATAGCTCCGCCACGGCTAACCGCCACTGCTCTTCTCTGGAAGCGTCGGCAGCGGAGGAGGAGGATGAGCGCGGAGGAAGTCCCGCCGCGGAAGAGGGTTTGGGGCTTTTCCGTGTGAGCGATTGAAAGATGGATTTGATTATGAGATTGGGGCTAGAGATGAAAGAAGGGTTGTTGTGGCTTTCGAGAGGGACGACGGAGAATTTATCACGGTGAGAGTGGTGAGGCCGACACTTGTTGCAGGAGACGGCGCCTCCGTCTTCGTCGCCGTCGTCATGTCGTTTTTTGTTTTGGTGTTTTCCGTTTCCGTTGCGGTGGAGCGGCGTGAGAGGATGTTGTTGGTTGTTACTATTGTTGCGGCGGTGGTTGTGGTGGCTTGGAGTGGCGGAAGAACCACCGTCACTGCTTGGGGTTGCTCTGTTTTTGTATCTTTCTTCGTGAAAGTCGTCTTCTTCGCATTCTGGAATCTGAAAGAACAGAGAAGGAACAAAGTTGTTTTCTTTCATTTACTCAGTGAAAACCATGCCAAAATAAGAAATTAAAAGAATTTTTGGATGTGAAGATTTTTCAAGTGACGCGATATGAGATTCTAATGGAATCATTGAGATCAAAGGATGAAACTTTAGACGAAAAGGTAACAAAATTGCTTCCTTTCACTTTTCCTTCATTTTAGCAGGAAACTAGTGGTGGGATTCAGGGGAAACATGCAAGAACAAGAAGATTTTGGCTAAACAGTCTCAATTCCACGGTTTTGTTTCAATAAAACCCAATTTTTTTCTCACAGAGTAAGACAAAACAAAACAAATTTGAAGTCTGTTTCTTTTTTTTGTTGCGCTTTTCCCGGGAAACAAAGAAGAAAAAGATTTGAGTTTTGACTTACAGGAGTGAAGTGAAGGGATTGGTGAAGAGATGCAACAGGAGATTTGGAAGGAGAAGATGAAGACGAAGGAGCCATTTTTTTTTTCCCTTGCTCTCTTTTTTTTGTTTGCTTTAATATCTCACTTTTATATAGAGACACTATTTTTTGTTACATATATATATACAGACACTATAACATCATGATAATATAGTTTATTATCAAGTCAATTTGTAAAATAAAAAAGGAGGTACTAGAATGATGATTTATTTTTTTCTTTTGGTTTTGTTCTGGTTAAACTTGGTCAAATATTAAATTTGTTTCCATCTTACTACAAGCTAAAACCAAAGTGAAGACTATACTCTATCTATTAGACATGTTTTGTTGTCGTCGCTCTGAAGATATTATTTCTTTGTAAATACATTTGAATTCAACACTACGATATTCATTAGGTCACACATCGATCCGCCAATTTCCTTTTGTATGAAACTTCCATGTATTATTGGCGTTTGTTCTGTTCACTAATTTGAACTTTTTTTGAAATAATTGGTACTTATTTTGTTATATCTATCTGCCTGTTTTCATAGCACTTATTCTCGAGTTACTACTTTTCATACTTTATTTATTTTTGCCAGCATTTTTCAAAATTTTATAAGTCAAATATATGTAGTAGACGTACGTGTGTATGTGTATATGTGGAGTGTAATGATTATATTTTCCCTGGGTATATGTAAAAGAGATGTTTTAAATTTCTCTCTTTTCGTTTTCTCTCGCTGTCTAATAATCATATCGTCAGATTCTGATCCTTTCTTCTGAAACAAACCAGGGGGGTTTTTGCTAAAAGTTAGTCCTATATATTTACATACAGCGCAAATAGCAGAAGAACAGATAATAGTTGGTGAAGAAGTAATAATAAGTTAAAAACTAACACAGATCATTGATTATTCGTCCAAAAATAATAAAGCATAGTCCCGCAACGTATTAATTATCCGCAAGTCCAATTCCACCGTTCAAAACTATACTATTTATATCGTTACAATTATAGTAACCAAGATTATACTGAACTACTGCTTTCGCTATATATGCTATTGTATCGCACCTAATTTAGCGTTGTATTTGTTTTAAAATATCCTATTAACTGCAAGATTTTTCTTCTAGAACGTAACTACCTACACATGCATAATTCATAATATGTATTTCTTCCATGAAGCTTATATTTTGTCAAAGAGATCGTTCTTCTTCATGTCAAAAAGAACGCGCACGTCATAACTATAAGTCTATAACACATTATTTAATCTACAGCTGCAGCATATATACTAAAATTATAAATGTTAAAAGACTTCAATTCGCAAATTGCAATAGTGTATTTGTGTACGTATAAACTTCTGATCTCTAATCCCTTGAGTATATTAAGATTAAAAAAACATACTAAATTGACTCTGTATTTTTTGTTATTTTGTTAAAAGTTGACTCTGTATTACAAAGTATTTAGTTCTTTATTGATGCAAGAAAAGAAGTATTTTCATCTTGTTTATACCATAAATTCTACACGCAAGGGTTAAAACAGTTCAAAACAAGATCTACATCATGAATCTACTCACCGCGTACTTTGATGTGGTTTCCATGTCATGGTAGATATATACTTGGAGTTATACAAAATACAAACAAAGCTATACACATACACGTATAGGCACTTTTTTCTTTTCTTTTTCAGTCTTTTCCTTTTTCATTTAAAGTGTACAAACAAATTTGCTACCAATAAATGCATTTTCGGTTGCATATAGATCTGATGTTTGCAAGTTTTGGTTTATATTTTTTATTCTGCTTCCCTTCGAATCCAAAAATACAGTAGCTTATAGTGGAAACTACAAAAAAAAACCAGCTTATAGTGGAAACCACGAAACTTCTACCAATAATACAAATATTCTGAATCATATCTTTAGCATCATATTTGGTAATGATAACCTATAAAAGGGTCATTCTTTTTTTTAAACGATATCACATGCTTCTTATTTTGTATTTGAAATGTTAGATTTAGAGTTCCGCTTGTTCGTGACAGTAAATATAAGAGATATGATTCCAGTAGGTCTCGTGAATACGAAAGAAAACATATATAGACATCAAATTGCTATAAAATGAGATATGAAAGTTTGTATTTATTATTTGTTGCTTAGTAATAAATGTAGACTAGGGGGAATTGTCACATTAAATACCGAGTGAGAAGAGAAGAGCATCAAATGCAAATCCAGCTAACTCATTTATGAGATTAGTTGACCCACATTACCAAACAAAAACACCTCTTGGCCTATGACTTGTTAGATTGGTTTTGCCCTTATTCATTGGGTCTTTCTTCTCTTTCAGCTCCCTACTTTAATTATCATTCTATACTTCATGTGATCGTGGTTTTGAAATTAATAAACAAGCATGAGAATTGAGAAAGGGAGTGCAAAAAATAGCATTTTGATTAATGTAGTCTTCAGCATGCAAACAAAAAATACTTAAACAACTACAATAAGTTAAAAATCTGCATATTTGATTATGCCAACTGAACTTAACAACTAATAAGTTTTTTATTTATTTTGTTGGGTATGAAATAAAGAGAAAACAAGGGGCATGTGATAGTAATAAATGGGACAATGAGAGGGTAAGATCGTCCAAAAACTGATAAGTTTTGAAAGGGTTTTCTGGTTTTGGCTTTTGGGCTCTGAAAGTTGGCTGACTTTGCGTGACATGTCTCTATTCACCGGTTGGATCATGTGCACGTGACGCCTCTACACCTCCTTTCTCATTAATTTTCCCCATTTTTTCTTATTTGTTTAATCAACATTTTTCCCATTTTTATTTATTTTTTAAAAAGTTGAGCTAACATTATAATATTACTGATTGCATAATCGGTCAGACCGCTCAGAATCCGGACAGCCCAACACCGCAGGGAACTTCGGTTCACGACAAAACCCCAATCGTCATCTGTTTTTCTCCCATGTTGTATTTTCCCCAACGTACGTTTTCAGTCATGAAGCCTTTTTTTCTTCACTTTAAAAAAGTTGAAATGGATTTTTCAATAACACCGAAAAAATATCCACAAACAAAAAAATCCTCTTTCAATTTAAAGTAGTTTCGTTTAGAATTTAGATTAATTATTCCAGACTCTCTAGTATTTGGAGTTTACGCGTTAAGGTCCAAGTTCAACAGAACCGCTGCCATTTTTTATGAACCGGAAATTAATCTTGGGAAGCAACTCAAAATATTAAACCGGGAATAAGTGGTTTAGTTTTTTCTGTCTAACGTGATGGGCTTTTACAATCCTAAAGAACTGTTCTTGAGCCCAATGTGATAACATTCTACCTACGGTATGTGAGTCGATATGATCATCTTCAGTGATCGGTTCTAAATAAATGCTCTTTGACCCAACGGATCATCTTTTGATAAGTGTGAAGCTCATCACATGAAACGCACTACTAGTGGAATGATCCACTCTTTTAGTCTAGTTGCATTATTTTCTGACCTTTCTGCATTTAATTGATTTCATCACATGATTCCTTATCTAGCAAAAGTAGCAAAATTGTGGAAGATCTCAAGTAACCAAGCAATGCCCTTTCACCTTACAAGCCAACATGAAATTATACAACCGTTTGTCTCTGTTTCAGCATAGTTTTCATGCAAATGTGCTAAAGATGGTTGAAATTATTCGAGCCAAAGAGGAGAAAGTGAAAGTGTCGAACAAAAATTTATAGTCTTATTTAATCGCATTAAAGATGTGATTTTTTGTTCTTTTTCATATCATCAGTTTGTAGCTGAGATTTTAGACAAAGTATGATACAAATAGCATCTATGGAATCTTATGTACAAAGTTTTGAAATACAAGAATCCAAAATAAACATTACTCACAATGGTCTTTGTTCCCATTACTTTTTCTAAATACTAAATACGTGTTCTTCTCCTGATCTCTGATCAATATGTGTGATCCATCTTCTCTTCTTGTTCCCACTCTTCCCCGAGTTCTTTGCCGCCACATGAGCAATCTCAATACCTCCGGTGACCGGTAGAGTCACCGTTCTAACAACTTTCCGATCTCTTAAAGCTCGTCTCCAGCTAAAACCCGAAGCACTTCTCGAATACCCGTTTCTACAAACCACAACCGCTCCTCTGCTTCCAAACGCAGCGTTCCTCAACGCAGCCGCGGCAGATTCCTTGTTTCGCCAATCCACGACCAAGAAATCGACTCCTTGTAGCTTCTTCATCGCGTTCTCTGGCTCTTCGGAGACGATCGTCTCTGGTAAGTTCAAGGGAGATGAAGATTCTTGGATGGCTTGGAGATAAGCGGATTCCGATCTCGAGTTTTGTACGATGCATATATGTTTAGCGTTTGCGTGTTGGCTCGCGACGTTTAAGCCAATACTCGAGGCTATTGAGTCTCCTTCTGACCAAGTTTCCACGATCAGTTTCGCGTTCCATCCTGCCGCCATCGCCGCTATTAGCTCCGCTGCGTCCGGCGTTTCGAGATTCTCGCACTGAAGAAAAAAAAAACCCATAACAGAATTGAGAGAGATCATTACAAGAACGAATCAAGAATATTCAATCGAAATTAAGATCTGGGAATTCAAGATATTGAGAAAAAAGTCGAATCTCACGAAAAAAAACTTACCGATTTAACGGTGTCTAAGTAAGCCTTCGATGCAGTCTCCGGAGACCAAACCAGTTTCATTTCTTCTGACTTCTTCTTCTTCTTCGTCTTCTCTACTTTTTCTCGTTTCTTGAGTTCTTGTTGTTGTTTGGGTTTTAGTATATTAAGGTTGCTTTTATAGACACTTCGACAACACGGAAAGTCTCGTTTCGTCTTTTTATTGGGTAAACATTTGGATATGGCCCATCTATTTTAGTTATATTTTTCGATTTACCCCCAATACTATCAAATTTAATCAATTACGTCCTGATTTATCTTTTATATGAAATATGTAACCATAAAACCAGAAAATGAACATATAGTACGAATCTCTTATGAATAGCTATCTGAGATATATAGAGTACTATTATCTAAAATTTGCGATATAAGGGTAAGATTTAGAAACTGTGTAATATTTGGGGGTGATAAATAAATAAATTTTTTCAAAAGATGAGAGTATATTTTTGTCCTCTTCTTCTTTTTTCTTTCTAAAGATAGGGAGGGTTGTGTTTCTAGATCGTCGACGTTGACACTAATCTAGGCGACTAAGACGTGTGTAAGCTGTAAGATTTGGATTATTACGAGATTTAAACTTAACTAGTCTATATTTAGTCCAAAACGTTCTATCTACTGTTTTTGTTGAAGTAACCAAGTTTGAATTTTCTTTCTGGTACAATAAATGCTAACTAGACTCAACTGAATTGACTTGGTATCGTAAGACACTAAGATTACATAACTAAAACCAAATCCAATCCGAGTTAGTTAGTTTAACGAAATTGGAATGTTGTTGTTGTTGTTGTTTAATGGTATGATGTTTATAACTTATACGGTAATTTGGAGTTAGCTTACTAGTACCATGTTTCATTCACACTACTCACGTCATGAATGAATTCACAATCAAAACAAAACTTCTTTTCAATAACATGCAATCTACCGAATTCACATTCAAGTAGTGACACAACAACGATGATACTAATACACACTACCATATAACATGTTTCAATCAAACGAAACCAAATTTTATTTTACTTGTTTATAAACATTTCTATCTGACAAAAACTAAAAGCGACTAATAGTTGCTAGACTTTTACGCATCATATATAAACACGTTCTAAAACTAGAACTCTAAAATATTTAGTCTCGGTCGTGCAATTAATGTGATATATGATGTTTGATAAGTCAATGTATCAATATTGTAGATATAACTTGTAGTCCTTGTCCATGTTTTAGTGTGAAATCTTACATCAACATATATTGCTCCCTAAATGATTAAGTTATGTGCACTTATCGTTAAATATACTTTTGAATAAATCTTTTATCAGTTGGATATAATAGATAATGTCTCATTGATCGTTGATAAGGAGTGTTGGATACTTTTTTCCCATCTTGTGATAATGGTGATTGTCAAGGATAATGCATAAAATTCAAACAATGAATCACATTTCAAAGCACACTAAAGAAAGATAAAGCATAGAACTCAAACATGTGAAAATTCATACAAGTGGAAGAAGTGCCTTTATAATCACATGATGATATCATATGCTTATATACATTAATGGTGACCAATACATTTAACCTATTGTCTTTGTGCCCCATAAATCCAACTATGTGGGACAAATGAAAACTTTTTATAATTCCTATGTCACTTTGAAAACGACTCTATAGGCTATGGTTTAAAGAATCTTTAGGTCATGTTTATTCTTTTTACCCCACTTTCTTAAAACTTAATCATTTGTTGTATGGTGGAATCGAGCATTTTAAGCAATTGATTTTCCACACAATTAAATATTTATCTTTAATAAAAGGCAAACCGACAAAACTATGAATCGTAAAATCAAATTTCTTCGATCTACAAAAAATCAGCTTTCATATATTTTCGTTCTGTGATCAGCCACATCACCAAATTTAATAATCTGATTTCACTCATTAATGTTGAAGATAATCATTATGAAAAACATTATGAAAAGATTGTGGCGGGAAATGATGCAAATGGTTATTAATTTAAGTGGTTAGATTACGTAAAGCGAGTTTAAGACTGTCAAGGCCCTACTATATAATTCATGTTCAAGCTAGTTAGCTAACATTTTGATTTGATGTTGAAACTCTAAAGTCTCTTCACTCTTTTGTTTTAGATTCGTGGGTGTACATTTATGATTTTCTTCATCTTTCAAAATTTAAAGCGATATTACATAAATAAAATGGGCCATATTTGGTTGGGCCTTTGATCTACACTAAAACGAGGTCGTATCAAGAACCTCTCTCGTTGAAAAGTTCACAAACGCCACTCTTTCCCGATCTCAATTTCGTTGTACAGAAAGAGCTTATTTCCAAGAGAGAGAAATTCCGACCCGGAATCTGACCCGAAAACCCGGAAGAATCGAAAAATGGGCAAGGATGGTCTGAGTGACGACCAGGTCTCGTCGATGAAGGAGGCGTTCATGCTCTTCGACACGGACGGCGATGGGAAAATCGCGCCGGCCGAGCTCGGGATCCTCATGCGATCCCTGGGAGGAAACCCGACCCAGGCCCAGCTGAAATCCATTACCGCCACCGAAAACCTATCGGCTCCGTTCGATTTCAACCGATTTCTAGATCTCATGGCGAAACACCTGAAGACGGAGCCTTTCGACCGGCAGCTCCGCGACGCATTCAAGGTGCTCGACAAGGAAGGCACGGGGTTCGTGGCCGTGGCGGATCTGAGGCACATTCTCACCAGCATCGGCGAGAAGCTGGAGCCTAACGAGTTCGATGAGTGGATCAAGGAGGTGGATGTTGGATCCGACGGGAAGATCCGGTATGAGGATTTCATAGCCAGGATGGTCGCCAAGTGAGATCTAATCTCGTTTGAAAATTTGAAAATTTCAATTTGGGTTTCGAGTTTGAAGAAGCATTTTTATTTATATTACTTGTCTGTTGATTCGAACGAGTCCCAGGGTCTGTTTGCAATTTGGAATTGCTCTGGGATAGTACTAACTTTTATTGTTCTTCCTGTTTGTTTCCTTTTTAATGGAAATGTTGTGTGTTGATTCCTAAGAATGTTTAATCTCTCGTTTTTTACTAAAAGTTCCACTCTTTATGCGTGTGTAATTCGTTGGATTGGATCAAGGAATCAAACCGATTCCAATATGTTTACTTTTCGCTCGTCTGATCTCGAAATGTGTTTGATTTCGAATTTCGAACACTGAATTCTAATATTTTTTTGGTTCGTTCATGGCTTGATTTCGTGTTCTGCATCATATAATCTGCACTTTCTTGAACGGGGTATTATCTTCTTGCTCATACCCTTTTCGTGGCACGATCCATGACCAGGACTGATGTGTTGGTATCTAAAATGGAAAGTAAAAGACTTTTGGATGATTATATATGATCTTGCTTTGCTCTGAAGCTTTTTGTTGGTATCCTTCACATGGTGTTAAGCAATCATGTACTGTTGGATGTCTCTCTTTCGGGATGGTTTGTTGTAAATGAATAAAAAAGGTTTATTCTTTCACGAATAAGGTAATGAACTTGTAGGCTACAAGTTGTAGCTCCATCATACACAACGGTCATAAGTACCCGCCAGATAAAAAAAAACAGATATAAAAGGAAACAAAGCAGAAAATTGGATCAAATTATTAATTGGAAGGAGTCTCGTCACTCGTCAGTCTCTTAGAAAACTGAGTATCATATTGATTTCAGTGGTATTTATGTTTCTTCTGATTTGGTTTCTAGATTTCGCTTAATTCGTCGGTCTAGAGTTATAACGGATATACAACTTTCTTGATATGGAAGCTCAGGAGATTGAGCTTGAGATGGATGGGGCTTTGGGTAAGCTAGTGGAACCGAGTGCACACCACTTGTATGATGAATTGTCTCTGTAATAATTTTTGAAGCGTTTTTTTTTTTTTTTTTTCAAGTGAATCCATTTCTTGTATAATAGTAAATGTTTACTGCATTTTCCAATGTGCAGAGGTACTACTTCTTTCTTCAAACACAACCATAATCAAAATCAAAACACCGCCGCTCCTCTATCTATTCCGGTCAATTTCTCGGAGGAAATGGAAGATCGATTGATTGAGCTTGAAGCACTTTAAAACGCCATGGAAGAAGGAATAGGTTTGAACATTTTCTTCTATTCCTTAGGACTATTCATGCTCATTTGTCCAACGTTGATTAGTCTTGTTATCTTGTTTGCAAGGGCTTATGATTATTATATGCCTACCTACTTCACTATTTTATTTTGCAAAGCAAACAAACCACTAAGGTCCATTGTTATTCTTATAATATTTTACTTGAGATGAAATATATGTTCATTCCTGATTTTTCCTTGTAACTTCCTAATCCGTGCTTTATGCATACTTTCTGACTTCGTTAGCTTTTGCAATTCTTCGAGAGAATAACTTTTTACTGAATTATTCTTTTTAAATACGTAACAACACGTTTTGATAATAATTATATGATACAAGACCTTAGTCTTTACGTATTGTTGCTTTTTGCTTTTTGAACAAAATTGTATGCAGGTGAAAGCAGCTTCGTGGGTTCATACTTTGATACAATTATATAAAACGAAGACCCTCTCTCTCACATTCTCTCTATTCTCTTGGCTGATTAACGATGGGAGGTCGTTTCTCTGTTTCAGTGTCATCTGATCAAGCGTTGAGAAATGTCTCTCAATTTTTATGCTTCCATGCGAGTTACATTCACAGTCTTGAGGAGAATCTCGAGGCTATACAGAAAGACATGGAAGAGCTCAAGGCAAGACAAACTGACGTGTGGAGAAGGGTCGAGAGAGAGGAGGATACTAGAGGTCATCACCGGCTTGAAGAAGTCAAGGTATGGCTTAAAAGTGTTGATAGCATCAGTAGGCAAGTCTGTTATCTGCTTAGTAATAGAACTGCTGAACTTGAAAGGTTGTCTCTTAGTGGGTTATGTTCCAAGAACTTAAGATCGAGTTATAGTTATGGAGATAGGGTGTCGCTGATGTTGAAAAAGGTTAATGATCTCAAATCTAAAGGCGTGTTTCGAGTTGTGGCTGAGCCAGCTACAACGGCTACGAAGGAGGAGAGGCCTTCCTGTTCCAGGCTGACTATTGTCGGTCGGGAAAAAATTCTCAAGAGGGTTTTAAACACCCTCGTGGGTGGTGGACCCGGGATTATGGGTCTGTACGGCGTTGGTGGCGTAGGCAAATCAACTATTCTCCGAGAGATCACGAACAAGATCAGTGGCAGATTTGACTTTGTGGTTCGGGTTGTTGTGTCTAAACATCTGTGTGTCGAGAAGATTCAAGAAGAGATCGGTAAGAAACTTGGCTTTCATGGGACAGAGTGGAACCAAAAAGAGGAAAGCCAGAAGGCCAATGATATACACAGCTTCACGAAGAGAAAGAGATTTGTGTTGTTATTGGATGATGTATGGAGCACAGTAGATTTAACAAAGATCGGAGTCCCATTTCCTACAAGGGAAAACAAATGCAAAATAGCATTCACCACTCGCTCTCGAGAGGTGTGTGTGCATATGGGTGTTGATGACCCCATTGAAGTCCGGTGCTTGTCTGAGAATGATGCTTGGGAGTTGTTTCAGATGAAAGTTGGAGATAACACGATAGGAAGCTGCTCGGAGATTCCAGAGCTCGCGAGAAAAGTTGCTGAAATATGTCATGGTGTACCACTGGCGCTTAATGTTCTTGGCAAGACCATGTCCTCCAAAACTACAGTGAAAGAATGGAATGATGCAATAGACGTTTTGACTTCATATTCTGCAGAGTTTGTAGGAATGGAAGATGAGATTCTGCCGTTGCTGAAGTATAGCTATGACAATCTGATGGGGGAAACGTTAAGGTCCTGTTTTCAATATTGCGCTCTGTTTCCTCCAGCTTTTACACTGAGTAAAGATGATTTGGTAGAATGGTGGGAAGGCGAGGGATTCATTGGTGGATACAACCAAGGTCGTGAAGTAATTAATAAGCTTGTCCGCGCTAGTTTATTGATGGAAGATGATGAGAATGACAAATTTGTGAAAATGCACGATGTGGTTCGTGATATGGCTTTGTGGGTAGAATCTGATTTTGGGAAGGAGAAAGAAAGATGTATCGTGCAAGCTGGTGTTGGTCTACGTGAAGTACTAACGGTCAAGGATTGGAGTAGTGTGAGAAGAATGTCATTGATGAATAATGAGATTGAAGATATATCCATCAGTCACGAGTGTCCTCATCTTACAACTCTCTTGCTCCAACAAAACCGCAACTTGGTGCATATCTCTGGTGAATTCTTCAGGGATATGCCAAAGCTAGCTGTTTTGGATATGTCGTTTAATCAGCTCACGGAATTGCCAAAGCAGATATCAAATTTGTTCTCGCTGCAATATCTCAACTTGTCACGGACTAATATAGAGCGATTGCCTGATGGTCTAGGAAGGTTGAAACGTCTGAAACATCTCAATCTGGAGATGACAGAGAGACTTAAGAGCATTGATGGGATATCAGATGTATCAAATTTGGTGGTACTGCGACTACTGCATTCAAAGTTTTCGCTCGACGTTAGTACAACAGAGGAGCTACAACGCTTGGAAAAACTGGGGAGCTTAACCATAGACATCTCCTCGAGTTCAGCTTTGGAGGAACTGTTCAGCGCTAATGAGATGGCAGGTTGTATCAAAGAGATATGTATCAGAGATGTTAACGAAGAAGCATACAAAACACTTGTTTTGCCAACGATGGAGCGTCTCAGTAAGCTCATCATAAGGAGCTGTGAAATATGGGAGATTGAGATCGGAATGACGTCGTGGGACATAATTCTGACAAGGTCAAGACTGAAAAACCTCTCAAGTGTGATTATAACTTCCTGCAACAGTCTCAAGGATTTGACGTGGTTGTTGCTCGTTCCTAACCTCACTCATCTGAAGCTTCAGTCTTTAGAGAAGGTACAAGACATCATAAGCGAGGAGAAAGCTGCAAGTAGCCCCACAGATGAGCAGAAAGCGCGAGGTATGAATACTCCTTTTCTAAAACTTGAAAGGCTTGAATTGATGGATCTACCGATGCTGAAGAGAATCTACTGGAGTCCTCTGCTCTTCCCTTGTTTAAAGAAGATTGAAGTAGAAAAGTGTCCGAAACTGAGAAAGCTTCCACTCAATTCTGAAAGCTGCGTTGGTGGTGAAGAACTTGTTATAAGCTACAGAGATGATAAATGGTTTAAAAGGGTTCGATGGGAAGATAAAGCCACTAAAGACCGTTTCTTACCTTGCTGTGAGAAGGTATGGAACTTTTCCATCACTAACAAAGTTCTCTTAATTTTGTTATTCCACACACTAAAAAGTTTGTTGTCTTCTTTGCTTGTGTTAGCTCATCATGCCCTCGTACTCAGGAGAGTAACAGCCGGTTTGCTGCAGTCGGCTACTGATTGTGTTTGCTATCCTTTTGTATGTTTTGGATTGTTGTATTTGGGTTATAAAGTTTGAAAAACCGCCAGAAAAAGAAAACAGATATACAAATCTATGCTGATCTTATTTGGATGTCTTGAATGATTCTTAATCCGTGGGAGAAAATAATACAACTGTTTTAGTACCTTCATATCTACAATATTTATGCACACATTAGCATAAAAATAAATAATTATGCAAATAAACTGAATGCTTTTGGGCCAGTAAAAAAGTTTGAAGAATATATTGGCCCAAGTACATAAGTTGGGATTTTTTTATTCTGGGCCACACTATAACGGGCCATCTCTCTCTTTTTTTTTTGTAAGCCTAAGAGATGGCGCCACGTGGCAGACATCGATGCCGGAGTAATCTGAATCTATGCTGATCCTGTCGAGGAGGCTTGCCCGTTTGGGATCCGGCTCGAGAAAGGTGAAGATCAAACCTCGTATCGCAGGTACTTTCATTGTCTTAACATCTGGGTGTTCAGTAGCTTCTCGTTTTAGGCTTGGTTTCTTACACGTTCTTTTGACTTTGATCGAATGTGTGTGACTTCGTAGTAATTGTGAAGAAAAAGACTGAGCCTTTAAAATCATAATTGATTTGAGTTTTAGAATGCGTTCTCTTGCCGTATCGTTTCATGGACCGCTAATAACTGTTGCTAATTGGAAGTAGCTAATGGGTGATTTGCTCTGTGAATCTCTCTCTCTCTCTCTCTCTCTCTCTCTCTCTCTCTCTCTCTCTCTCTCTTTGTGCAGTGATGTGAGGTTGTTTGGCTGTATTGGTGTCATGTGATCGATTTTTGTATATGGTTAGGTTGCCAAGTGGAGTTATATTCTCATCAAAGATGGATTCGAGATTACGCTTTTGTATGTATGGGCTGAGTAGGCAAAATCACACCTTTCACGCAGATCAACACTCATTTTTCTGTGAAATGGATGCTGGATTTATAACATTGTGGCGTTTGGCGTAAGCTTGAAGGAGGATTTCGCCTACTCCTCCCATACCATACAATACCCTTAATCCTGAATCCATCTCTGATGGGTAACTACTTGAGTCCGAAGCTGAGAAAGCATTTGCACTTCGTTTGCTACCATCATTCACATGAACTCTGAATTGGTATGTTTCTCATTCACAAAATTACCAACATAACATGTTAGACCATGTACTTGTTCATTGTTTATTCATGGAAAATCATAGGAAAACCCTCTAATATTGCTGATCTAATACCGCGACGACTTGGCGCGAGATATTACTACAAAATTCCAAGTTGAGGAATAATTATCAGTATACTATTTGATATTATTGGAAGCTTAGTATATTAAATTACGATGTCACGATTGTGGGTAATTCAACTACATAGATGACTTGGGACTCATTCACAAAATTACCAACAAACTCTCAAGATCTTAACATTTGAGTTCTAATCTCGGCATATCGCAATCAAGCCTTACTGATTTTGCATTCTCAATTTCTCTTTGTGTGTCAACAGTACGATGAATGATGTTGTCTCAAAATCAACCGAATTCGTGGTTAACCTAGTCTGTAGCTGCTTTTGTGCCGAAGTCCACAATTTTTGTAGACTCGACAAGAATCTAGAGGCTCTGGGAGAAGGCATGGAAAGACTGAAGGCAAGGCGAGATGATGTGCTGAAAAGGGTGGAGAGGGACGAGGACACAGGTCTACAAAGGCTTAAGGTAGTTGATGTATGGCTTAGGGCTGTCGAGACCATTGAAAAGCAGGCCGATGAAACGCGTACGGCTTGTACACGTCAAGGGATGTCTCTTTGTGACGCTTGCTCAAGAAATTTAGGATCAAGGTTTCGTTACGGGAGAGAAGTTTTCTCGATGTTGGAAGATGTTAGAGAGCTCACAGTTCGCAAATTAACTGAGGATTTCAATGCGGTGGCTTTGCCACCTACGAGAGATGTGGTGGAGGAAAGGGATCTACAACGAATCATTGTTGGTCAGGAAACAATGCTCGAGAGTGCATGGAACCGCGTCAGGGATGAAGGAACCCAGGTGATGGGTCTACAGGGCATGGGCGGAGTAGGGAAAACAACTCTTCTTGACCAAATCAACAATAAGTTTTGTGGCGAAAATGATGGGGTTGACAAAGTGATTTGGGTTGTGGTGTCCAAGGATAAACGGAACGAGAAGATTCTAGATGAGATCGCTGAGAAACTAGACTTCGTTACTGGAGCTCTTGTATACGCACTTCCATGAAGAAGAAGCGGTTCGTGTTGTTACTGGATGACATCTGGAGCAAAGTGGAATTAAAAGATATCGGAGTTCCAGTTCCGACAAGGGAAAACAAATGCAAAATTGTATTCACCACTCGTTCAAGGGAAGTGTGTGAACGCATGGGGGTTACTGACCCAATCGAAGTCACTTGTCTGGACACGGAACAATCCTGGGAGTTGTTCAGAGAGAGAGTCGGGGAAAACACGCTGGGAAGCCACCCAGACATTCCCAAACTGGCAAGAAAAGTCGCTGGAAAATGCCGTGGCCTACCATTGGCGCTGAATGTTCTTGGTGAGACAATGTCATTCCAGAAAACAATACAAGAATGGCGTCACGCGGTTAACGCTTTGGCTTCATCAAAATTTTCTGGAATGGATGAGGAGATTCTTTCAATTTTGAAGTATAGCTACGACAGTCTCAAGGAGAAGCATGTGAAGCCGTGTTTCCTCTATTGCTCTCTATTTCCCGAAGATTTTGAAATCAGTAAAGACAGGTTGATTGAATATTGGATCTGTGAGGGTTTCCTACAAGAAAAGCAGAGTAGAGACAAGGCATTCGACGAAGGTTATGCTATCCTCAAGACTCTTGTCCGTGTAAGTTTACTGTTGGAAGTATCAATATATAAAGTGAGAATGCATGATGTTGTTCGTGAGATGGCTCTGTGGGTAGCATCTGAGCTCGGGGAGCATGAAGGGAGATATACCGTGCAAGCCGGCGTTGGGTTACGTGAAATACCGGAAGTGGATAACTGGGGACTCGTGAGAAAGATGTCGTTGATGAACAATGAGATCGAAAAGATATCTGAAAGTCCGGACTGCCCTGAACTTACAACTCTGCTCCTCCGAGAAAACAAGCTGGTAAACATCTCAAGCGAATTCTTTCAGCGTATGCCTAGGCTACTCGTCTTGGATCTATCGCAGAATAGCTGGTTCAATGGATTGCCAGAGAAAATATCAGAGTTGGTCGCTTTGAGATATCTTGACTTGTCAGGCACACATATAGAGCGACTGCCTGTTGGTTTAGAGGCGTCCAAGATGCTGATATATCTGAATTTGGAAAACACGTGGAGACTTGATAATATTTCGGGGATATCAAAGTTTTTGAGGTTGAGGAGACTGGGACTATGGAATTCCAAAACGAAGCTAGACACGAGCTTATTAAAAGAGTTGCAGCTTCTTAGACATCTACAAGTTGTTACCATAGGTATAAGGTCAAGTTTGGTTGCGGAGCAATTGACTTCCTATCACAGCGTGGTGAAATGTATCCAGAAGGTAGATTATAAGGAGCTTCAGGAAGAATCATTCAAAATATTGACTTTGCCGACTATGGTTAATCTTTGTGACCTCGAGATAGAAAAGTGTGGAATGGGGGAGATAAAGACAGAGGGGGAAACATCATCATGGAACAAAAGTCCCACGAGTCCATCCTTCCTCAACCTTTCAACTGTGTTTATAAACTATTGCAAAAGTCTGAAGGATTTGACGTGGCTGTTGTTCGCTCCGAACCTCACTATTCTTAACGTTGGTCACTCAACGCAACTAGAGTATATAATAAGCGAAGAGAAAGCTGTAAGTGGTGTCACAGGTACCATCATTCCTTTTGGAAAGTTAGAACACTTCAGCTTCTATAATTTACCAATGTTGAAGAGCATCTATTGGAGTTCTCTTCCATTTCCATGTTTGAGAGGAATCAGGGTAGCAGGGTGTACAAACCTGAGAAAGCTTCCATTGGATTCTAAAAGTGTTAGCAAGGTTGATGGATTTGTTATCCAGTGCATAGAGAGACATTGGACCAAAAGTATTGAATGGGAGGACGAAGCCACCAAACTCCGTTTCCAAGGTGCCTGCAACGCCTATTAGCTCCCTCCCCAATGACCTGACACAATTTTTTTTCAAAATCTCTCTCTCTTCTTTCAAATAATTGTGTGACTAGTTGAATTTGTTTTTAATGTATTTGTGATATATTCATGTGTGTCGGTTATTAATTTGTGAGAGTTCTCTAACTCCACAAAAGATGGGGGTTTGTAATAAAATGTAGACATGTGGGGCTAAATTGTAAACAAAAGATTGGGCTCATTTCAGGAATTGTTGCGACTTGTTGGCTGTGTTAAAGCTGAGACTTGAAACTTGAGTGAGCGATGCAAAACTCCTCCCATCATGATTGTGTTCGATGGCTTAGTTGTACTTGTACAGAGTCGCATAAATCTGCAGTGGCTCTGTTTTCGTGAGCGACAAGGAAGAGCTTCAATATTGAAACAGAGAATAATAAAAAGAGAGGCTCTGTGTTCATTAACGTAGGCGTTAAAAGACTGTTATCTAATTTCTTACGTGGTTAGCGGTGCGAGTAATTTTTCACGAATAAAGTTGTTCTTTTGTAGAATTTCGAAGAAGATGGGGTTTTATTAGACGTTAAATTTTTAAATCAAGATCTTTCGTTGGTGCTTTATTTAGTAGAGATGAAAGTGACACATCCAGTGTAGTTGCGTCTACAACTGTCATATTCTTGGAAGCTTGCTATATTACATTTAAAAAAAAAATGATGCTACCATGCATAGTGACGAGACAAAAACAAGACTTTGACTCACTCAAACAATTTCCAGCAAATTCCAAGGTGGAGAGTTGAAGTTTTATTTTCTTCTACCTTCTCTTGTCTCATCTCATTTACTAATTTCCAAATCAAGATTAAGCTTCCTCGTTTGCATTTGTGAATCTATTTTTTGTGTGTGTGTCAAGTGCAAGATGGGTGGTTGTGTCTCTCTCCAACTCCAAGTATCATGCGATCAAGTGTCGAACCGTCTCGGTAGCTGCTTTTGCAGCAAACTCAAATATATTCATAATCTCAAGGAGAATCTTGTAGCTCTGGAGACAGCCATGGAAGATCTCAAGGCAGTGCGAGCCGATCTGCTACGGAAAGTCCAGGCAGCAGAAGAAGGAGGTCTACAAAGGCTTCATCAAATCAAGGTATGGCTTAAGAGAGTCAAGAATATAGAATCCGAATTCAATGATCTAGATAGCACTAGAACTCTTGAACTACAAAGGTTGTGTTTCTACGGTGCTGGCTCCAAAAACTTAAGTCTGAGCTGTCTCTACGGAAAAAGAGTCTTGTTGTTGTTGAATATGGTTCAGGACTTAAAATCTAGAGGGTGTTTTGAAGAGGTGGCTCATCCAGCTATTAGAGCCGTGGGCGAGGAGAGGCCACTACAACCGACGATCGTTGGTCAAGAAACAGTTCTTGAAAAGGCGTGGAAACACCTCATGGATGATGGAACCAAGATCATGGGTCTCTACGGTATGGGTGGAGTAGGAAAAACAACTCTTCTCACACAAATCAACAACAAGCTTGTTGATCTGTGCGACACAAATGATGGAGTCGAAAGTGTTATTTGGGTTGTGGTCTCTGGTGATCCAAAGATCCACAAGATACAAGACGAGATTGGCGAGAAGATAGGTTACAAAGGCGTGGAATGGAGAAAGAAAAGAGAAAACCAAAAAGCAGTCGACATACTTAACTTTCTAAGCAGAAAGAGATTCGTGTTGCTTCTCGATGACATATGGAGGAAAGTAGATTTAACAGAGATTGGTATCCCGAATCCAACGAGCGAGAACGGATGCAAAATAGCATTCACCACTCGTTCTCTAGGCGTGTGTACGAGCATGGGAGTTCATGATCCAATGGAAGTACGTTGTTTAGGTACAAACGATGCGTGGGACTTGTTCAAGAGAAAAGTCGGTAAAAACACGTTAGAAAGACATCCGGACATTCCCAAGATCGCGAGAAAAGTTGCCGGAGCATGCCGTGGCTTGCCGCTAGCGCTTAACGTCATCGGAGAGACGATGTCATGCAAGAAGACGACGCAAGAATGGTATCACGCGGTTGACGTTTTGAAAACGTATGCTGCGGATTTCAGTGACGTGAAGGAGAAGATTCTTCCGATCTTGAAGTATAGCTACGATAATCTTGAAGACGACAGTGTCAAATCTTGTTTCCTGTATTGCTCTCTGTTTTCTGAAGATACTCTAATAGAGAAAGAGAGGTTGATAGATTATTGGATATGTGAAGGGTTCATTGATGGATATGAGAGTAAAGAAGGAGCCGTGAACCAAGGGTACGCGATACTCGGTACACTTGTGTGCGCCTCTTTGTTGTTGGAAGGAGGAAAATACAACAATAAGTCATACGTGAAGATGCATGATGTGGTTCGAGAGATGGCTCTGTGGATAGCATCTGATCTCGGGAAGCATAAAGGGAAATACATTGTACGAGCCGGTGTAGGGTTAAACGAAGTACCAAAGGTCAAAGATTGGAAAATTCTGAGAAGGATGTCATTGGTGAACAACAGGATTGAAGAAATACATGGAAGTCCCGAGTGTCCTAAGCTCACAACGTTGTTCCTTCAAGATAATCGCCATCTTGTGAATATCTCCGGAGAATTCTTCAGGTCTATGCCAAGATTAGTTGTTTTGGATCTCTCATGGAATGTTAACCTCAAAGCTTTGCCGGAGCAGATATCAGAGTTGGTTTCTCTGCGATATCTTGACTTGTCAGAGTCAAACATAGCGAGATTGCCCGTTGGTTTACAAAAGCTGAAGAACCTGATGCATCTGAATCTTGAGTCTATGTTGTGTCTTGAGAGTGTTACAGGGATATCGAATTTGTCGGGTTTGAAAACGTTGAGACTACTAAACTTATTGATGTGGCTATCTATGAGCTTATTGGAGGAGCTGAAACGCTTGGAACATCTTGAAGTTCTAACCATAGAGATCACATCAAGTTCGGCGTTGGAAAACCTCTTATGCTCTCGCAGGTTAGTGAGATGTCTTCAAAAGGTGTCTATAAAGTACCTCGACGAAGACTCGGTCAGGATTTTGACTCTGCCATCGATAGAAGATCTCCGTGAAGTGTTCATTGGGGGGTGTGGAATGAGAGAGATAGTGATAGAAAGGAACAGAGATCTGAGTAGTCCATGTTTTTCAAAGCTGTCCAAAGTTTTGATAACTGGTTGCGATGGTCTTAAGGACTTGACGTGGCTAGTGTTTGCTCCTAACCTAACTCATCTAAATGTTTGGAACTCAAGCCAAGTAGAAGAGATCATAAGCCAAGAGAAGGCTTCAAGTGTTGATCTCGCTCCTTTTAGGAAACTTGTGTATCTGCACTTGTGGAATTTGCCTGAACTGAAGAGCATCTACTGGAGTCCTTTGCCTTTTCCATGTTTGAATCAGATCAACGTACAAAACAACTGTCAAAAGCTGAGAAAGCTTCCGTTGGATTCTCGGAGTTGCAGTGAGGGTGAAGAAGTTGTCATAGAATACGGAGATGAAGAGTGGAAAGAAAAAGTTGAATGGGAAGACGAAGCCACAAGACTCCGTTTCTTGCCTTCCTGCAAGTTGGTTTTGTATAATCTTTGACTCACCGAGTGAAAAGTGGTCATATGAAATACTGTTTGTGTGCTAAGTCGTAAATAATCTGTACCAGAGCCGTTGTTAGATTAGATTCTCATTTCAAATGTCAAGATTTCAGACTCGGTCGAGATTACGTAATCTATATTCATATGTGTGAAAGCTATTTTATCTTGGTTTTGTGAGGTCTGTATGCATTTCTCAGGTTCTTGTGCTACTTGGGTAATCTGCAAAGTTAAGTTTGATGTGTTCTTTTGATTGTAATCATTGTATTTGTATGATATTTTTGTAAATATTGTAATGCAACTAGGAGAAGATAGATATAGTCACTAAACAGGATTAGATCATGAGATCAAACCACTAATTGTCTTCTTCAGCATTGCAGAGACTATCTACAAGCTATTCTCTCTAGCTCAGACCACAAGTTTGGTAGTCGATTATAACATGTTCAGTGTGTTCACTCTATTGGATTTCTACGATGGAGAAAGTACAGAGAAACAGAATTTGAAATATATTGACTGTTGGACAATGGAAAGCCAGGACCGTTTTTATAATTGTTGCAAGTTGCGAAAGATAAAAATAAGAGTAAAAATGAATTCGCAAAAAGAAAAAGACGATGTTTGATGTCTGTCACCTCTTGTCAGTTTATTTCATCTGGACGATTCCCGCGTTAATAAGCTTTTGAATCTTGTTCATAATCATTGGGTTTTGCATGTGTTTCTGTGCTGACACCGGATTCTCCTGAAGATCACTCAGTACCTGTTCGGAGAAAAAAAAGGAAATAGACTGTTAAAGAGGCATACTAAAGACGCAAACTCGATCCAATAACTAAAACATAAAACATAGTCAGATCTGTCTAGATCTTCCACAACAGAGTCATATCGATAGTAAGAAGTTCATTTCAAAGCAAAAACTGCAGCTTTAATTGCATCATATAATCACAAGTTTATGAAGTGGAAGATGAAGTCTGTATCTTTACCTGTCTCATCACAGGATCTGTGAGGATGTTCTGGACTTCTGGGTCTTGCATCCCCTTTGCCTGCAGAAAACAAAATGGAGAAATCCCAAAGTTTGCAATCTGATATTCTTTTAATCAAGAAAGGGGGAAATATTCAGAGGGAGTCTTTAAAGAGTCTAACCTGTCTCTCTTTCAATTCATCAGGAGTAAGGTCTCCACGATTAGCCTTGTTTATTTGTTGTACACATCTTGCAGAACAGATTTAAACCATGTTAGGCAAATTCATGGCAATAGAAAAAAGAGTTAATAATCTCGTTGTGCATGTGTGTATATATACCTTCTAACACCGTCAAGAAGTTCCTGATTGTTAGGATCATGCTTGAGACCTTCTTGATATGTTTCCATCGCGTTGTCATACTCTTTCAAGAAGAATTCGACTGCAGCTTTTCTGCTGTATCCTTTAGAGAACGTTGGATCGATCTCAATACATTTTTTCGCATCCTTTAGTCCTTCAGGCATCGCACCAAGCTTAGTGTAACAAGCAGCTCTGTTGCTATATGCCTAACATGAAATAGTTTCCAAACAGTCAAAATAGGAAATCACAGTAGAAAAGCTAGAGAACATATGAATGACGAAATTGGCATTACTTTCGGGTCGTTTGGGTTCCTTTTGATTGCTTCAGTGTAATGTTTTATAGCGTCAGGATACTTCTGCTCCTTGAAGAACTCATTACCTGCATTATAAACACTAACACTGTATCAGTAAAACGCTAACTCATCTTGATTTTTAAAGCTTTCTTTTCTCACGCAAACAAAGATGGGTTGCAAAAAAATTAAACCTTTTTCACGCTCCTCATCCCCGATCTTAGGGTCAAAATACTCCTTCTGCTCCCACTCTTTCTTAGCTCTTTCTGCCTCGTTCAGCTTCTTCAATGTCTCAGGGTTACGGTGCTCTGTAAGAGCTTTCTGGAAAGCTTCAATTGCAGGTTCATAGTCTTTTGAGCATTTCGCCAACTTGGTCATCGCAGTCCCTTTCCTAGTCAAAGCTCTAGCTACCATCCTGTAATCTGATCTAAGCTCTCTACCCCTTTCCACTGCCTTGTCACAATCCTCAATGCACTCATTGTACTGAATCCAACACATTGACATTTAAACCAATCAACATTGTAGCTCATGACAATTATTAAAACGAAGAAGAGCACAATACACATATGAAAAAACTATACCTTTCCCGTTTCAAGATAAACAGCGGCACGATTTGTGATATATGAGATGTCTTCATCGTCAATCTCCATGGCTGTAGAGTAATGCTGGATGGCAGTTTCGAAGTCTCTCTTCTTGTAAGCAGCCGTCCCCAGCTCTTTCTCGTTTTTGGCTTGCTGCTTCCTCTCTTTCTTCTCGTTCTCCTCAGTTACCTCCGGCTCCGGTTCAGGCTCCGGTTCACGCTTCTTCACAACCTCCGGCTCTTCCCTAGGAGCCTGTGGCATATCGGAATCAGGAACCTCCGCCTCGTCTCCTGCAGGAGGCCGGAACTTAACATTCAATAGAACTCCAAGCGATTGGATCACTCTCTGGTCTTTGAAATACAAATTGAGATTGCTAGGGTTCTTCTGGATGTCCTGCATCATGTTAACGAAATCAGGCTGCTGTAGAAATCCTCTGGTCGAAGGATCCGCCGTAAGCTTCGTCCACATCTCCGGACCCTTGAAAGCATCGCCAAAAGGATTGGGCGTCGAAGGCCCAGCTCGTGACCTCGAAGCAGACGCCTGAGCATCGGCTAATCCCGATTTTAACGCCTCGTTGCTCGGATCGATCTCTAGGCCCTTGTTATAAGCAGCGACGGCTTCCTGGAACTGGTTTAAACCCAAGTGAGCAGCGCCGAGACGGCTGTAACCCTTGGGCCAATCAGGTTTGAGTTCGACGGTCTTCTCAGCGTCGGAGAGAGCATCGGCGTAGTGGTGAAGCGACGCGTGAGCAGCGGAACGGTTGGAGAAGAGTACGTGATTGGTTGGAGCAAGATCGATGGCTTCGGTGAAGTGACGTATCGCGGAGGTGAAGTCACCGGAAGAGAAAGCGGCGTTTCCTCTAGCTTTGGCTTCGTCCGCCATAATTGGTTGAATCTGAGATTATGCAGTCTCTGGAGCTTCTTCTCGTGACTTGGGAGACTTGAGAAAATAAAAAATTCCTCGTAACAGAGTTTTTTGTTTGGGGTTTTTGAGGAATGGGGTTTGTTTGGATGCGAGGATATTGTTTGTTACTGGGGTAATATTATCCGGGTTATTATTATCCTCACCGCGTTTACAAATAATAAGATTTATCAGAAACGGCGTCGTTATGATGTATAAAACTTTCTCCTTGCTTATATGATGGGAGTTAGGAAGATGTCTATGAATCAAAGAAATAAAGAAAAAATGAAAGCTCTTGAATTTTTAGTTTGGATTCATACTGTTCTTTTTTTGGTAAATATTGGATCCATAGTTGTTGGAATACGAAATTCTTGTACTCCCAAAATCAATACAGTGTTTGAAATCAATTATGTATTTGCAACTTACATTTCTTTAAAGCTCTAAGCTCGCGGGAAACGTTAACCAAACTTATATTCTGCTTCATGCTCTGCCTGAAAAAGTGGTTATGGATTCATTAAATAAAGTAGATCTCAATGTTTCTTATGCGAGGTTGCAAAGAGGTGTTCTTGCCTCTTGGTGCTTCCACTGTGGTTAGTTAAAGCACAAGTGATGATTTTGCTGAAGAGGCATGTTATGAAACATCTTCTGGTCTTCTTCTTTAATCTTGAAGCCTCTATGATTGCGAAGACATTTACACTGAATCCTAGATTTCAGTTATGTAATGCGTCAATTAGCCCTTTATAGTTTAATTGATGAAGGATGCAAAAGCAAAATAATCTTCCTTCTCAAAAAAAAATTAGCAAGTTAATTAAGAAGGCTAGAGCACGAAATCTCATTTTCTCCTATGTAAGTTCAACGGTTCCGATTAGTTCTTCGTAGAGAAGAATCTCTTGTCGAAAACTTAATAATTTGGTGTTCATCTAAGAAACACCAAGTTTCTCATACATGCATTCATAAAGTATATAAATATGATCATCAATGGAGAAAAATAATAAAATAGTGTACATCAGAGAATGTTCTTTCTCAATTAATGCAGTTGAAATTTTTTATGGGGCAAAGTTGGACAATTTTTGCTTCTCATATTCTTGAGAGCCACTTTTTGATCTTCTCTAACTCTCCCCATTTGAAGAATCCCAGTGACTAGGAGAGTTCAAATTCATCATTTCACTGAGCTTTATTAAGACATTTTCTTCTCAATACACTTAATTTTAACAAAAGTATATGTCGGTGTATACTGTAATATCTATATATATAGACACATGACTCATCATGCATAGATCTAGAACCTTAATTATACTAACTAGAGTATTTTTTACTGCCCTCTTTATTTTAATTTGAGTCTCTTTTAAATTGTGTTCATTTCTTTATCATATGATTACTACTATAATTCGTATTATTATTCCGGAGAAGACATATAAACCAAAATGCAATCATGACTCCCATTTCCATTTACATCTCGCATTTTAAAACTTATGTGTACACGAAAAAATATCAAAAAAATGAAACTTGCAATTATTAGTCATACGCCTTGAGCTGCCCAACTGTGAAATCATTAGGGTCGGTGTGCATATTTGTTTTAGCAAAATGGTTGACTTTAATTTACAGTCCTACTGATACTGATACAGTATGTCAACTCAAATAGAATTATATTCTTCTTCTTTTTTTGATCAAATGAATTATATACTTCTATATCTATGTATATCAACCTTATGCGTGCTGATGATTGTTCCAAAACGAATTCCTACGAATCGAAAAATCCAAAAACTTAAAAAGATCAGATATCTACATCTCATTGGGCTTTCTTTTTTTTGTATCTCTTTAGCTGAGGAGTGAAATTATAATCGGAACTGATTAAAGGTCATTATAAGCTAGTTGAGTTTGTTGAGTTAGTATTCGTCGAAATGCAAATCATCCAGTAATTTTTCTTATTCATTAATGATTCATATCACATGAAATAATTAGTCGTTTGGTGCATGGTATAGTAATTAAAGCCATGCATTTAGATTATTGTTACGTCTACTAATTAATGATAATTAGTTTACTAATTATTATTATTTTATGTGCGCTTGTTAATTAATAATTACATATATAAATCGTGTGGGCCTAAACCTTATTTACTGGGCAAAATATACTTCGAATAATCTTTTGTTTTTAAACTCTAATACCGAACAAAAAATAATAGTAGTGCCACAACTTTTATTTTTGTTAAAAGTAATACCAAAATATATGATATAAAAAGTTATATATTGTTTTAGACATAAACTGTTTAGTAACATATATCTTATTGCCCTCGTAACAAAAACAAAACAAATCCAATAAATATAGTAGTTTTTGTTTACTACACTATATGTCTCGCACATATGCATATTTTTAAGAGCTATTTAAACTACATAGCATAATTTCGGAATGTTGGATCACTCGTAACAGAAATTATAATATATCCATTGTTGAAATGTCACAACGGATTAGTCCGGCTCATGCCATGAGGTTCTATCTATCGATCACCCTAGATTTGATCTTAAATTTTTTTGGGTTCATATTAATTTGTTTCTGTTCTGGCTAGCTTAATAACTAGACCAATTTGGCATACTGGCTTCTGGCTAGCTACAGCCTAACTATTGGTAACCGTAAGATCAAACCAGACGCTAAAGTATAGGATGGTACTAGAATCTTTCACATGGAAGTGTTTTCACATGTAACAAGTTTTTATCATGGGACAAGAAACTGACAAAAGGAACAAACTTTCCCACGTGGTATAATTCTTTGGGCTTTTCGTTATGATTAGGGTTATGGGACAAGTTGTGAAGAAATATGTCTTCTCATCGAATGGATTTACACCACGTGGTTATTAGCCAGTTCCCCTTAAAAAGCCCTAACATGCACTAAAAAGCCTTGATTTGGACCGTTCATTTAGTTTCAACTATACAATAATATATAAAGAGTTAAAATAATTTATCAGGCCTTATACTTGTCACGATAATTCTTGTAGGTAATAAATATACAAACAAGTAGCAGGATATATTTAGAAGGTAACTACACATTTAGATTAAATAAGAAATTTTCTGCCCCTCGTCCCATGCGTATAATAGGATAGTATAATTAGTTGTCTTGAAGGTTTTATACACTCAATTGAAAATCGTAGCATGATATAATTGTTATAAAATAATTAAAAAGTAGAATTCGTGGAGATTCTTCATTTCTTCTTCTAGAATCCAAAACTACAAAATAAATTTTATTATACTTATTCATAGTGGTAACTTGCAATTTCAGCAGGATCTATGTGAAAAGTATTATATTGACCTTTTTGTGGGTTAATTGTAACGTATAATTTTGGATTCTATGTGAAAAATCTTATTTTATTCATATTTTAATATTCCACATATGGTAGGTGGCCCAATGAGAGCTCACCATTCACCAATCCAAACCAAAACTTATATTAACTAGTATATATTGTTGACAAAAGAAAACTAATTAATGAAACTGTGATTTATGCCTTTGTTCCGACCATTATTATGTAGTAATTAAACTAGTGAACTAGAAGATTTTTTATAACATTTTAGAAATACATATAGTAAAAGTGTGGAAATACTCATAATAATTTAATTTCGATATCAAATAGGTGATGGACAAGAGGCCAAGTGTGGGACCAAAAATGACACTTTTGGGATCACGGTCTTTACTTTTGCTTCACTTCTATGCTTCATTTCACCAACACACAAAAGCAAAAAAAAAAAAAAAAAAAAAAAACGAATTCTATATCCAAATTCCGCTCTATTTACTTTATTTTAGTAATTCTTTATTGTACTTTTATTAATGTATGATATTTTCAACCCAAATCTTTACCCCGAAGTCCCTAACATCAGCCGCAGAACCATCCGATATTTGATGAACTTACCTAAACAAACTACATATACCTATATTCTAAATATAACTTACCTAATTTGTATTTTTAAAATATTATCATGTTAGTTGGTTAGTTAATTAGTTAAATGATTACGCGATATTGATATATAGTTAATTAATACTTAATAGGGGAATTAATTTAAAAGTTATAGAGAATCAAACATATATTAACGAAAAAACATAAAGCGATAATGTCAACGTTATTGTTGAGTTAAATATATAAACACTCAAGGATATATGTAAGAATCAAGAAGGAAAAGTATGCACAAGTTTTTGTAAAAAAAAAATAACATCTCCAAGATATTTGATAAGTCGCACAAGTTTTTGTAAGGAAATTTCTGCATCGGAATAGAAACTAAAGTATACCAATGTGTCGTGCTGAATTCATATATTGATCAAAGTATACATAAGAACTATCTAGCCTCTAAAAAGGTGAAAAAATTGTATATATATTATTTGTTTTATTGAAGTGAGTATCGATATATGACTATAAAAAATGCTTATATATATACTTAATACTCTAAAAGTTCGTTCGTGTTATAAAAACCGTATACATGTCATATATGCTTTGGTACACAATTAGATCCATATGTATATATATATTGTAAAAAAGATGTAATGTTAATTAGACCAAGTAAAACAAAACTAAAAGCAAATTAAGATAGAAGATTAAGGAGGGTTTATGAGAACGGGATGGGGCCACGTGACCAACCGGCCTGCAACAGCAAATCGTGAGACTAATGATAGAGGGCTCGCTCACGCCGGACCAGCAGCCGCCACGTCAGCACATCATTCCGGTTTCTCCCTTGTGGGTCCCGCGTTCCACTTACGCACCCGCTCAAACTCCTTCGCTGTTTTTCATTTGTTTTTTAAATTTTATTTTGAGTCTCAGTTTTACCAGCTAATTCGGCTCCGCTTTGAACGGCTCTGAGCTGAGCTTAGCTAAGCTGACCTTACAGAATTATATAATGCACCAACCAAACCCTAAGACGTAATTCTCAATTATTCTCGAGAAGAATTTCTCTTTTCAAGGGACAAAATATTCAAATGTACATCCTTGTAAGAGTATGTTGTAATCCCCAAGACAGAAATCAAATTCACAAATCACTAGAAAAAACAAGTAGAAATATTTTCTGATGCAACAGTTGATATTCTAGCAAATTTCTACCCCCAGTTAAAAAGTTTATATAGAATAATTTGTATACCTTTAAAACGATATCGTCTGACCAAAGCTACAGCGAATTCTAGTTTCTACCATTATCGTTGTTGAATTATAACGTGTAAACAGTTGTTTAAAAAAATTTCAAAGTTTATAAACATATATTTTACCCTTCAGTATTAATCAAATGTAATATTCTCATGGTCATCAAGGCTAGATATATTGATTTTCGTTCGATGCATCTTATCTTTGATTATTTTAAAAAGGTATAAAGATTAATTTGAATTTAGGTATAAATAAAACAAATAAATTAATGATTTGACAGGTTTCTGTTTTCTACATAGACAAACTTATTTACTTTGGATTGAAAAATGTGATTAACTGTTAAAAGTTTCGAGTTAAGACTTTAGATGAGAATAACTAAAAGTATTTATATGTGCTCACAATAGTCAGTTGAACCAAAACGAAGCGGGTATAAATGTCTATGGCTCTATGGTTACTTTTTTAAGTTTCCATATGTAATAGTGTAAATAGAGAGTACGTAATAATTACTTTTCAAAAGTATCATATAAATTTAGTTTGCAGGTTATTCTTTAAGAAGATACAAACACTTTCATAATATTTCGTATGTCTCCTCATTTCATTTCATCGGAATGATTATCATGTGAGTGCCAATACCTAAATGTTTGTTCATTATGTGATGATTTTTTTTTTTTTTTGGGGGGGGGGGGGGGGGGGGGGGGGGGGAGGGAATTTGTAAAAAACTTTGGTTTCAAATTTTGCCTAACTAAAGAATAATGTGTGATTAGTAATAATTAATGTCCCGGATTTTATATGTAAATGGTTATAATTTTGTCTAACTATTTAAAGAATATTTTGTTATTTGAAATAATTAATTTTACATTTAATATTCTATTATAGTTTAGAGAGTCTTTCTATTCCTAGACTACCGAGTCACATTACAGAAATGTATTATATTGGATATTTCAATATTAACAAAATGAATTCGAAGGGAAAAAATGAAAACCAACTCCCCAACAAAAAAAGATTCTTAATATTCACATTATGGGTGGGGGATACACTGTTTTGAATGAATTTCTCGTATATTCAAAATCATGATTGCACATATGAACTAGTGAATATAAATTATATCTAAACTATATTTTCAAAATTTTATGAAATCGAAATATTTTTTCTTATGGAATCTGTAGATAAAGTTGTATAATTCGTTGGCACTAAGTGTTTTGTGTGCAGTAACGTTCGAAACAATTACAGTATCTACCGAAAAGAACGAATATCTGAATAATCGTGGATGTATATTTCGACAAAAGTTTCTCGCATATCTAACATCAAACTAACAAATATCTTTGGGTTCTAAACTAGTTGAGTTACTTTTAGTAAGGTACTAAGGATATAAGACATTTTGTTGGATATAAAAGAAGTCCAAAATAAAACCATGAAAATAAGCTTAATGTCAGAGGACTTAGAAAAAAAAAAAGAACCTTAATATTGATGATCAAGCATATCCATCAAGAGCTGGTGGGTGGTAATGGATGTTGCCACCTCTCTCTGTCTCTCTCAAAATCTTACTTTACCCCCTTTATCCTCCTCTCTCTCCTCTCCCCTCTCCCCCGAAGCTTTTGCAACAAACAAAGTTCCCCCCCCCCCCTCTCTCTCTCTCTCTCTCTCTCTCTAGGTGCAAGAGGACTCAGAGAGAAAGAAAGTATGATTGATAGGGAAAGAGAGAGAGAGAGAGAGAGAGAGAGAGTAAAAAAATAATAGATTATTAGGACACGATTGTCATCTTTTGTGGTGTGTCTTGTGTGCGCTCTCCTTCTTTTCTTCATCGATTGATCTTCTTTATTTAAACCTACTCTCTTTCTCTTTTCCCATTCTTTCTATCATTCCCTCTCTCTCTCTCTCTCTCTCGGGATCCGATATCTCTTTCAAGTAACCTATTCCCGAGGAGCACTGTCAAATCCTGTCCACTCTTCTTTCAGGGATCTCTGTCTACTCTTGTGATCAAGTGTTCAAACTTCTTTAGCTATAGCAAGTACGAGGGGATCATACAATAGCCGTAACTTAAAGCTTTGTTAGAAGCTATTGAAAAGGTTTCAGCTGTATCATCCTGCATCTAGAGTTTCTTCAGGTAAAGCCCTAATTTTCTGTCAACTTTCGATTCAATCTCCGATCCTACCATTCTCAAATAATTTTGGGTGTTCTTTCTTCTTTAGGTAATTTTATTTGCTTTTGAATCTTCTTTAATCCTTTATCATCATATTTGACAATCACCTTAATCATCATCATCATCATCATCTCATTATACTCAATGTTGCTGATGCTACAAGCAAAGCAAAATATGTATCATATAAATCTGAAATATTATTTTAGTAAAAAATAAAAATAATAAGTAGGGTTTTCTTGTTGAGTTAACTAGACCATAAGATTTTATACAACATGTCTAGTAAAATAATCTCTTGAGCTGGATCATCATCTTTTCAAAAGTTTTAATTTCTCCTCTTCATCTTCTGATCCTTCTCTAGAAATTAAAGGTTATATTTGCATGCATACAAATGAAAACAATAATTCAATAAGCAGAAGTTAATTTTAATGAATCGATTTGGTACATATAATTTTGTAATTCATGCATCAAATTAACTCAATTTAATGATAATTGGGAATTGTTCGGCTAATTCACTGATTTTAGTTTGTGGTTTCTATACCATGAATCTAAATAAACGAATTTAGCTTTTCTCGGAAAAGGATAATCAACCATGTAAATGTCTTCATATATCATAGATTTAGGAAAACAGTTTCGTGTATAAATGAATGTATGACGCATAATCATATGTTTACGTCGAAATAATACACCAATACACAACCACATTATGTAATAAATGCAACTAGCTATAACAATATTTTTATGTTTGTAATCTCATGATTTTGATTTCATTTTATTTGGTAATTTTCTTATAAGCAGGTCAATTAATCGATCAAGAAGACTAAAGGATGAATTCATTTTCCCATGTCCCTCCGGGTTTTAGATTTCACCCGACAGACGAAGAACTTGTAGACTACTACTTGAGGAAAAAGGTTGCATCGAAGAGAATAGAGATCGATTTCATTAAGGACATTGATCTTTACAAGATTGAGCCATGGGATCTTCAAGGTTTGCCAAATCCCATCATTTCTACCCCTCTTCAAACCTTTGATTCGATTTGGAAGTTTTTTTAAGAAGTGTTGTTATTCTTTTGTGGAAATAGAGTTGTGCAAGATTGGGCATGAAGAGCAGAGTGATTGGTACTTCTTTAGCCATAAAGATAAAAAGTATCCCACCGGAACTCGAACCAATAGAGCAACGAAAGCAGGGTTTTGGAAGGCAACCGGAAGAGATAAGGCTATATATTTGAGGCATAGTCTCATTGGTATGAGGAAAACACTTGTGTTTTACAAGGGAAGAGCCCCAAATGGTCAAAAATCCGATTGGATAATGCACGAATACCGCTTAGAAACCGACGAAAACGGAACTCCTCAGGTATCAACCCTAAATCATAACTTCTCTTCTCAATTTATTTAGATCTCTTTATGTTAAGCAATCGCAATCTATGATCTCCTAAACCCGTTTGAGTTAATCAAGACCTCTTATATGATATTTGGTTGTAGGAAGAAGGATGGGTTGTGTGTAGGGTTTTCAAGAAGAGATTGGCTGCAGTTAGACGAATGGGAGATTACGACTCATCGCCTTCACATTGGTACGACGATCAGCTCTCTTTTATGGCCTCTGAGCTCGAGGCAAATGGTCCTCGCCGGATTCTCCCCAATCATCATCAGCAGCAGCACCATCACGAGCACCATCAGCATCTGCCATATGGACTCAATGCATCTGCTTACAATCTCAACAACCCTAACTTGCAATGCAAGCAAGAGCTAGAACTACAATACAACCACCTGGTACAACAACAACATCTTCTTCATGAATCTCCTTTATCATTCCTACAACTCCCTCAACTTGAAAGCCCTAAGATCCAACAAGAAAATAGTAATTGCAACTCTCTTCCTTATGGAACAAGCAACATCGATAATAACTCGAGCCATAATGCTAACTTGCAGCAGTCTAATCTCGCGCATGAGGAACAATTGGGTCAAGGGAATCAGAGTTTCAGCTCTATATACATGAATAGCGGGAACGAGCAAGCGATGGACCAAGTCACAGACTGGAGAGTACTCGATAAATTTGTTGCTTCTCAGCTAAGCAACGAGGAGGCCGTCACAGCTTCTGCTTCTCTACAGAACAATGTCAAGGACACAAGCAACGCGGAGTACCAAGTTGATGGAGAAAATGATCCAAAAAGGGTTTCAGACATGGGAGAAGAGTATGCTGCTTCTACTTCTTCGAGTTGTCAGATTGATCTATGGAAGTGAGCAGAAGGAGAAGATTATATCATATAAATGCATATATATATATACATATATCTATATACGTACACACGAACACTAATCAAGTGTAGATGATGATGATGGTACAGTTATATATTTGCTTTAATTGATTCTTACTACATTATTGAACTTATAATATATGCATACATATACATTGCGTATCTATGCATGTATACTTGTCCTCAATATGTTTAACCATATAAACTCTAATCTAAATGTAACTCCGATATTCTTTTAATAGACATTTGTCTCTTCGTATTTATTTAGTTTTTAGATAGTCTTAGTTAAATATATATATATATACACGTCCGAGTTAAAAAATGAGCTATATATTGTTATTTCAAAGTTTTTGTGTTAAAAAAAAGTTATTTCAAATTCATTTTTCTCATATTAAACTGTACTATATCCACATCTCACTTTGTTCTTTAGAGGTGTTCAATTTTAATATTGAAAATTAAGATTCCTGATTTTCATATTCTGGACAAATATGTTTGAATGATATGTATATATTGACTCTGTACAATAGTAACATACACTCAACCTACGCAGTATATATAGCAAATTCAGACAATATAATCAAATGAAACATGTGGTCTGACCACTTACCGGAGTTGTATACTTGTGTTCATGGTGATAATAATTCCAAGGAAGCTTGAAGAGTGTGTATAGCCATAAATAATGAAAAAGAAGGAGGAGGAGAATGTGGCTTGATGTTGAAGGAGAGATACAAGAACATGTTGGCTCGAGTCAAAATAATGTTATATAGAGACAGGCTGTGGAAAAGAAGGAAGGACCTTTTTTGTTTCTTTGGGTCACAAGAGAGAAGAAGTTAAAGCATCAAGCATTTACATTTTCTCATGAAGAATTTTATAATAATTGTGTTCGTTTCAAGGTCGGCACAAAAAGAAACCGTAGATTATAGTTTACTTCGATAATCTTTTCAATATTTTTTTTTTTACTGCTATTGATGGTTATAATATGAGAAATAATCCCACATATACAACATCAACTAGTGTTTGTATCTGAAGGTTTTTTAAATGTATATCAGTGTGCGGTTAGATCCAAAATGGAAAAAGATGTAAAATATTCCTGCTTTCATGTTTCTAGGAACTATATGATTTTCAAACTCCTAATTAATTAACAATGAATAAAAAAACCATATATCTTATTACTACTTTAGATTCATCTTTACTTTTGATGTGAGATATTCTTAACGCATGTTTACTAATTACGACATGGAACCTCAAAATTTGAGGTTAGGGTTGTAGTCGATATAGCGATAGATTAATGGAGATATACGACACTAAATCTCTTTAAACCTTCACAAGTTTGTTAGGACCAAATCAGTTGTTTCAAACTAGTTTGAACTTATACATTTGAGTGTAATGTATTGAAACTTTCTTTTATAATGTTGTAAACTTTATAGAATTTTCCATCCCATAAGATAGTCCATCGTAAATTTTTAACATTTCGTAGGAAATTTCATCGCTATATATGAGCCTATTCCAACGAAAAGCGACAAAAAATATTTCATTTGTCGATGTGGGATTATTTCTCAAATCATTTCTTTTTTAGAAATTTGAGAAACGATCGAAAATCTTGTCCATTTATTTTGGTGCAAGGAACATCATGATTTGGGCGTGCTCTCTTTGGTTTGACAAACACGGTAATGATAATATCCAAAATTTCTTAGTAGTGTTTACCGACTATAAAAACCAATTAATTACCCATTCAATTAAAAATGTGATTAATTTAAATCACCAATGCTGTCGATACCGATCAAAAATTCAGAGTAATAGCAAGCATAATATGAGACAAAACCATGTGAAGTGTCATCATTAGTGTGTGTCTGCTTTCTTTATAGGCCACAAATCCCAAGACCACAATATGATTTGAAATCTAAGTAACAGTTACTTATTTATTCAACTGTTAAAAGTTAACTTCCTCTGCTTTATAAAAGTTGATTTATCAAAAACATCTATTACTACAAAGGTATTTTTTGAAAGTTTGTCAAATTGTCCAATTTCATAGTGACATTATATTGCCTATGGCAAATGCTAATGTGATTTTTGTCTTTTCTAACACATGATATGTAATAAAAAGCACAGTACAGATTCACCGGTTACAGGCTTTTAGATTTATCATTATCTCCTTTTTCAGTGTTATCTTCTTTCTTTTGCGGTCATTTACAATTCAATACATATTTAGTGTGTTACACAACATATAAAGACACAAATGTATCTGCATCGTGATTACACACATGATTTTAACAAACTGAAACTAGGAGGCGTCACAAAGACCGGTCTTTTCGTCGCAGAATCCATCACGGCCGAGCAGGCGTTGAGGCGGTGCACTGAGTAAAGGAGACGAAGGCGAGCCATATGCATTTCTCCGGCTATTTCCACATCCAAGACTCTTCCTGGTGCTCACTCCGGTCAATGGGTTTGTCCCGTTTGCGTATTTACACAGAGCCTTTAACAACAACAAAATTGAAAACCACGTTTTCAGCTTTTTCGTTAATGGAAGGAGCTTTGGATAAAAATGTAACGGTGTGTGTTAAGTAACAAGATTACCTGTTTTTGAAGAAGATCAATCACAGCGTCACTAAAATCGGCACCTTCGATCTTGGCACCGCCGAGATCACTACGGGTTAGAACCGAACGGACCAGAATCGCATTTGTCAGATTTGCCTCGTTTAGCACCTAAAACGCCAGAAAAGAATCGAGCTTTAACCGAAATGAAAGTGCTTCAATGTATCTATATATAAACAAAGTACATTGTAATGTCATTTACCATCCGGTCCATCAATGTGTCGCTCAAATCAGCACCTGAAGAATCAAAAAATCATACTTTTGAGAAATGCAAACCACAATTTTAGATTAAGGAAGATGAGTGAAACGAACTTTTATTCAAAATATAATTTGATCCAGCTCTTTATTGAGACACAGACGGAAACAAGTCCTCAAATCTAAGCTTTCTGAGGCTAACAGTTCTAGATTTGAAAGAGTGAATTCTGAGAAGCTAACCCAAAAGAAAACACAGGCGTTGAATATGATCAAGGTCCTAGGAGAGCTAAAACAGTCAGCAATGGATCTAAGGATGAAACACAGAGAGCTAAAACTGTTACAGGGTTCGAAACTATGTCAAAATGCTTGTTGGAGGCAAAGTAATTGAGATTCATAAAAGTTTAGTAAAAGGGTATATGTAACGAATCAATTACGATCTGTGGAATCTATTATCTTTCATAAGTCTAATACCAAAACAATACATAATCACTGCAAAGGGAAGGCTAAGTGATAGCACAGTTGAGAGAGACTACCTGAGAAGTTAGCTTTGTATGCAACGGCTTTCTCGAGATAGGCGCCGTTGAATGTTGAACCGCTGAAATCAGACTCTCTCATGTCTGCAGAAGTGAAGTTGGCTCTTCTGCAACAATATCATTAAGGCACTACACATAATTCAGAAGTAGAAATAAAGTCTTGCTTCTTCAGATTGATAGTTTGGTTTTATTTAGCGTTTGTTGTTCAAACTTAAAAAAATTACTTCTTCCTAAAGATCAAAACTTTGAACTTTGTTATGTTGATTCCAAATTCCATCACCGACGATAGTCAAATATTTACCTGAAATTTTCATTGGAGTGAACTGTTTTGCTGCAAAACAAACAGTGTTCATCTCAGCGAACTTCCAACACCGAAAACAAATGAAAACCCTCTAAGATTCCTCGAAAACTTTGGGATAAGAACCCTAATATGATACCTGAGATCAGCAGAACCGAACTGAGCAGCTGATCCTATACCAAACTCGCCACGTGTATCGGCCTCAAACTTGTTAAGCTCTGCCATGGCCGGAACGCCGGAGCTCGAGACGATAACCGCCGCTGCTAATGCTGCAGATAAAATCCCCTTCCACGTCTTCGATTCTCCGCCGGAGCAACAATCTTCCCTTTTCGAAAAACAATTCGATGCCATAAGCTTCTGAAAAATTCAAAATTTGCCAAAACTAGGTTTGATTCTGCATTTGCGAGGGAAGTGTTCGAGTCTCACCTATGGTTTGACGAGTCTTTGATTTCTCGGTTTGAACGGCAATTTAGCTGAAGACGCCTCAATGGGTATCTCGGAGAATGGTACAGAGACCTTGAGACAGAAGATGAGGATCGTGAAACGTCGAGTGACTTCATGGGTAGAGGAGAGAGAGAAGAGAAAGCCATTGTCAAAAAAGGTCTAAAATTTGCAGAGCAGAAATGCTACATTCAACTTCGTAGAGAAGAGATGATCTCGCACGTGTGAAAGATTTCAGTTTTATCCACTTTGATTGGGCAAGATGTGCCCACGTATGTCACTTGTGTTTCACCAGTTTTGTTATTGGTTTAGAAACTTCCAACTCTTGCTCAAATCTACTTGACTCTGTTCTCCCTTGTGATACAGAACACAAAAGCAGAGGAAATAAAAAAATCGAATCTTTGGTCATAAACCGAAACTTAATGTTGTGTTTATTATATACTGATGTCTGCATGAACGGATAGAAATCATAAAAACCGCATAAATTCCACAAGGCGATAGTCTTGAGAATAGAATTGTGTAATTAGGAACAAACTACTTTTAGAATGTGTAATTCTCTTCAAGCTTTTCTGGGAAAAAGTCAGGGTCTACAAATGCACCCTTCTTGATCTTCTCTTGAAGGTCTAAACTCTTGGGAAGTATGATCTCGGTTCCTAAACCTTGTGTAGAGAAGTACCTCTCCAACAATATCTGTAAAATAAGATTCGCTATAAGAAACCACAGATATACTACATTTTAGAACTTGAGATCTGTGTTCTCATAGCCTTACCACAGATATACTACATTTTAGAACTTGAGATCTGTGTTCTCATAGCCTTACCACAGCAGCGTATGCATCTTCTCTGTTCTGCCTTTCACTCTTTTTGAGTCCCCTGGAACAATAGAATGTTCAAACATCATCAGGTTTCAAACAATTCCGTCGAGTCTCCGAAATCTTCATGGAAGCTCAATGTTTTAGGAACATAATGTACATTAAAGACTGTTCAAATGTTTCGCTTTCTCTGTTTATGAACCCTAAGGTATCAAACCTGAATTGCTAAACCAAGAACAGAGAGATTGAGAAGAGGAACTAACATTACAATCATTCTGTCTGAAGCTTCTGATGATGTCCCATGTTCATCCAATACATAAACCCTCCAACCTCTGAAAAGGCCAATTTTTTTTGTCAAATTTCGTCGAATCAATATTTAAGTGTGTGATATTGTGTTCAGTTTCACCTCTCGGCGGCTTGGACTGCAAGACGTCCGGCAACAGAACGAACTTTGTTCGACTGAATCGTCTCTTTCCCATCAGAAGATCTCGGCAACCCAATTATGAATTCATCAACCTCCTGCAAAAGACACATCAACCAATTCACTCGTCCATTTCTGTGAAATTATTCGAAAAATCTCGAATTTTATACCTCTTCTTCTGCAATTTCCAATAGCCGGGTCTCGAGCTTTTGTCCTCTCGATTTCAAAACCTAATACCAAAAACCGCACCAATTCGTTTGAATCTTTTAAGGATACCGTAAGGCCAAGAGATGGAGAAATTCGAAGTTACCGTGAGAGGTCGAACGGTGTAGCCTTTACTAATAGCGATTCCAGTCCGAGATAACCCTAAATCTACGCCGAGGCTAAACCCGCCTCTCCAGTTAGAGTCTATTTTCCGGCGAACAGCGTTCGGGGGAATTTCATCAATTGACGTCGCTGCCCTCAACACCAGAGGATAATTACGGGATCTAATGGGAGATAAGCGAGGAAAAAGAGGGGTATTTACGTATTTTTGGGTTCCGAAAGATATTGCGGTGGAGGAAAAATATTGAAGAGAACACATTGCAGTAGCAAGAAGACGAATAGCAGCATCATCGACGATGAGCCAAAGAAGCTCTCTGTTCTTCAAACCTTCTGAGCCCGTCCGAAGGTTTCATTTGTTTCACGAAAAAACTAAGAAAAATTCTTTTCTTTTTTTTTTAGTTCAAAACTAGGAAAAATTCATAATTTTAGATTTTAAAACAATAAAAACAAATTTCTACACCAAAATTGTAATGTATTATATAGTATGTGATAGTGTTTCAATGCCCTTTTTCTTACATGATAAATCAAAAGATCAAACCCGAGCCATATATTAAAATAATGAAACGGCTAAATCGGAAAAAGAAATATAAATTATTTATTACAAACAAATCTACAATAAAAAAATAGAAATTTAGGTGAATAATCAGGTGCGGGGGAGAGCACGGACAGCATCCTCAGAGTAAGGATGAATAAAAGCACTGTTCATTTGCCAGACTTTAAACGACGCCGTAACAGCCGCATCAATAGCATTGTTGAACAAGAAAAGCTTCGTCGCTCCATAGATGGCTTTTGTCGGATACACCCTTGAGGTTATACATGTTCTTCCGCCTTGTCCGAATGCTTCTACTATCGAATGATCCACCTTTAAAAAAAACAGTTCAAAAATATTCAACTCAACTCATATTGTATTGTATGATTAAAAAGGTCTAAGATACTAAAGTAAGCAAGAAGGTTGTTATGATTCAATTACCAAAATTCTCATGGTCAATTTCTCCCCTTTTAGAACCGGTACGGAACTACCGTATATCGGTTTAACTACATCGTTTGCAAAAGATGACCTGTTACAAGAAAACCATGTCATTTTTCATAATCGTATTATCTGTTGTAGTTAGACTACAAATTTATTAATAATTTAAATAAAATAATAATACCTTGAGGTGTCTGTGCAGAAGAAAGTTTTGAGCTTTGAATCTTTTCCCTTAGCCACATAGAAGTAAACCGGAGTTTGCTCCGACAACTTATCATCGGTCAGAACCAAAAATCCGAACGGTCCTAAAGCACCACGGACGGTGGAGCCTCCATTAGTCTGGCAGCTAAATTCCTCAGCCTCGGCCATTACCGAAGCGTCTCCGAGGATTTTGTCGAGAGATTCTTTCTTGATCTCGAATTCTGCTTCGATGTCTAGCTGAGCCGCCGAACCGACATCAACCGGTACCACTGACCCGGGACCGACTTCGATATCGAACTTTTTGCTGCTTAATCTAAGAGATTTGATTTCTTCCACTGGCCATTGAACCAAATTCTTCCCTGTCTTTGTGTCGAGGACAACAGTTCTTGGAATACCCTGATCATTGTATTAATCAAAAATTTAGGCCTAACTTGGATCACAAGCAACCATAATAAACTAAAACCTAACTCTCAGAGCACGTGAGGTAGAGGGAGCAAGACATACCTGAAGAGAAGACCAGCCCTTTTGTACATCAGCATACTCACTATCAGATTCGCCAATCCACCCCCACAAGATTCTTCGACCCTTGTTCTGGTCGTAAAACGTCTTTGATGCATAGAACTTTCCGTAATCATATCTTAAACTAGTACTAATCCCGACATCAATAGTAGGATCATCCGGGATCCATGTCCCGTTCGAATCGAAATACGTTCCTACGGCATAATGGTCAATCCTGGTGTCGTCCATGCTAGCCTTCACGATGTGCTTCACATCCGGTCCGTTGACGGATGTGTCGAGCCCATTGACAGCGGTCTTAGACACCGGATAAAAGTCAACGCACTCCCACATCCCGGTGTTTGGAACTCGGTGCAACAATGTGTCCAGTTTCTCGAACGTCTTGAAGTCGGTCGTGTCGTACACGAGGGAGATTCCGGTTCTGTTGATCTTGGAACCAATTGTGATCCGCCATTTTCCGGCTGATGTCTTCCACGCAGTTGTCGGGTCACGGAAGTCCTTTGGGAGAATACCCGGAGGAGGCACGAGAACCGGATTGCCCGAGAACTTGACCCATTTCAACAGAAGAGGGTCGTTGGGGTCCTCAGGGTAGGCAAGGTTTTGGACCTACAAAGAAACACATTATACAATCATTAGACCTAATTTACATGTTCAGTATCTAACTTACCAAAAATCTGGCATTATAAACTTAACTCTATTATTTAATTTGCCTAACAATTCTAAGAAATATCTCAAATAACATTTTCGTGAACTATATATAACAATTCTAAGAAATATCTCAAATAACATTTTCGTGAACTATATATATATTATATATTACTTTTAAAAAAGAAATATCACATGTCCAGACATCTTTTCATTTAAATGCCATTGGATTTACCCATTTTCTAGGGGTTATATAGTTAAAAAGTAGCGTTTTGTTAATAATATAGATCACCAAAACTTGTTAGACTTGATAGTCGATTAGAGGATTTAACCATATTTATTAGTGTTATTAGCTTTTACATTTGAAGCCAGAATTTGGTAGTAAATCACAAAACTTGGTTAAATATATATATATAGATATATATATATATATATATATGTCTTAATTTAAAATGTTTGTTTGGTTTTGTTCCAGCACTTAAACATTGATATGTAAAGTTAAATTATTTTGAGATACATACCTGTACAGATTTGTCGGTAGAACCGGTGTAAAGCATGACGATAGAGCCATCGGGGAGGATTGTGGCTGAGCCGGTCCAGACACCATTGGCGTCGTACCATTGGTCAGCAACCATGGCTAAGGGCAAGTGGACCCAATGGATCAGGTCCTTAGACACCGAATGACCCCAAACAATGTCACCCCATACGGCTGCGTTTGGGTTATATTGGTAGAAGAAGTGGTACCATCCCTTGTAGAACAGTGGACCTGGACAAAGTAAAATATTTTAGTTGACTGGGTGAAAAATAGATTAACTCCAAAATAGTGGGGATTCTATTAGTAGATAAAGAAAGTTCTAGGTATCAAATCGAAATAAAGCATAGTTTAGTATGCCCCACTTGCATTATCCAATTTGAGACAAAGATCCACATTTTGCATTCATAAGGATTTGTACAATCAAGATTACTTTTCTGTGGCAGCCAATGATTTGTTATATCTTTATAGCATGCTCACGTGGGTTACAAACTGGCAAAATTAATATTAATTTTGCTATTGGTTGTGAGGTAACTCTGTTCTGATTTTGTCTGTGAACCTTTTACTCTTTTAAGGTGTAAATCAATATATATATATATATATTAATTAACTTTGACTACAACGTGAGTTGTGTGATATGTTCTGTTGCCTACTACTTCTTGTCGCTCCAATTATTTAGGTTTTTTCATATTTTACAAACATGTTATATATACTAAAATTAACGGGATCTAAGGTAAACAAAATTTAGAACAGAAATTTTCAGAATTAAAGGAAATTGAACTTACCATTAGGATCTGCAGAGAAAAAATCCCAAATTTGCCATTGAGAGCAACACCATAGTATATAAAGGAAACAAAAGAACCAAAAAATATATTAGAACAAAATGAGAGAGACCAATAAGTAATTAATATATAATTAAAATTCGCTAGATTTGAACGAATCCATCACTGTTGTGTGATTTCGAAATTTGAAGTTGAATTTCCAGATTATGGAAAAAATATATGTATGAAAAGTAAGAATGAATATTCTCTGAATTTGTAACAAAAAAAAGAGGAAAGACTTTTTCTTCTTCTTTTGCTCCTATTGTTCAACCAAATTAACAGATAATTCAAATCAATAAATTCGTTTTTTTTTTAATTAAATCTTTTCGCGTACCGTTCATCCAATTCTGCTCAGGCTGAAAGTGGAACGCCGTTCGTTGCCACGACAACATACTGTTGTTCCACGCGAACGCCGCCGCGTTCCGATCACCGGAAAGTTTCCACAGCTGATCATTGCTTTTCTCCGAAACGCCGGCGAGACGGGCACGTGACATTGTCGTCTCTGTTTCATCGATTTTAGCGTCGTCGGATCTAGATCCGTCGTGTGTGGCTATAAGAGCGACGTAAAAGGCGATAAACAATAGCCCAAATGAGACGGCGAGGAGACCTTTAAAGGGTCGTCTCCGGAGAGGTGTTTCCGAATTCGGGTCGGATCTTGACCCGTCGGATAACAATGGGTCTTCTTCTCTGGCTGAGATTGGCAAGAGAGCATCGGTGCTCGCCATAATTTTTTTTTTTTCTCGTTTTCGAGTTTCTTTTTGAGATTTGATGGCACGAGAAAGGGCATATGCATTTATAATAATACCGGGAAGGAAAAATAAAATGGAGAGAGAAAAAGATAGATTTATGTCTTCCTGCTTCGCTGGAAGAGAGAGAAGTGGGTCCAAATGTCAAAAGTACAGAGGTTGGTTTATTAATTAGAACTGTAATTTCTATCTGCATTAGTGACGTGTATAAATCATTATTAAAGGTTTTTCTAGTGAAGGAATGAAAAAATTTCCTATTTTCTTCCGTTTTTAGTATTTTTACCATTTTTTTTGACATTCTACACTGCATTATTCATAAAACGTAAACTAATAAAATTTCTCAGAATTGAAAATAATGTAAAACAATTGTATTCATCCTTATCTGTTTATTAGTCTTTCGTTTGTTTGAATGGGTATGACAATGATATGAGTTTTAGATTGAATTGTCCACGTACTTTTATACAAATCAATAGAGAGAAAAACGTCAATTTTTTAATCCATAGTCTTTAAGGAAGACTTTTTTTAGTTGGAAGATCATTTTTTTTCTAATATTGTGTAGATGTAAATATGATTTTTTTTTTTTTTTTTGTTAAAGGGTTGATGATTTTTCATTCTTGCAATGCATGTCAGCTAACATGTATACATTTATAACATGAAAAATACTTCTTTTTATTTTCTTTTCTGATTTTATTATGTAATCTGCTTCACTCTTTGTACCTAGTTTGGTTTTCGAAGCCATAGTATTTGCTAACTAAATTATACTCCATGGAACAAGTCACTTAACACTATCATATAGGTGTGGGCATATTATTCGTTATATTTGATTTGATTCGATCCGAAAAATCCGGATATCCGTAACGATTCAAAGCAAAGCAAATATTAAAATATAGTATCCGTCTAAAACAAATCAAATCTCAAATACTAATTTTCAAAAGTTCAGATATCCGCTCCGATCCACAGATTACATATATACATATTAATATTATAAATTTTTAATGTTTTTATATAGTTTAATTATCTTATTAACAAATAAAAAAGAATATATATGATAAAAAATACATATAATAATTTTAAAGTAAGTAATAAACATCTACAATAGTTATCAAATATTTGAAATTAAATTAGAAAAGATTATATTAGAGTTTAATTAATTAATATTCTTTTCAGAATATAAAACATGGTTTTTACTTTTCTATCATTATAATTTATTATTTATATCCGTTTTTTTAAATAAAAATAGTTATTTCACTTATTTTTAATTGGTAGTTCATATTTTAAAAAGAAAGGCATGTATTTTCACATTTTACTTGTATTGAATGGAACAAATTTAATATCCATAAGTATCCGTAAATATCCGTAAATATCCGTAAATATTTGTAAATTTTCTGGATATTCGCATTTTCGGATATCCGTATTTTTTCGAAGCAAAGCAAATCACAAAATCAGATATACGGTAAAAACAGAACAAACCACAAATACTCAAAATTTTCCGGATATCCGTTCTGCGCCCAAGCCTACTATCATATCCTTCTGCTAATATTACCGATTCAGATTGAACTACTTTTTTTGCTAAAGAAAGATTTGTACTACTTTCCACTCAGAGATTTGGAAAGTCGTTTAAAATTTTGGGACAGTGTGATCTAATTATAGTAAAAGCTTAATTTCTGAACAATAATTTGCTTGCCACAGGGGTACTAATCATCGACTATAATTGGTATAACCAAATATATTTTGCTCCCCCCTTGGATACTGAAACCCCTTTCGAATTTATCGTAACCGTGATAAGAAATTTACTTAAAGTTAAAAATGAAGAGATTAGTGACTGTAATACGAAATTAATTCCATTTTACACGAAACTAGCTAGTATTTTCCAAGATTTTGACTTCCGTATAAGATCGCTATTACCAACTTAAATTGAGTAATTGATATTAGGAATAATCAAACATAGAAAGACTCGAGACACACGAAGACATGACCGGCCAACTACTAGTGTAGATAAACTAAAACTTTGTTTTGGCTAAAACAACAAAGTTAAATTAATTGATTAAAACAAATATTTTCGTAAAACAACCAAGGTTTGATAAAAGTTGGGCTTTGATATTTTGTTTGTTTGTTATAAACTCGATCACAAAATAGATCAATAAACAATATTTGAATAGTTACCGAACACATTCAGGCTACGATCTAAATCGAAAGAAGTAATTGTAGTTTTATTGGGAAAACTATATAGGTAATACAATTAAATATACATTCAACCACTTGGTATGTTTGGTCAAGCACATGAAACATTTGTTTAATAGTAAAATCCATTGTCTCAATCACAATAGTGTTGTCAGGAATCAATGCCCAATAATGGTGAGAGCAAATGAATTACCAACATCGATTTACGCAAAACTAAACAATTGTTATAACACGTGAAAGCTCTTCTAGCCACATATCAATTGCATGTGGGATTTGAAGGATTGAAAGACAACTATAGTACGATCTGAAATTAATTATTTTGTCGCTCGTAACTCTCATTACATTCACGTCCTCATTATTATTGTTTTGTTTATAGTTTCATTAACAGTTTTTTTTTTTTTTTTTTTTTTTTTTTGCAGTCCCGGCATTAAACTTTTGTTTTTAACTTAAGAAAAAAAAAGACTATCCCAACATGAGTTTGTGATTTGAACTAAATATAATCTGAGTTTCAGTGATGGATTCAAGTATATATACGAATCACCAGAATACATTTCATTTTCAAGCTGCCAATTATCGTAGTCTAAAAATTCACGTGGTCTTTTTAGGATGTATAAAATGCAAAGACAATTTAAAGAATTTTCACCCTTTTTACGTTATATCAACATAATGGAAAAAGACAGATCTCGTATAATTGTTGGATATGGGAAAACTAGATCCACATGTAAAAAACCGATAGGTTTCTGGCTGACACCACATGCTCTGTCTCCCTCTAGTAATAGAATCTATGATTTGTTGCTAGACATTAATTCTAGAAAAAAATGTGAAAATAATAATCGGATAAATTTTTAGGATATATTTTTTTCGGAAAATGATTTTTTTTTTGTTTAAAGTAATACTTATCCTTAAATTAATCAAAAGGATATGCAATCAGTCAATCACTCTATTTCAGTGAAATGATTCGAATTTGTAATGAGATTGCATTGAAATCGAGCTATTTTCATTGTAGTCATCCATAATGATATTGAGCCCACAACAATTTACAATCACACACGTCGTCGTAAGAAAAACACAACCACACAGATTAAATGATTGAACTAAACTCAATATCTTTTGGTCGACAACTAAACTCATCAGTATGTATTTGTTAAGTTATGAAGATAAATACCAGATAATCAAATTGTACGAATGTGTTTGTGTGTAAATTACTAAATTATAGAATTTGACATTAAAGAAGGTTGATAGAGAAGTGACCAGAGATCAGATAATATACTGATCTAAGATGAATAAGTATATGTTCATCCTCTCTATTATCTTCATCTTATTTATCATTCGGTTCACATATAAATTCCCACCTTTTTTTGTATTTAAACTTTCTATATCGCTCAGAAAAAAATAAACAGTCCTCCAATTTTTTTCCAAAATATTTTAAAATTTGTTAAATGAATAGTTTTTATGATTCCAATGTCAACATTCGGTTGTATAATCGGCACCAGCAACTTTGAGAACAGTGAACCTATACTTAATAAGTCAATTATAGTAAAAAGTCAGAAGTTTCAGACCAAACAGCATGACAGCGCTTGGTTTTTAGTCTCTCTTATCTTATAGCCCAAGTCTCATACCAGAAACCGTAATGAACAAGAAACATAAAAACGAAAAAAGAAAGAGAAACAAAACAAAGGGGGGTGTTTTCAGTAACACTGAGTTTAGTTCTCTTATTGATTCAGATGCTTAGGGTTGAAGAGAAAAAAGCTTTGATTTAGACATTAGGAGGTGGCCAAATCTTCCCAAAGAGCTCTTCAACGCGTCTGGCTTGGTTCGCATAACCTTCGACTCCAGCTGATAAAAGCTCTACAGATGCAGGACCCATAGCTGAAGCCAAGCTTAGCTGGTCCCATTTGATCAGCTAAACCAGAACCAAACAGACTAAGTTAGACATCGGTTTAACTAAACCTAGAAACAAAAGAGTGTTGATGTGTTGATTAGGTTCAGAACTAAAACCTCTTTGTTGGTGAAGTTGTAATGCGTTGCGGTATCAGGAGAAAGTTTCCGAACGAATGAGTACTTTTCATCATCGGGAATCGCAGGTGAGTCTTTGAGAGATTGCAGTACCTTTAACGGTGCAATGACATAATCAACCCTGAAGATTGAGGAGGATAATAACACTGAGAGTTAGTATGGAATCAGAATCTGTTTAGTGGTCCAAGCTACGATTAGAGTTTACCCGAGAAGGTTGAACAAGTCTTGCTTGTTTCGGACAGCAGCAGCCATTAGCCTGGACTTGTAACCATACTTGTGGATGTAGTTGTATGATCTTTTAACCAAAGCCAAACCAGGATCTTCCCCGGATTTGATAGCAGCTTCAATCTCGGTATCTCCCGAGTGGTTACGAGCCCAATCCTAAAGAGGTTTAAGATGTTAACTTCAGCATATAATATTGGAACTACTCAGGATCTGTTGAAAAAAAAAGTGTTTACCCTGAGGCGACCGACGAAAATTTGAATGACAGAAGCACCGGCTTGAGCGGCTGCTGCAGCTTGAGCAAAGCTGATGTTGAAAATGCAAATTAAATTGTGTAAGAACAAGAATCAGATGTAATAAATGTAGAGAGTTTAAATATATACGTTCGATGGTGTACCTGTAAACGAAGGTCAAGTGCGTTTGGATTCCCTCGGATTCCAGCAATCTTGCAGCTTCAATACCCTATGAGAGCGATAAGCGCGATACTATTCATGTTAAGAAACTGTAAAAACGAAATCTTTGTTGAGTATTTTGCTGGAAACAAATCTTACTTGCCAAGTTGCAGGGATTTTGAACAAGAGCCGGTCATGCGGTACATCGATTTCATTGTATAGTCTCAACAGATCATGAACCTACACAGATCATCAAACGTCAGAGATTTCAAGATATAGGTAACATATACTCTGTTTATATTATCTATGATGTAGAAGCTACCTTACGGATAATGGCGTTTGTGTCATAAGAAAGACGTGCATCCACTTCAGTCGAGACTCGACCTGGAACGAGCTTGACGAGATCACCACCTACGTTGACAATAGCCTGCACAGTTCTCTCATCAGTATTAGGTGATAATAGCTCTGAGCAGAAAAAAGATCCGATGGCTAAAAAAGACAGATAAGGGATTAGAAGATCAACCTTATTGAAAAAGCAAGAGAGTCTCGACTCAGTGGTATCGAGCCCTGCACAAGAAGCATCCGCCAAAGCCATGTCCACAGCATTCTAATCATGATGTAAAGAGAGTCAATCATGTAAGGCTATATATATATCTTCTTCTAAATATCAAAATGCCTAAACGCTTACGCGGAAAATTGTATCGGGGAGACCGCAGATTCCAAGGAGGAGAGAAGAGCTAACAGTAGCTGCAGTTGGCGGGAACCTGCAGTTCAGTTATACACAACAAAGGATTCAATCTACAAAAAGTGATTTTATCTCCATAGTTTCAGATGGAAACAAAAACTAAAGCTCAGAAGCATCTTAGTCTATGTTGAAATTACTCAGGCGGTCTTGTGTTATCCTAATTTCTTTCTTGTATCATCGATCCAGATGCAAACTCAGTACAATCTTAAGCTAAACACTCCGATTTTAGATAGGGGATCTTACTTACCTCTCAAAGTCATCGAAAACGACCGTATCAGGGACAATCTCGCTAAAAGCTGATACAGCATCCAGCTCATTGTTCTCACCTGGAAAAAAAGCTGAAATTTCATTAAAAAAGTGCGATGATCATCACAAAGCATTCCAGAAAAGTATAAAGTTGAGAACTTTAAGAGATCAATCGCGGTCAAGACCAAAGTTATACTTTTGTTACTTATACTTCCCATTTAACAATTCAGGTTCAACCATAAATCAACACTATTTAGCTAAAGACTGAAGAAAGCAGAGTCATTGAATCATCATTTTGAGACCAAAATGGAATTCAAATCCCCCAAGCTAACTTTTAAAATAAAGATAGCAACTTTGTCTAGCATAGTTTCCTAACAAGTGATTCCAGACATTACTAGATGCTCGAGATCGCAGTATATCGATCAGAAACGCATAAATATTTATCTTTCGAGAAATCAAGTTGATGACAAACACGATCATCTAAAGGATCATATAACAATACCAGCTCCGAGAGATGAAGAAGATGGAGAGGAGGAGGAGGATGAGCTAGCGGAAGCATGAATCCTGGGAATCGATCGCCGGAGACTGAAGTTAACGGCGAGAGGAGAAGCAACGGAGAATCCGGCGGCAACCGTCTTCCATCGTCCCTTCTGCGCAGCTCAAGATCGCATCCATGAGTATAAAACATACACAGACAAAGACAATGTGCACAAAACATGCGAGTGAAAGATCGAAGAGAGGTATATAACAGAGAGTTACTTGGATCGAAGCAGAGAGAGTTGGAGAAGGCGGAGATTGCAAAGAAAGTGGCATTTTTTTCGCTAGTGTTGATCTGAGTGAACTAATCCAGCCGTTGATATCTTCCGATTAAAGTGGGTCCCCCTTTTGTTTTTGTTTTTATTTCCTTACTTTATCCGAAAAATATCACAAGATTAGATCATTAATTAGTTCTGGTTATGGATGATAATGAGACATTTTTGTTTCATGAGTTGATCCAACTGAATATAAAGGGCGGTGACAGATATACGTTACAATGCGACTGAAGAAAGAGAAGTTTGACGCAAGTCAAGTGACAGAGAGAGAGAGGAAGCGAAAAGGAGAGTGATTGCCTGAAAAACATGTGTTTGTCTGATGTTTTTTTTTTACTATCAAAGACTCAAAGTGTCAAACAGCAAAAGCAGAGTAACAGAACAAAGACACAGAGTTTGGTTTGATGGTTTATTGGAAAACCGGCCTCATTGGGTTGTCTTCCTAGTAGCAGTAACCCACCACCTAAACCAACCAAAGAAACAAGTTTCAATTTTGGAAAAGAGAGGGAATGAGAGCGTGAAAGGAGAGAAAGAGAGAGGAGAAAGTATTGTACCATTTTACGTGAAGACAAGAAACGGAGTCTCGTGGCTTCGTCCTCCCATTCAATCCCTTCTATCCAATCTCCTGCTTCGCATTTTATGACAAACCCTTCAACTTCAGCTACGCTGTTAGAATCTAGCGGAAGCTTCCGAAGCCTCGGACACAGTTCTATGTGCATTTCCCTCAGACATGGAAACGGCAGGGGAGTCCAGTAGATGCTCTCCACCACAGGTAAGTTAAGCATCACCAGAGTTTCTAGATTCTCAAAAGGAAGAACACCTTGTAGTACCTGCTGCTTATCAGCTCTCTCTTTGCTCACTACTTCTTCTAGTTGACTTAGATTCGTCAGGCGCAGATGTATAAGTTTTGGAGCGAACAACAACCACGTCAAATCTTTCAGACCCTTACACCCTTCTATGGCCACAGAAGTGAGGTTTTGAAAGCATAAGCCTTTGGGGCTACGGAGATTAGTCGGAAGAGTAAAGAATCCGAAAGAGTCTTCCCCAGTGTTCTTGAAAACCACCGTTTGAATACATTTCCTCCACCACAAGGGAGAGTAAAACAGTTGCTCCAATATCATTTTTGACTCGACTTCAATGGTTAGAACTTCTAAATGTTTCAAGAGGAACAACTCCTTCAAGCTATCGTCAAAGCTAAGTTTGTTGCAACGTAGTAACGTTAGTGTTCTTAGACTCGACAGCTTAGATATCCCCTGGATACTCCGAAGACTCCTCGTACCTTCTAGATGCAGATGCATTAGTTTTTTCAACTTTCCGAGACAAGCAGGTAGCCTCCGGATCATTGTTCTTGACAGATCAAGATATCTCAAGGAGACCAACTCCGATATTTCCTCAGGCAAACCATCAAGACGGGAGTTCTGAGATAGATCCAAAACAGCTAGATTCGGCATAAACCTAAAGAACTCTCCCGAGATGCTTGCCAATGGCATGTTTCCTTGGAGGAACAACGTTGTAAGTTTGGGACACTTGGGACTACCAGAGATCTCTTCAATCTTGTTATTCATTAGTGACATCCTCTCCACAGAACTCCATCTCTCGACTTCCGGTACCTCACATAACCCAACCCCGGCTCGAACGATACACTTTTCTCTGTTTTCACCAAGATCAGATGATATCCATAAAGCCATCTCACGTACCACATCATGCATTTTCACCTTTGATCTGTTGCTTCCTTCCTCCAGCAACAAACATGCCCGGACAAGCGTACCGATTATCTCATAACCTTGGTTTATTGTTCCTTCTCTACCTTTCTTCTCACTTATGAATCCCTCACATGTCCAGTAATCTATCAACTTCTCTTTCTCTATCAAATAGTCTTCAGGGAAAAGAGAGCAGTATCGGAAGCATGACTTAATCTGGTCACCTTTCAAACTGTCATAGCTATACTTTAGAATAGGAAGGATTTTGTCATCCATGCCAGAAAAATCAGCAGCATACGAATTCAGAACCTGGATCGCATGGTGCCATTCTTGTATAGTCCTCTTGCACGACATGGTCTCACCGATAACGTTTAGCGCTAAGGGTAGGCCACAACATTTTTCGGCGACTTTTCTTGCTTGTTCAGGGATGCTTGGATGGCTTTTCAACGTGAGTGGTCCGACTTTTCTCTTGAACAAGTCCCACGCTTCCTTCTTTGCTAGGCATTGGACTTCAATCGGATCATCAACACCCATGTGGCCACATACTTCACTAGAACGAGTTGTGAATACTACTTTGCAACCGTTTTCCTTAGTCGGAAAGGGAACTCCGATTTCTGTTAGATCCACTTTCCTCCAAATATCATCCAACAACAACACAAACTTCTTCTTCTTCATGTGAGTGTGTATATCAGTGACCTTATGTCTTTCCTCTTTTCGGTTCCACTCCTCTCCAACAAGGCCTAACTTGTCAGCGATCTCATCTTGAATCTTCTCAACCCTTAGATCGTTGGACACCACAATCCAGATGACAATTTGGACCCCAACAACTGCCTCACGAAACTTATTGTTGATCTGTGTGAGAAGAGTTGTTTTTCCTACTCCGCCCATACCGTAGAGACCCATGACACCAGTCTCATCATCCATGAGGCGGTTCCACGCCCTTTCGAGCATTGTCTCTCCACCAAAGATTATCGGTTGTAAAGGCCTTTCTTCCACTACATATCTCATAGCTGGCGGCTCAGAAACAACTTCAAATACTCCATTAGATTTGAGATCTTCAACCTCTTTCAGCATCAGAGAAACCCTTCTCCCATAATGGAAGCTAGATTTTAAGTTTTTTGAACAAACACCAAAAAGACACAACCTTTGGAGTTCAACGGTTCTAGTTACGTTTAGATCATGGAAATTGGTTTCGATGGTCTGAACACTCGTAAGCCATACCTGGACTTCGTGTAGCCTCTCTTGACCTTTGCCTTCTTCCCTTTGAACCCTTGTTAACACATCATCTCGCCTTGCCTTGAGTACTCCCATGGCTTTCTCCAGAGCCACCAGATTCGTCTCAAGGTTACGAATATAGTTGCCTTTTCCGCAAAAGCAGCTACCAACACGGTTCAAGACTTGATCGCATGATATTTGGAAAGAGATGCAACCACCCATCCTGCACTTGACTTGACACACAAAGAGAGATTGAAAAAAATGCAATTTACAATTTGTCAATCAAGAACTGTGATGTTGAATTTTGCTGTTCTATTTGTGAATGCAGCCAAAGTCAAGTGTAGTCGGGAGGAAAAAAAACAGAGTACAAGTCGTCTCTCTCACTTTAGTTGAAAAAGAGGCTATTTTTAAGGTCCACACCCAATAAAAACAAATATTAAGGGGGGCCAATTTTTGTTCACCACTTGGTCAAATGGCATGAAGATGAGCTGGAGTGATGACTTGGCCCCACCTTGTAGTCACTCTTGCTGGAAGAGAGAGTTATGTTCCAACTACAATATCCATAATGGGCCAACGCTCTAAGCCCATACCATGAAGAAAGAATTTTTAGGCCTTCATAAAGATATACAACCCATTTCGTCTTCTCTTCTTCTTTCAGTCGCCCAAGCTGCATGCAACGGTAACAGAGTGACGTGAATTGTTTAAACGACTTCGCCAGCTCACCATATTAACCAGAGCAATCGATTTGATGCTCTTGGATTTGCTGAGGTCATGATCCACTAGGAAAAATGTCGTTAGCTACTGCGTTTGTTTTTCATTTAAATGATTAGTGCATGTAAATGTAATTGCAAACCTTTCAAACTCCTTTTTCTCCAACTTTTTTTTCAAGCTTTTCTAAAAGTTTCAGTGTCTTGTAGCGTATTAAATATCTAGCTGTTTGGGAAGGAGTTGCAATTTATAATTACAAGTTTGAAACAAATACCTTTACAAAGACCTTAATCAGACTTGATCATTTCTTCAAACAATTTTTTTTTTCCTAGAATTTTGGTTTATACTAATATCTTATATGAAGCGTAACCTTATAGGCTTATATTGATGATTTGATATGGTTCAAGTTTTGAAATTTTAATCAAAGAGATTAGATTAATAAATCAAAGTTCTTAAAAGCTTTTTCAATTTGGATTAAATTAGAATTCAGATTTTTAGGTACACAAAAGTATATTATGTTTATGGGATTTTTAACAACAAAAAAGTATTTTTAGGGGATATTTTGTTTTTAATGATATTTTTAGGGGATATTTCTCCCTTCTTTTAATGGAAATGAATTTTAGATTCAATTATTGGAACTCGAATTAGATTTAGTGGGTCCAAAAGTGATCAGCGGTATAACTGATGTCATGACTGATGATGATGAGTGCGCAATCATGCAAATGGCAAACTCGCTTTCATAAATGCTCCCCGCATTATTACACAGTTATGAAATCACTGTAAAAATTATTCTTTTACATTTAGCCCCATATACATTATTATTAGGCTATTAGCCTACTGTATCTTTCACATAATAACAGCCACAAGACACACTTACAAAACATATCCACGCACTGTCTTAACATAATTAACAAAGCTTCCCAAATCATATTCTATCAATTTTAGGTTTTCAGCAACGGCAAAAGTTCTGGATAGCTCGACATAAACTTAACAAAATCATCGTATGCTTCTACGATGAGGTGATCATCGTCCCAATTATCTCTATATGTAGCGGATTGTGCGTAAATTCTCTTGAAACCGATGTAAAACATTTCTTCTCTCCACTTCTCTATCCGTGGGTAGTCACATTGATCCGCAAGCCAGTTATCGTACTCAAACTACAACAAGAATTTTGTCAAAAACATGTTTAGACTCGAACATATTTATCTAGAAAACATGTTGCGGAAAGTGGTGGTGAGAAAGCTGTACATGTACCTGAGAGTCATCAGGCATCAAATGCGTATATCTTTTGGGAATACCCGAAGCTTCGAGTTTATCGTAAAACGCCTTAGTGTCTTCCATCATCTCGTCTTGCGATGGGAGAGATACCCGTCCAGACAAAACCGCTGCGACCCACTTGCTTTGAAGCTCAAACATCGGAAAGGGAGTGATCTAAGAAACCATGTTGAACCAAACAATGAGATCATATGCAAAAGCAACGAATATACTCATACAAAAAATAAATAGAAACATTATTAAGATTATTAACCTGCCATGGTAAGCCAATGAACGAAAGGCCCGGGGCAAGAGCCGGAGGAAATACATGCTTATACAATGGTCCAACGCGATTATCGTCGACTGTCACTTGGTCTTTAGTGTCAAGAAACGGGAAGTGATACTTGTACCTGAAGAGAACAAGATCGAAAATATCAATGAAAAACGTTTTACGATGTTTAAGCTCTCTTAGAGAGTTGAGCCAAAGTGTATATTACCCGGTACAATGCATGATAGCATCCGCGTAAACCGTTTTCCCGTTTTGGAAAACCACCGAACCATCTTCGCGGGCAGTTTCAATCTATAGTGGACGTATAAAGAGGAATCAGATAATGGTCTATATATGGACTAACTGAATCATCAGAGCAATCAGTATTATTCATTGGCCGGTTTAGTTAGTACCGTTGGGTGAAGCCATAGATTGTCGTAACCGGGAAGCTTCTCGTAGGTCTCCGGTGAAGTCGATCTAGACGAGACGTGGACTTCTTTCGCGACTTTAGCTATATCTCTGCTTATATCGACTCCACTCGCTGAGCTTCCAATCACTATCACCACCTGCAAAACGCAACAAAGGGGAAACGATCCAAGCGTTAAATTGAAGAGAAACGTTGAATTGCAATCACAAGATTCATTATAGTGATGAGATTCTTGTGCAAGTACCTGATCTTTGAATGGATCAGGAACACGGTAATTGTGGCTGTGAATTTGCTTACCTGGCCATGAGTCTATGCCTGGAAATAAACAAAAACAACATTCTTAAGCGAAGCCTTGTTTTTTTATTTAAAAAAATAGTTCAGCCCTCAAGAAAACTCTGTTTTCTATATTGCATATATATAAACTCTGTTTTTTTTTTTTTGTTACCGACGACAAAAACCTCTAATCAAAATAGAAAGCATCATTTGAGTAGACCAAATCAGAATTTTATATTTTCAAAAAAATTATAAGATCAGGCGATCAGCAACCATATCTTGAATCTTAATTTAGTCTATCCAACATAATTGAGTAAAAAAGAAAGAAAAAAAAGAACAAGTTGCTTGTATTGACGTAAAGCCAAAAAACACATTACTTTAAAAATTATTTCTTCAATTATTGTGTTTTTTTCGAAATTTATTCAAAATTGAACAAATCAAAAACCAGATAATCCGAAACATATTAGATGTCCAACTCACGTTTCTTTAACAAAAATATGAACTGATATCTGTTAAATGGGAAAATCTCTTTAGTTTTTTACAAACAAAAATGATGATGTAACGTAAGATACGTAACAGAATTTCGATGTGGTATACGAAAACTAAGCAAGCAAATTAAATAAGGGAAAAGAACATATGAAAAACACACAACTCAAGACACGAGTAATGTTTGGTTATTTACCAGCGATAAGAGCATGACGTGGCTCTGTATAGTGTCCGTTACAAACCACGACAGCGTCGTATATCTCGTCAGCAACACCATCTGAGCTTCTCGATTCAACCCTCCACTTCCGACAATCCTCCTCTGCCGCCGCCGGCTCCGCCTTGACAACCTCCGTCTCGAACCTAATCATCTCCTCGATATCGAATTCCTTAGCAAAGTCTCGCAGGTAAGCAAGAACCTCGCTATGACCAGGATGTCTTCTCGGATCCCTTGAGCCGTCGTGTGGTCGGGTCGCAAAAGGAAAGTCGGTGAAACCCATGCACTCTCGGGGGATGTTGGTGCGTAGTGATTTGTAGAGGCTCGAGTGAACGATGGGCCGGGTCGGGTCGAGGCTAAGCGGGTCGGGTTCGACTTGAGAGGTGTAAGCCCACACGCCACCTATTTGGCTACCGCGCTCTAATACGACCACTGAGTGGCCTTCACGACGTAGCTCACGAGCAGCCACGAGTCCAGCGGCTCCGGCTCCGATTACCGCCACGTGACGAGAAGTGGTTAGATCAGGATTACTCGGTGCCATTTTAGGCTAGGTAATGTCGTATTGTGATCTAATAAGGATGAAGTGTTTGTAATTATAACGAAGAAGAGAAAGATGATGGTGTTTCGATTATAACGATGTGCTCTATATATACGAGGAAAAAAGATACCTCTAGTGATGACGTGTCAGTTCAGTGTAGACAATTCTTACATAATCTCGTAGGAATATTAAATTCAATTAAGTAGGTAGCATTACTTCAACCATGCATGATGTCTCTTTAGGAAAAATTACAGATTTTTTTTATAAAAAAATTGTGAGTAAACCTGATTGGGTAACTGATTATAACACTAAGTTTCAAATGACAAAAACATATAATTAATTCTATCATATTTTATTATTTAGAGACTTATTCTCTCTGCTTCATATGTGCTGTATGTGTAAATATTACATTGTTGCATTTTGAAGTTGGTGAAAAGAATAGAAACTTGCAATTGGATATATAATTTCTCACTTTTTTTTTTTATTATCATCATTTATTTGTAGACAGCTGTTTTGTACATGAGAAGGAATATATACACTATTCTATTAATCTACAAATGGATGGATGTCAAAATAAAATAAAATATATATGGATGATCTTATGAACAGCACGCAAAATCATCTATATACGATCCAACATGCAGTATATCAAAATTAATACCTCAAAAAATAGAAACTTGCAAGTACTTTTTGTGGGGTTTTAAAGCAATTTTGCTTCCACAATAATTGATTTTTAAAGATAAAGAAGTAATAATAAGCTTTAAAGATACAATGTAGATAATAAGCTTTTTTGTACCTCTTTTGAAGTGCATGCAGCGCAATGTATCTACCACCTATCAGTGTCCAGGATCATGTGTACTATTCAACTTAGCATACCAAAAAATAAACTTTTTTCTATAATAATATATGTAGAATTAACTACATGCAATTATATGTGTGGAATTTATGATAAAGTAGTCATACCACAATGCCCATCATACTAACCAATCATTGCATGACGACTGGAACTGTTTACATTTTCACGTTAATGTGCCCGATTAATGTTTAATTTTAGTCAGAACTTTCAAAAATTTCAGTTTTCTAAGTTTGAAAGTCCGATTAGATAAAAAAAAGTAAGATCGATATTTACAATTTATTTAATGATATAAAATATAAAGCGAATTTAAAAAGGAATTATACAAGAAAAAAAACACAGAACTTGCTTTTACAGTCTTGCGGTTGGACTAAATATATTTTTAAAATTAGTAAAAGCTATAAGGAGACGGCAAATATGAGTCGTCTACGTCATTGTTCTTTGAAAATGATATAGACGCCAAATATGAAAAATATCAATCAAGTTGCAAACAAATCCATTATCGAAGTAGTTTGAAAAATTGGAAACGACGTCTCTCTTTTATATCTTCCTTTATTGACACTTTCGTCTTTTTGGACAAAACACTAACACCCACCACTGATCACATATATGTTTTTTTTTTTTTGTTATGTCATAAAGATTGATCTACCAATTAGGTTTTGGCTTACAATAGATTATTAGTGAACTACTGTACACAAAATTCCCAGCGATCTTGGTTCTTTTTTGGTTTTTTTTTTTTAACTTTGCATACAGGTGCGATATTTGCTTCACTATTATAAATCTGAATCTAAAGTTCAATCTCTGCTTTTTGAACCAATCCCTAAACCAAAATATTTTTTCGTGACATTTTGGACTGATTCTAGCCATTACTAAAAACAGCAGTTTTGAAGAAAACAATACATATGATCTGCAAAACTTTTCCAAATATGAAATTTTAGTTTCAATATAGGTTATCATTTTTCAAACGACAATAAAATTTGTTGCTATAAAAAAACATAGTGAAAATACGAAAAAGTTGAAAAAGAAAAAACATCCAGAAATACTTTTCTTACAAGCATTTATTTGCAAGTCAATTTAAATAATTGCCCAATGTTCCTTGAAAGTCGAATCCATGGTTTGATCCGCATGACCTAAAGATTGGTGGGGTCCAAATTCCAATGCAAGAGACCCGAGGCGCAGTCTTTTGTAAGACGTCCTCGCACTATTATATTTTCTCAAATGTACCCCGTTGTTATATCTATCTACAGTTTTGTCCCCCAATTAGTTTCAGAATTGGAACGCACGCAGTACAATAAAAACACGGCAATGAGCCAAGGATCATTTAGAGATACTAAACTTTAAGAAAATCAAATGATCATATCAACATATATATTAGCGGAAATACTTCTGCTCATTTACTCAAATTTTCTTTTCCTTGAATTACTGGTCAAGTCTTTCCAAATTTCAGCCACTAGTGATATTTTACGAAATATGAACCCCAAATCTCAGTTTTTTTCTAACTTTTTTTATTTTGTTTGTTCTAATGACATATTAATTTACTTTTACTATTCTACGGATTAATAATATCTAGTGTTGACATGCGGAGAATGTAATTGGTTGTATATAAAAAGTCAACATTTGGGTCATAAAAGTAAGAAGCAAATAAATAAGTAAAGGGACATTGAGACAGGCAGAGACGTGGGTGCAGACAGAAGAAGGAAAGGTGTCGTGCCAGTAACTAAGCTTCTAAATATAGTTCCAAGAGACAAAAAGGATAACGACCAATCAAAACTCCCGTAATTGTAGAGAAGAAGGGATTATATAAGAAGAAAGACGATACAAAAAAACAAGAACAAGGAACACGAAGAAAGAGAAATTAAAGGTACATGCATGTCTCCTTTCCTTTCATCTAATTTTCTTCCATTTGCTATCTGCTTCTCCTCCATTGATTCATTCTCTGCAAATCTGCACGATTTCGCACCGTCTATGTGACAATGCTGAGTCTTTATTGGATTAGATACATACACAAAAAAGGCTTAAGAATATGAACGATCATGTGAGGATTATGGCCTTTGTTTCGGTTTTTTGATTGATTAAGACTGTTGTGCAGGTGAGGGATAGAGAATGGTGAACATTAGAGTACAAAAGGGTCCGGAATCTCCGAGGACGGAGGTGGGAGAGATAGACACGAGAGCACCGTTTCAGTCGGTGAAAGCTGCGGTGAGTTTGTTCGGTGAAGTTGCCGTCTCAAGGCAAAGAAGTACTCCTCGGAGGTCTCGACTTTCCTCTGAGGTAATTCATCCAAATAACATCATCAAAGCTTGATCGGTTGTAATCATGGTTACCCACTATAGATACCTTAGATGGCAAGAAACATGACTTCTTCTCATAGGTTTTGGGAATTAGTCTCAGATTACGAACAATTCAAAGCTAAAACCCCTTTTTTCTAATGTTTCAGAGCGTTTGCGACAAAGAAACACAGCTCATGCTTGCCCACAAGGAATTCAGCAAGATCAAGCAAAAGCTAGACAATGCTGAGATCACGAGATCTCGTGCTCTTTCTGATCTCTCAACGGCAAAGAAGACAATGGAGGATCTTAGCAACAAGCTTGAGACTGTTAACAAGTCCAAGCAATCCGCTATTGACACTAAACAAACCGTTCAACAGCGAGAAGAACAGCTTGAGCATGATAAGTCCCATGGCTCTCCTCCTCACCACCATGAACTCGACGTTGCTAGAGAACAATATCTCTCCACCACCGTTGAACTCGATGCTGCGAAACAACAGCTCAATAAAATCAGACAGAGTTTTGATTCCGCTATGGACTTCAAAGCCACGGCCCTAAACCAGGCTGCAGAAGCTCAGCGTGCACTGCAAGTTAACTCCGCTAAGGTTAACGAGCTTTCCAAGGAGATTTCGGATATGAAAGATGCGATTCATCAGCTTAAGCTAGCTGCCTCTCAGAATCTGCAAGAGTACGCGAATATTGTGAAGGAAAAAGACGATTTGCGAGAATGTTACAGGACAGCCGTTGATGAGGCAGAGAAGAAACTGCTAGTTTTGAGGAAAGAATATGAGCCTGAGCTCTCGAGGGATCTTGAGGCTAAACTGATTGAGACGTCTTCAGAGATTGAGGTTTTACGGGAAGAGATGAAGAAAGCTCATGAATCTGAGATGAACACTGTTAAAGTTATTACAAACGAGCTTAACGAGGCTACGATGAGGCTACAAGAAGCTGCTGATGAAGAATGCTCTCTCCGGAGTTTGGTGAATTCTCTCAGGATGGAACTGGAAGACATGAGAAGAGAACGCGAAGAGTTGCAGCAGAAAGAAGCAGAGAGACTAGAGATTGAGGAAACGAAAAAGCTGGAAGCTCTCAAGGAAGAGAACTTGAAACTCGAGCAGATGAAACTAGAAGCCGTGGGAGCAAGAAACGAAGCAGAGGAGATGAATAGGAAGATAGAGAGCTTGAAGAAAGAAACGGATGCTGCGATGGTAGCTGCAGAGGAAGCCGAGAAGAGACTAGAGCTTGTTATAAGAGAGGTCGAAGAAGCGAAATCTGCTGATGAGAAAGTCCGCGAGGAGATGAAGATGATATCTCAGAAGCAAGAGAGCAAGAAACAAGACGAGTCGAAGATTAAAATCACGATACAAGAGTTCGAGACTTTGAAACGAGGAGCAGGGGAAACAGAGTCTGCGATCGAGAAGAAGCTGGAAACCATTGCAGCTGAGCTTGAAGAGATCAACGCAAGAAAAACAGAAGCGGATAACAAACTAGGAGCGAGCCTGAAAGCGATAGAGGAGATGAAACACGCAACGGATTTGGCTCAGAAGTCAGCAGACTCTGCAGAAGCCGCGAAGAGCGTGGTGGAAAGCGAGTTGAGAAGATGGCGTCAACAAGAAAATGTACAACATGCTTAGTTCTTGATTTTCAATATATGTATAAAAAACCTTGTTTTGTTCCAAACATTAAAATACAAAAGACAATGAAAATGGTTAAGAGTTAATACATCATAGAACAACAACACACAGACAGACAAGATCAATTAATCATCATCTGGATTGCAAGAACTGAGAAGGAACAACACTAATCAGTTTCTGTCTCAAGAAATCCTCATAAGCCTCAGCAATGAGATGATCATCGTCCCACTTATCACGGAAAGTGTCTGATTCTGTGGCGAGTCTTCGATATCCGCCTTCTATTTCCTCACCTCTCCACCGTTCAACAGGCGGTGCATCGATTTGCTCGGCAATCCAATTGAGGTAAGCAACCTGAGACGCACCAAGCCGGTGCGTGTATCTCTTGGGAAGACCATTAGCATCACGCTTTGCATATAAGGCGGTAACGTCTACAATCATTTTGTCTTCAGAAGGAAGCGTAACACGACCGGACAAAACTGCAGCCACCCACTTGCTCTGGAGCTCAAACATAAAGAATTGCAATGTCTAAACCAAAAAAGAAAGAATCTTGATTAGGCGATGAAAAAAGTTCCCACAAAGAAGCTGGAAGAAAGTAGAATGAATGAGAGAGACTTAACCATCCAAGGTAAACCGATGAAGGAAAGCCCTGGAGCAAGCGCAGGCGGGAACACGTGTTTGTAAAGCGGTCCAACGCAGTTATCCTCAACGGTGATATAGCCATTGGTGTTGAGAAACGGGAAGTGATATTTGTAACCAGTGCAATGAACAATAGTATCGGCTTGTACAACCTTACCATTCTTGAAAACAACCGACCCATCTTCGTGTGTGCTTTCTATCTGCGCAAAGCATATATCAAAACCGAAAAGATATTGAATCATAGTATGACCAAGTTTCTCTATGATCTATTTATCGTTCGATTTTGTTGTTTACCATAGAGTGAAGCCATAGATTGTTGGAGCCGGGAAGCTTTTGGTAGGTCTCAGATGGATTCGATCTTGACGCGATATGAACTTCTTTCGCCACTCCCGTTATGTCCCTACTGATATCGGATCCGCTCGCAAAATTTCCTATCACTACCACCACCTTTCCACAGATTTCAAACCAATGACTGATGAATCTACAATTCGTTTTATAAATTTTAAACTCAACACTAATATCGAAAGCATCTGAACTATTTGGAAATGTGACCTAACACTTAAATTATTCATACTCAACATTCTTACAAAAACCATCCAGTACCAGTACCACCTACCTACTTCATCCCTAATATAAATTACTATATAAATTCGGATAAGATCAACAGAACAACTATAATCAAAGATAAAGAACTCGAGAATCTATTATAAAACGATTCCTCGTATACAATGAAAAAGATAGTTGTCGGAAAAGGAAAAAGGTAATTTTTAAGTGAATAGTTAAAGGGTTCATAAGTTCTGAAAGAACCTGGTCTTTGTATGGATCAGGAACACGGTAATTGTGACTATGAACCTGCTTCCCTGGCCATGAATCTATGCCTAAAACCCAAATCATGCAAACAATTTTTCATCAATCAAGCATAAATTACTTCAAAATCATCGAAATCAAAAGTTGTGGTTCGGGTTTAAAAAAAAAAAAAAAAAATTTGAGATTTTGAACTAATTTACCAGGAACATGAGCAACTCGAGGCTCTGTGTAGTGTCCATTGCAAACGACGACGGAATCGAAGATCTCATCGTCGGAGATCCCATCGGAATTTCTAGACCGAATCTTCCATTTCCGGCCTTCTGGCTCGACACGAACCACTTCAGTCTCGAATCGAACCATCTCCTCGAGTTTGAACTCTCTCGCGAAGTCCTGAAGATATGCGAGGACTTCCCTGTGACTCGGGTACCTTCTCGGGTCTCTGGATTCGCCGTCTTCGGGTCGGGGCACGAAAGGGAAGTCTCTGTAGCCCATGCACTCTCTTGGGAGGTTAGTGCGGAGCGAATCGTAGACGCTCGAGTGGACGATATTTCGATTCGGGTCGAGGCTAAGCGGGTCGGGTTCATTGTGTGGTGTGTAAACCCAGAGACCTCCGACTTGAGTGTCGCGCTCGAAGACGACGACGGAGTGAGATTCGCGGCGTAGCTCTCGTGCAGCTACGAGTCCGGCGGCTCCGGCTCCGATCACTGCCACGTGTAGTGAGTCGAATCGGCTGCGTGCTGGTGCCATTTTCCTTGTTTAAGTCGTTTTTGGTGTAACGCTCTGTTCTCAATATTGTTAGCACGTTTATTAAAGTTATATATGAGCGTGTTCGATTTGGATAAACCGATTCGGTTTAAAATCTAAACCAAATTGTAAACCGTCAAAAAAAAGAAATCATGGTCTGACTGGTAAATAAATAGTAGAAAATTTTCTGCTTATTTTTACTGGATTTTATTATATTAAAAAAGAATCTTATTTTTTATTGTCAAAGATAACAAAATTTTGGCAGAACATTTCCAACTAACAGTGAATTCAAGAAGCCCTTTTATTAAAAAAAAAAACAGTGAATTCAAGATAAATGGGCATAAAAAAAACTCTCTCATTTATTTACCAGTGGCAGTAATATATGTTTTAGGTATGTTGAAAGTACTGTTCTTTGGATGGATCTTGGAACATGATAATTGTGGCTATGGATTTGCTTTCATGGCCATCAATCACCCTATCTCTAAAACAAGAAAAATTACAAAATCTCACATTTAACACTCACTCAAATAAGAAAAAAAATTAGCCCTTGATTGGAAAACTAATCACACCTTAATTAATATTTAACAGGAATCGAGCAACACGAGGCCCATTGAAGTGACCATTGCAAATAATGACTGCGTCGAATATATCTTCACCGGAGACACATCTCTGAAACTGGACTTTCCATTTACGTCGCTTTATCTTCGCCGTGACGCTCAAAAGCAGTTACAGTGTGACCTTCACATTGCAGCTCTCGAGCCATATGGCTTCGGCTCCGATAACGGCCATGTAACGTGGGCTGATAGGATTAGGCAGTGGTGTCAATGTGTCATAGTTTGAGAGAATAATAACTCTTTGTTATAAGTCTTATGTTTTCAAAACTGGACCAAACATTATGAAATCTTTCCAGTTTTCACCATGTAGTCTTTTGTTACAGGGTATTACCAAGTTACATGGTGCAACCTTATCCTACCACGTGTAAGAGAAATATACGCATGTCAGTATGTCAGACTCTATCCTTGCTCAGGTTTTTTTTTCCAAGTCAATCGATTATATTTACGTTAATATTTTTTAAAGTTTTACGTGAAACAAATGAATGATTTCGCTATCAATTTTTCTCTTTTTAACATTTAATGAAATAATTTTGCTAATTTAAAACCAAATATTTACAGATAATCTAACCAAATATTTTAGCGATATAGGTGTAGACTTGATCAGATCAAATCTCACCTTGAATTCCTTAATCACAAAATTATGTAAAATTTATTGTTCACAAACGATGTAAAAGTAATTCAGTACTTCATTTTTATAAGGTCAAATTGAACATGAGGATTACTAAAAGGAAACAAAAAAAAAAACATTAACTAAAATGTAGAAACCAAGACAACAAGTACAAATTTTTGTATACTTTGAAAAATAAATCCGAAACCCAAGATGGTAATGTTCATTTTATAAATGAATGAAACTCTTTTTTTTTTCTTTCATTATCCCGTACCCCGAACGCTTAAAACGACGATAGAATCGAGAAGGACCCATCAAAAAATTCTTTAAACATTAATTCTACAATTTATAAAAACAAAAATCGTTGGAAAATATATTAAACTTTAGCCGGAGTTACGAAGATAATCAATAAATTGTGGGGGGGATTTGCAATAAAGAGTAATAGATGGCAAAAGCTGTAAACTGGGCTACGAAGCCTCTACTGCTGCTGTCTCATGACCATGTTTGGTCCTCTTTCCTCAACCCACACATATCTTACCATAAATCTCCCCACTACACGACGACAGCTGCAACAACAACAACAAAAATTCTATTTTCTGATTAAAAAAATTAATTTTCTCATTTCAATTTTATCAATAATAATTTTTGTAAACTTTCTCTCTCTCTACTTTTTAAAAGGACTATTTATATCGTCAGTTGTCACTAAATGACTAAACAAACCCATTCGATCATAATTAGAAAAAAAGGAAAAAAGCGAGGAATTCTAAACACACCTAAATTTTTTGTCAATAATAAACAAAAAAAAGAAAGTTAATAGGAGTATTATAAATTTCAGAAAACGATAGCTGATGTTGCACACTAACCACTAAGACCCCCTTTTCTCTCTCTCTCTCTCTCTCTCTCTCTCTGAGATTTTGAGAGAGTCTCCTCTCTCTCTCTCTCTCCCTCTCGCTCCTCATGATCCGATTTTTTATATTTATTTTTATGTGATAATTACAGATACACGTTAAATTTGTGTGTATATCTATATCGATATTGATGGAGACAATAACCCATTGGAATCTGACCATGGATCTCAATTCTTCTTGAGATATTTTCTTCTCTTTTTTATTTTTCTTCGTCTCCCAGATCTGTTCGTCAACCTGACCATTGGAAAGCTTCAAGCTTTTTTTTCTGGGTAATTCTTAATTTTAAGAAAAAAAACATTTCATTGAATTATTAGATTCTTATTTTTATAGTCTTTTATATATATTGTCTAAAGTTGGAAGTACTACTACTACTACATGTTTTTGTTCGTCATGAAGTTGGTGCTTTTCCTTTTCCTCTTATAGCTCTAACTGTTGAATTCGGATTTATGAAATATATATATATATATATGTGTGTACTTTGTTTATCTATGTTAATGTGAATAACCAACTTCTGCTATACTGTATATATGGTTCCTTTTCTGGAAATTCTTGTAAAGCGTTTATGGAATCTTCCATTATAGCATTACTTATTTGCATGTTTTGGTTATATTCTTGTTAAGCGTTTATGGAAGCTTTTTTTTGCTGTGTGTGGATATGATCAATAGTATAAGTTTAATATTAGGAATGTTTTAGCAGAGTTTTTTCAGATTTAAACCTTATCGGAAATCGGATTACATAGAAACAGAATCAGAATTCTGATATTGATTCCTTTTTAAGATCATCGGAAATTGTGTGTATTGTCATTTGATCAATTTGTCCTGCTACATATGTACATTGCTGTTGTTGTTGCTCTCTTTTATGGGCTTTGTTCTTGATTCAAACACTTAAATTACAGATGTTCTGTATATGCTCAAGTAGCCAATATTCTTGTTGGTTGCTCTCTGTGTTAGAATGTCAATGTTGATCATTTCAACAGTTTGAATTTAGGTACTGATCAGCATTTGTATTTGCGTTGTTGGCATTTGATAGGGACGGGCCATAGAATAAAAGAAGTTAGACCAGAGAAAAGGCGCAATGTATTTCTTCGGTTTGTCCAAGGAAGAAGTGTTGTCACAGAAACATGTTGTATCATATAAAGAGACTTCTAAGCAGAATCCAATCAATATGGTCACACTTTTTGGGAGACAGGTAAAAAGATTGAAGCTTTCGGATTCTAAACTAGTCCAAGTTTTAACCTTTTTGTTTCCTTTTCCATGTTTCTTGTTAAGAAAAACAGTATATTATTCATCTCAGGTGTATCAGGTGAAAAGCGAGAGCTCCAAGCCCGGTGATGGTTATACGAGGATAAACTCTCCTACGCTGATGATGAAAGACATCGATCTTCGGCTTCCTGCAGATCACTACGGTTATAAGAACTTTCATGAGACATTTGATTCTGGGAGATTTTACGGCATTGGTGGTTCTGGAAACACAGCGTATCATTCAGCGTTTGAAGCTAATAAGGAGAGAGAAGCATTAGCGACAAATTGGAGTGGCAAGAGAAACCCAAGAATTGTCATTGATCTTGAGGAACTTCCCACAACAGAGCATGCAGACTCTGTTAGCTATGTTACTTTGAGAAACCCTGAGACAGCTGATCGAATCAGCTCAGAGGTAGTGAAGGCGGATCAGTCTTTCGTTGAGGATGATAGTAGTGATAGAACAACGAATATGGAGTCAGGTTTACTGGATCTTAATAGCACTCCGGATGAAGAGTTGGTCTCTGAGCCTCATTACTGTTTCTTGCAAGATCTGAACTGTCCGTACATCGAAGAGACGGAAACGAGCTGCGAGAAGAGCGGAATAGATGATGATCCTACGCCGCTTCACTCTCCTAAATGCCAAAACGTTCACGACAAAGACGGTACGGCGTCCCCAGCTTCGTATGCTTCTTGCTGCACCACGGAGAGGACCGAGTCGAGAAGAGGTTCCTCTCCTCGAGCACTGGATCCTTCTTGCCGTACCAGGCTTGAGTTTCCTGCCACGGAAGAAGAAGAAGTCTTGCCTGAGAACAACGGATGTTGTAACGAAGAGGAAGAAGACTTCTCTGAAGTCATCCAAATGGCAGCTGAATCATTAGTCCATATATCATCGGTTTCATATCAAATTCAAGAATTGCAGTCAAAGCCTGTGTCGAGAACCAATAGCTCATCTCAAGACTTTCCAGATAAACACGAGGAGGTTGGTAACGCTGAACCGAGATGTTATTCATGTGATTCTTATGAGCTACACACGCTAGGAATAAACGAAACCAACACCGAAGAATACTTGTGTGTGTCATCAATGGCTCTGGATGAGCTTAATAACATCACAAGAGGTAACAACAAAGAGATTGGACTCAAGCTGAGAAGAGGGAGGAGAATGAAGAACTTCCAGAAAGAGATACTCCCGTGCTTGACCTCACTCTCTAGGCACGAGATCCGGGAAGACATTAACATCTTGGAAGCGGTTCTGAGATCAAGAGAGTACAAGAAGATGCAGGGGAAGACGAAAGATGTCAAATTCGGAGCAAACCCGAGAAACAAACGTTCAGCGTCACAGAGGTATGTTGGTAAAAGAAGGCGAAACAATGAATGATTTCGATATCTTCATTGGGTTTCGGATTCTTTCAAACAATTGCTTCATCATGTAACATTTCTTATGTTGTTCAATTCTTTTTTTTTTTGGTTTTTAACTTATGACATTGATCATGGTATGAGGAAAAAAATTAGTGAGCCGATGACATTGAATCTCTCATTCTCTCAAAATGTCACTTAAGTTTGTGAATCAACGATTTGTAAGGATAAACGGAAATGTGTTCTCTGGTGTTGGAAATCTTAGGAACATATTGTAGTTCGCAATCCAACATCAACTGATAATAATTCATGGGCCATGGCCCGTTTAGGTCAGAGGCCTTAAACTTCTTATCATTACTTGTCTTTGTAGTGGACTTGCCATCTTCACATCAATATGGACTAGTCTCGGTTTGAATTTTCAAAAGTTCTAGTAGACTGTGTTGATTCTACCACTTGGGGAAAAGTTAATACCAACCAACATGAAGATAGATGCCAAAGAGGAATCTGGAGGGAATCTTCACTGCAATAATTTAGTTCATGACAAGCCAATAAAAATATATAATCTCTTAAAAAGAAAAAGTTAATTCTCCCCCATCTCATGTCTTTTCTAAGTCAAAGAAAGACACATTAAATTAAACTAGTGTTCTTTAGACCAAAACTTCATGATAGTTGTCTGTGATTGGTTATGTAGTTTCCAGATCCAAAATGTCTCATTTCAACATAATTGCTCTTCGACAATCAGTACAGCAAATCATAGTATGTTGAAATAATAGTATATATATATTTCTAAGATATTTCCTATTTTGTTCTTTAATATGGTTGTCAATCTAATGGTACATAGGCCAATGAACATATCATCTATAGTAGCCAGTCGATATTGTTTTTGTAATGTGGATTTGGGTCTAACCAATACTATTGAAATATATATGACTTCTGGAAAAGAAGAGAAAATCTCTATTGTCAAAAGAAAATAGAAATCTGCTGTTCTAGATTAGATATACAGAATGAGAAAAAGTTATCTAAAATATTTCTATTAAAAAACCTGGATAACATTTTTTTATATAACTAATTATGAAATGAAAATTAGTTGAGTTAATTATGCTAGAAGAGCTAGATCACAAATTCTGATACCTCCCACGATATATACTTTATTCCAGCTCAATCCAAAATAGCGGATTCTTGAAAAAAATGTCAGAAGCATATCGTTAGTATGGATTTTAGTCCATAAATCGATGGATCTGGTTAATGTCCATATGCAGGAATAGATATAATTGAGAGTGTCCATGCAAGAAGTTATTATATCTGTCCAAACTCAGAATTTAAAGCTACATGATTGGGGTGGGGAAGATATAATTTGAGAAATTATAATATTGTTAAAATTATCATTTTGTATCTGGAAACTAGATAAGAGCTGGGAGACAACAGTTAGACAAACAAACGTGCACAGAACATTCCTTACTATTTGATACGTAATATTATTAGAGAATTTGCAAAACAAAGCTCCCTTGCCCCCTTCATTTAGCTTATCTTCTATATAATTTTGGAACAAATGCATATGCATGGGGAGTTTATCTTTTAGGGACATCAAACCAACTCGCAAATAAGGTCATCAGTAATAACGGAGTTTGATTTGTCTAACTTCTGACAGACAAATATATGTTTGATATAAAATAATCACTATATGTAATATTCATCTACATATTAGAGATCGGTTGATCTCTTGGCAAGTTAACACAATGTGATCGTATGGTATACATATGACTCTTTATCCTATACATATATAGTCGAAATATTATATTAGATTAACTAGTGTAAAGTAAAGGGAACATATTGTAGTAATCACACTGATCATTGTCATATAGTTTTAATGCTTTTGTTTTTTTTTTGACAACTAATGATTTATTATATTATTTTACTAGCTCCCTAATAATTCAACCAACTTGACAAATAGTAACCGAGGGACCAACCGATCCAATAGATCCTCATAATTCGGCCATGGATTAAATTATACAAAAGAGAGAGAGAGAGAACTTGAAATATTCAGTTTTTGACGTATGGAAAAAAGGAAATGGAAATTTTATACAAAAAGACGTCAATTACGTTAAATCTTAGAAATTTTACAATTTCTGCTTTTATACAGACCCAAATGGGAAAACTTTAACCTTTATCCCTTATCGGTTGGTCCATTATTTGTCGACTCGGAAACAAGAGGTAATTAAGAAAATCATCATTAAAAATATACCACAAAACTCAAAATCAAATTCATGCATATCGACATAGACACAGAATTCATCATGATCATGATCATGATCAATGACCCATGGGAATATCCAGTTCATCATCTTCCAACTCAATCCCGACCTCAGCTAGTCTCTTTTCCTTGTAAACGTACCATTTGGAGAAAACGAGGAAAATGAGGAAGTTCAAGGCGACAATTACTGCCACGAGCCAATAGAAATTGTAAAGACGGCCCTTGTTTAGATCATCGGCGATCCATGGATGAGCTCTATCGGTGAATTTCTCGACGACAGTCACGAGAACCGAGCTGAAGAAAAACCCTAACGCCAATGTGCTCAACAATAGACCCGTGCTCATCGTTTTCATACCTTTAGGACACTCTCTCAAGAAGAAATCCAACTGTCCTGTGTAGATCAACGCCTCGCCGATACCCACAATAAGGTATTGTGGGATGAGTAGATAAAACCCTAGAGGGAGCGTTTTGACTGTTGGACCGTGGGAGTGCGCGGTTCTAAGACGTTTGATCTCTACCAAAGCAGCTACGGCCATAGCCATGGATGCGAGTAAGAGCCCCAAACCAATGCGTTGAAGTGGTCTCAGACCGTGGGGGTAGTTGAATAGCTTCTTGCATAGGCGGATGGCGACGCGGTCGTATAGGGCGGTGGTTAGGAGGAGGCCGCCGACATAGAAGACTGCCATAGAGGCTGGAGGGATCTCAAAGCTCCCGATGTGACGGTCCATCGTCTCGGACTGCGCCACCGATAATGTCGTCAGTTGAGCATGGACGGTCCAAAAGAGGATGCATGTTGCCCAAATTGGTAACATTCGTACGATTTGCTTCACTTCCTCAACATCGGTTAGTGTTGAAAGTGTCCATTTGTTGAATACGTTTTGGGTCATTCCCGCTTCTTGGTCCTTAATTGCTGCCTTGTCCAACGAACTGTGGCATCGAAAATGGTATAAGGAAAAATTAGAATTAAATCAATCATTAAACAAAAAGATATAAAGTTAAATTTAATTTGTATGGAGATAGATGTTTTGATACGTTTACATCTGTAACAAAAGATCTTTTTGGTGTTTCTTAGAGAGAGTTGGCTTGTTGACAGTGAAATAGATACATTCGTGAAATGGCCACAATTATTAAAATTTCATAGTTTATTGTTATTATATTATTTATTTCATGTATTTGTTATTAAGATATCCTGTTATTGGAATATAGCCTAAGCAACGAAACAACATGATAGTTACGTGGAATCTTTTCAAGATCATATACCCTTCACACATGGCATTATGTCAAGAGATATATCACACATATATACACATACGTAATTGTTTTAAATATAGGGAAAAGGGTATAAAAGGTAAAAGTTTTTTCTACAGTTTTCAATTAACTTGGAAATACCCAAAGATAGACGGACTGAATGAAGCAAAGAGCACGCAAAGCACGTGCCGTGCATATGACGGTAGGGTTCTTGAGCCTAACTTTGGGTCTGGCCCGGTGGAGGTGTAAAGTAGTGGAGGTGTTACGACACGAAACATGATCGTTTTCACTACAAGACAAAACAACTGTCTTCCCTAACTTGTCGTTTCTTCTTATTTATATAATTTTTATTTCCAAAACAAGGAGCAGTTCAAATATCTAGAGGTGGTAAACAAGTTTTTTTTTAATCATCTGGAATAAAAAGCAAATTGATTCCTTTGGATTCTTGTGTGTCTATTTAGGCATAGGGATTGATGCATGAAAGATACTGTACTACTAACTACTAAGGTTGGCAGAAAAACAAAAATAGAAAGATACTGTACTTTAATGGGGGGAAAAATCACGAGTCAGGTGTAAATATTTATACTGTATATGTGTAAGTTTTAAAGCGAGAGAATCTATTGATAGTAATAATAATATACTGGTAAAATAAAACTAATTGAAATATGATTAATTTACCACAACTTACGGCTAAAACTAAAGCTGCTCTCTTTTTGTAATAACCAAATAATCCAACAGGGGTGTGAAAGTTTCAAAGATTTTTCATTTATCGGTAAATGAGTAAAGATGAAAATTAATAGCCCCACTTGCCTAGTCCTAATAATTTTCATTTTGTTTCAGTCTCATTTTGTCAAAAATTTCTGAGAAACTTCTCTTCTTTTATTACCTAGCATATGTATTGAACTTGGCGTGCTATAATATCTAACGTAAGTACGCAGTTATAAGGAAAAGAAATCCAAAAATATTGTAATTAGCTGTAAAATTGTATCCTGGACGGCTGGACCAGTTTCGTTGTGTGGTCGAGTAATAGTATTATGATAATAATACTATTTTCCCCATAACAAGAGACAAAGGAAATTATTCAAGCCCTTTTTAATTGGATTCTAATGCCAAGTAGGCATGTATAATGAAAATATTTGTGGTCCCTCTTTAACTAAAGGACACGAGCTTTTCGAGTTATTTCCCACCCACACAGCCCCACTTTTAATTTCACTTTTTTTTTTGTATGTGCAAATTTCACATTTCTCAAGTATATTTATACTATCACATTCAATTAACCTACACCTCAATTATTTGAAATAAAAATCTTTTAATACAGTGTAAAATTGTTAAATTTTAATCTTACAAATATTTTATCATTCAGGAATCGTGTATGTGAGATTTGTTTCTTTGAGTACACTGTTGTCAAATTTAATGTAAAAAGTTGATTTTTTTTTATTTATTGTTAAGATAGTATATGAGTTAATTTAGGCAATAGAAATCGTACCGGAATTGATTGGTATGCGGCAGCTTTTGTTTACTCTTCATCGAACCTTCCGCGGCAATAACATCGTCCAAGTCGTAGAGATACGACGGATCCGACGGCAACTCGAGCCGCCTATTCCTCCAGGCCGCTACAATAACCGCAGCAACTTGCGTCATCGGGCTACCAATCAACTTCTTGAAACGGTAGCGATTCGTGCCTGCCAAGAAAATGCTTAGTGCAAGCACGATTGACA